GTGGTAGACAGAGGTGTGCAAGCAGTCACCAAGCTGGTCGAAGACTTCTACGGAGATGACAAGACTTCTTTTGTCTTCACTGCCGACCATGGAATGAGTGATCTGGGAAGCCACGGCGACGGCCACCCGGACAATACAAGAACACCCCTTGTTGCCTGGGGCTCTGGCGTCGCGAAACCCGTCACTAGCACAATTGGCACTGCGCCTGGACACGAAGACGGCTTTTCATCAGATTGGGGATTTGACCACGTCCAAAGAAATGATGTTGAGCAAGCCGATGTTGCTGCCTTGATGGCGTACCTTGTTGGCGTCGATTACCCTGTCAATTCAGTCGGCCAATTACCACTGGATTATCTCGATGCGAGCCCCAAGGAAAAGGCATTGGCTGCCCTGGCAAATACCCAGGGAATTTTGGAAATGTATCGTGTCAAAGAAGAGCAGAAGAGATCATCGGTGCTCAGATATGTGCCCTTCGAGTATCTTTCTGGTGATGGAGAGACATCTATCGAAGGACGTGTCGCGAATCTCGAGGCACTAATCTCCAATGGAGCGTACGAAGATTCCATTGCCCTGTCCCATGAACTACTGATTGTCGGTCTGGAGGGTCTGCGCTATCTGCAGACCTACGATTGGCTGTTCCTGCGAACAATCGTATCTCTTGGCTATCTAGGCTGGATTGCCTATTCTCTGACCACGGTCATTGATCTCCACGTCTTACACGGGACGTCTGATGCCCATCGGACTACGGCTAGTATCTCGTTCTTCTCATCTATCCTGGTGGCGCTATTTTCTGTCCTCCTTTACCAAGGATCGTCGTGGCGGTACTACTTTTATGGATTCTTCCCCATATTTTTTTGGGAGGAGGTCTTCGCCCGTCGTAAGGCTTTGATTGCTGGCCGCGAGATTATTCTCGGCCATGTTCGCTCTTTCTCGGGATATGCGAGCTTTGGATTGCAGTTGGTGGCATTCGTTGGTGTATTGGAGGCCCTGGTATGTGGTTCATTCTTTCTCTCTCTCTTCTGTTGGACCCGTGCTAATAATGTTGTGTAGGTTCAATCTTATTTCCACCGGGAAATCTTCACCGTCGGATTCACTCTGGCCGCTTTTTGGCCCTTCGCCTACGGCTTCAAATTCGTTCGCACGCATGTATATTTGAACGCGACTTGGGCGCTAGGTTGTCTTCTGATGAGTATCTTTACTCTGTTGCCGGTCACCAAAGTAGAGGAAATCTCTACTGTCACATACGGCGGTCTTCTGATGTTCTTGACCGGCATCCTCTATCTACTGTTCGAGGATGCAATCCTCGGCCGGGACAGTTCCAAATCTCGAATCAACAATGTTGGATCGCGGATCATCATGGGATGCCAGGTTGGGATGGTTCTTCTTTCAGTGATCGTTACTCGATCAAGTATAGCCTCTCTCCAGGCTCGTGAAGGTCTACCGCTCGGCAACCAAGTGGTCGGGTTCGTCGTTATGGCCGCTTCTGTCACTTTGCCATTTGTCCACCGACTGTACCCGGACAGCCATTACCTCCATCGACTAATGATCATCTTTTTGACCTTCTCGCCGACCTTTATCATCCTTGCGATCTCCTGGGAGGGTCTATTCTACCTGGTGTTTTGCATGACCCTTGTGACATGGGTGCGCCTCGAACACGCCATCTACGTGCACACAGCCGGGGCCAACGCAGTCAATGCCAAAGATACCTCCCGCAATGGCTCTGTCGCACCCTCCAAGCCCGCCCCAACCGGCTCCACAACCGTTGACGGCCTCACATACCACTACCGCGCCCTTACCCTCTCCGATACCCGCGTGGCCCTATTCTTTTTCTTCCTCCTTCAATCCGCGTTTTTCAGCACGGGCAATGTCGCCTCAATCTCAACCTTCGCCCTGGACAGCGTCCGCCGCCTCGTCCCGGTCTTCGATCCATTCAGCCAAGGTGCGCTGTTGATGTTCCAAATCCTAATTCCCTTCGCCATCATCAGTGCCAACCTGGGCATCTTGAACCGACGCCTAGAAGTTGCCCCCAGCGCACTCTTCATGGTCGTGATGTCTATCTCCGACGTGATGACACTGAACTTCTTCTACATGGTCCGCGACGAGGGCTCCTGGCTCGACATCGGCATGACCATCAGCCATTTCTTCATCGCTAGCTTACTCTGCACCTTCGTTGCAGGTCTGGAATTTCTCAGCGAGCTCTTTGTTAGCGGTGTCAACTTTGGCCCCGCTGCCAATGCGCTTGGGTCTGCCGTGGCACAGGCCGTCAGCGAGGCCGCGGAATGTGGCCACGAGCCTGCGCAGGAGCAAGAGCAAGAGCAAGAAAAAGAGTCCACGCCAGCGCGAGCACCCGTCAAGACGGGCAAGAAAAGCCGGGCACGGGCCAAGGGCAAAAAGGGCCAGTAATCAATTTCGCCGAAGGTATGGTTCAAGATATTTTTATTCTAATAATTTGCCATTTGTCATGTACTTTACCACGGTCTGCGGTCATGTTAATATAGAGCTTTCTCGCCACTTTCCGAATAGAATAGATCGACCGCTTTCTAGGACTTCTTGTATGAAAACGTAGGAGGAGATGCTAGAGCATTGTGCCATTGACCTAGACTAGCTGCAAGGTATCACAGCTAGGTACTAAGTACTCCACTACTACGAGGGTCCTCATTAAATTGTCGAGCCATACTAGTCACGGGCTCAAGCCAGCCCTGAAACAAGCCCAAACCTTGTACTTCCAACGTCCCACTAAGGATACTACGTGATGCCCACATTGGCAGCTAACCAGGGGCCAAGAGGACGGGTGATCACGATCACCCACCTTCACCCTAATTAATCGCCACTACCAAGGCCACGATCGCAGCCTAGTGCCGAACACAGACGCAATCCAGCCTCAATTTCATATCGGAGGCTACAGAGCTCCGATTGCGTCCGTGGTGAACTAAAAGCTCAGAGCCTAGCCAGCCTAGTCCCAGCCCCAGCCCCAGCTTTAGTCCAGTCGAGTTGAGTCCAGTCCACGGCCCGACTAGCTAGCCCAGCCGATCAAACCAATACCAACACCAAAACCAACCAGCGAACAGACCATAGCCGCATCCTTCGTGCCTGACAGGACCGAGTCCGTCTAGCGTGAACGTTAGCGCTAGTGTCAGCGAGGGTGTGGATGTGGGTATGGATGTGGAGGATATCGGCGTAAGGGTGTCATTTCCAGCGTATGTCCTCTGGACGGATATACCTTGTATAGTCGTAGTTAGTGCGAGATATTCAAGCTTGGTGCGACGTGAGTGGCGGAGTGGACAAGTTGTTGGATTTCCGAGATGTCTGATTGGCTGTCAGGCAAGTGGGGAAGGTCGACTTAAAAATGCCTCGGCATCACAAGCTGCCGTCTCCACCGCCTCAACGTTCATTGCGCAAGGACGAGAATGCGATTGTTCTTTTCCCCGGTTCTCGACGAAATGAATACGGAGGGGAGGGGAGGGATGTCATTTCTCCAGCCAGACGTCTTTGATTTGATTTGGTTTTGATCTTGGCCCCTCCTTCGTTTGCCCCGTCTTACCCCCGCAATTTCGTCCATCCCCGACATTGGTCCCCGCAATTGGTGGCTGCAGTGTATTTGGTTATGGGTAAGAGATGAAGGGGAGGGGAAGTGTTGTAGATTCATTGATTGTATCGAGATATCATCTGACAACTGGTACTAGTTACTGGGGACTTCGCTGAGGTAGTATGCTTTAGGTTCTACTCTGTATATGCTGGTGACACGGCATATGTCCGCGGTGCATGGAGTCGATGTGCCTAATAGTTTAAGTGAGTATTTGCATTTCATAGACTCAAGAAGAAGTATTTGTATAGCATACTAATATATGAGAGGCCTCTCATCCGTCTCTTCCGATGTACTAGTATACTTGAGTTTGTTGCGGCGAACTACTACCAAGTCGCTAGTACTAGTTAGTAGACATTGTAAGCCACACTTACTGCAGTGCCGGACCTGCAGGGATCTGACCCGCTGCCTTGATTCCAGGCTACTCTTACTTCTCTTCTCTTCTGTCACTCTGTCATTCTACATCTGTCTTGTACAATGGCCTGACAGTCCCGGCACCTTTCTTCCGCATTGGGATTGTGGTATTTCCACGCGACGGTATACGGTGGGAGAAACCACAATATAGTGAATATAGAGTTGGATAATATTCATATGGACTTCTCCTACGGGCTCCTAGTATGCGTGACAGTAAATTGATTCTACAATGAATGGTGAATATGTGAATGGTACGATATAACAGTAGGTATGCCCGGGCCCTTTGATCAACGGAGCCTCTTCGGGGATTCCAGCGGCCGGGTTTTGGGTGCCTCCACTTTCTCCCCTTCGTCGATCACTCCGAGCGGGTCGGATTCCCGGTGTAGTGACTGCCCCGAGTGACTTGAATTGGGGCCAATGGGACTAGATATGTGACCTGGCATTGAACCGGATCTAGTTTAACCATGGGAGGGTATAGTGGAGGGTAACTAGAGGAGGAACTTGAAGAGGTGGTGATAGTACACGGTGCACCCTGAGGTTATACCTATGAATTTAGTTGAGGAAGATGGAAATTCAGAAATGCACAGATCCCGAAATGTAAAGAGATAGGCATAGAACAGATTAAATGCAGAGTTATCTGAGGGTATACTCCGTACAACTGAGTAATTAGGGCATGTCGAGAGTAGAGCGTGTGGTTACTCCACTGGTTATTGCCACACTCCACCTGCCCCGGATCGCTCTGATCCCTCTCTCTCTCTCGGTCTGTCTCTGCTTCTCACTCTCCCCCTGCTCCTCTACTCTTTCAGGTCTCCTCTCATTTGATCTGATCTGATCTGATCCCTCCGGTACTTTTTCTTCGGATCGCGTGGCGTCCCCGTTTGTGACCCCCCCCCCTTTTCCCTAGCCCACACACCACCCGGCTTTACTATATTACTCTGCTCGACCCGGTTCCATCGCGACCCCCGCTTAACCCTCACCCTTGCGCTTTATGGGGGACGCGGCCATGGATTCTACGATTGACCCTCAAGATACCAACTCGGTCACCCACCCCAGTCCGGCTCCCAGCGCTGCCGGTTCAACTGGAACCTCCGGCATCACAGTGCGCGGCGGGCCCCAAGGCCAAGGCGTCAGTTTCAGAAGGTGAGCCTTGTCGATTATACCGTGGAAGGAGGGGGAAAGGGTGGAAAGGGAAGGTGATGGCAGTTCGCGGGGATCTGGGGATCTGGAGGTCTGGATTTATATCTAGCACGTCCGATGTGTGTGATATGCGATGTGCGATCTGCTAGATTGTGTGCGCTCTTCCTCGAGAGGGGAAAAGGAGGGAGCGTTTCGCAGGGTTTTCACCCGACTCCAGCCCCCAGATCACCCCTGTGGGCGAAAACAGAAAGGAAGAAACGTAGTGGATGGCATGCTGATTCGTTTTATCTAATTCTAGACAACGTGCATCACGCGCGTGCGAGGTACGTCCTTTTTTGCTTCGAGGGGGAACGCGAGGTGGTGAGAGCCGAGGCTGCCCTTGTGCCTCGGTCCCTTCCTTCTTATCGTATCTCGATGCATCAAACCAGCTCCCCCCCACCACCACTACGTTGCGAAGAGATAGCTAATCATTTCATTTCCCCCCTGATTGCAGACATGTCACTCGCGCAAGGTATGTATAATATTTCGGATTCTTGCAGACTTCTGGCATTTCACTAACCCTACTCCTCTCCTATCTCCAGGTCCGATGCGACGCCGCTAGCCTAGGCGTTCCCTGCACAAACTGCGTCGCCTTTTCCATCGAATGCAAAATTCCTTCTCCCAAACGCAAGAAGAACTCCTCCAAATCCAAAGACGACGGTCGCTACGCTGACAGTCCGCCCCATACTGCTTCCTCCCTCGTCGACGCTGCTGTCGCCCACTTCCGACCCGACAACGCCGATGACCCTGCTGGCGAGCGCTCCTCAGAAGATCCTCGTGGGCAATCAAGCTCCGATGAAAAGGATGATGCCTTTGGATACCGGAAGAGCCGCATGGCCGTTGACGGAATGCCCATTACCTCCCTCACCGATGCCGAGGCGGCCCAGCAGACAACAGAAGACAACACCTATGCTCAATTCATGAAGCCCAAGTTTGCCCGCGCTCCGATCAAAGAGGCCGGTCGCGTGGCCTATCTCGGTGAATCGTCAAATCTATCGCTTCTCGTCCAGGACCGCCATGGAACTACAGACGTTGTGCACTACCCACTCCCGCCGAACATCAGAGGATCTCGAGCCCGCTTGACCGATCTGGATAATCTGGAAATCGATATCCTCCACCAACGTGGTGCATTCCTACTACCACCAAAGCCGCTCTGTGATGAACTCGTCGACGCTTACTTTAAGTGGGTTGCCCCGGTGGTTCCCATCATCAATCGCAGTCGGTTCATGCGTCACTATCGTGATCCCAAGAACCCACCGTCCTTACTTTTGCTGCAAGCCATCTTGCTGGCCGGATCCCGTGTCTGCACCAACCCGCAACTGATGGACGCGAACGGATCGACGACTCCCGCGGCAATGACCTTCTACAAACGGGCTAAAGCCTTATACGATGCCAATTATGAGGATGACCGTGTCACCATCGTGCAGGCGTTGGTATTGCTAGGCTGGTATTGGGAAGGGCCGGAGGGTAAGTCCTTGACCGTGGCACACGGCCGTGTTTCTCCCCCTCTCCCTCTCTCTTTATTCTAACATATAATTCTCTAGATGTTACCAAGAACGTATTCTACTGGACTCGCGTGGCGATGGTTGTTGCACAAGGCTCGGGTATGCACCGTAGCGTGGAATCATCACAGCTCAACAAACCCGACAAGAGGCTCTGGAAACGGATTTGGTGGACACTCTTTACTCGGGACCGCTCAGTGGCTGTTGCGTTGGGTCGACCGATTGGGATCAACACAGACGACTCAGATGTTCCGATGGTCACCGAGGACGACTTCATTGAGGACGAACTTGACACTCCAGCCGAATACCCAGCCGATCCAGTGCATGTGCAGTTCTTTTTGCAATACGTCAAGCTGTGTGAGATCATGGGGCTGGTTCTATCCCAACAGTACTCCGTGGCTTCCAAGTCCCGCCGTATGAACGCGATGGACCTCACCCACTCGGATATGGCTCTGGCCGATTGGCTTCAGAACTGCCCGAAGGAGGTGTGCTGGCAACGATCTCGACACCACTTCTGGGCCGCACTTCTTCACTCCAACTACTACACCACACTGTGTCTTCTCCACAGAGCTCACATGCCTCCGGCTTCCTCCGCGCCGAATAGCTACCGGGTTGAGGAGATGGCTTACCCGTCCAGGACAATTGCCTTCCAGGCTGCAGGCATGATGACATCGATCGTCGAGAATTTACAGGCTCACAATGAACTCCGCTTCACGCCTGCATTTATCGTCTACAGTCTCTTCTCCGCTCTGATCATGCACGTGTACCAGATGCGGTCATCCGTCCCATCTATTGTGGCAACTTGCCAGGAAAGAATTCACGTGTGTATGTCTGCTTTGAAGGATGTATCTAAAGTTTGGCTTGTGGCAAAGATGGTTCACACACTGTTCGACTCTATCCTTGGGAACAAGGTTCTTGAGGAACGACTACAGAAGGCCGCTGGCCGGAGACATCACCGTCGACCACACGAAAACAACAACAACACAGGCCAAGCTAAGAAGCCCGATCCGCCAAAGCGCAAGTTCGACGACATGGATCTACCATTACCCAATGGTGGGCCTACGCCTCCTGTCTCCTATGAACGCTCTCGACCGCAGACCCCCGCGGTCACGCCTTCGCGGGAAATCCATCAGCCTCTGGGCCATCAATCACCCAATGCCCACCGTGGACCTCAAGATCCCATCTCCGGACCTTCCAACTCGCGCAGCAACACTCGCCCAACGACTCCCTTCAACGCTCAGTTCTCTCTGCCTGCTACGCCCCCTGACTTCTTCCTCGTGACCCGTACCTCACCGAACCTCTCGCCCTCGCTCTGGGAGAACTTCCAGCCCGACCAGCTGTTCCCTGATGGTACCGCCATCTTCCCCGAGTTGACCTCTCCCCCTCCAGCCACGGTGGACCCAGCGCTTCAAATGCCGGCAAATCTGCAACCGCCGAATATGGGCCCGCGGCCTATGATGGGTGCACACCCGCAACAGATGCCTGGCGGCCGCAGCATGTCTGTTTCCCAGGGTAGCCCGCAGATGATGTCAGGTGTGCCAGGTGGCATGGGGATGCAGGCATCCCAAGGTCCGCAGGTGTTTGGCATGGAGGGTCAAACGTGGCCAATGCAAGGCCTGGACGGGACAATGAGCGGAGCGGCGCTGGACGCTGCCAGCCAGGATGATAATTGGAGTAGCAGTTCGCGCAGTGGACCTACTGCGCCGACGACCTTGAACGTGGAAGACTGGTATGTATCCCTCAGACAGCCCATCACTTCTCTGCAGCTCTTACGATTCTGTCCCAATGCTAATCAATGCTTACTGACAGGTTTCAATTCTTCGGTATTAACGGCGGCTTTGGCGATCTGGCTGCCTGATTTGATTCAAGTTGTGTGTTTTTTTTTATTCGTATGTAATGTTGCGGTGTATAGTTTGGTTGGGTCTGTTTGGCGGGGCTATTCAAAATGGAAGGCGTTTACTGGGGTGGAGCTAGCGATGGACAATTCTTAGCAGTTGCTACGAGTACCAAATGCAATCACGTCAATTATAGCAGATTACCGAGTAATCCTCCTAGAGTATTCCCCCCTAATGTACTCGTATACTCGTACTATGACTACATTTTCCACCGCAACTCCCCCAATCGGGCCTAGTGGATGACGAAATCGCAAAGGCCCGCGATTCGCCAAGGGCCACCAATGGCGGAGTCATTGGCCTGTCCGGGGTTGACTACTTACATTTTTGTCGACTTCGACTCATTTCTCCCGTTCCCACATATCTTGCATCTGATTTCCACGACCTTTCTTACCATTGACTTGATTTCAATTGCCTCCATTCTCCTCCCATCTCACATCCGTGCCATTGCCATTGTCAAACTTCAACTACCCCGCCTCAGCGATGTCGGCCTCAGGATCAGGATCCGGGTCCAACGCGCCATCGGGTTCCTCGAACTCCTTGAAGAAGGTGTTTCCCTCCGTTGACCTCCAAGGCAACGACCTCCCGCCTTCCCCCGCGCCCTCCAGTCCTCACGGTGGCCGCCGCTACAATATTGCCACCGAGCTGGTCTTCACCGAGGGAAACGACCAGTACAATGCCAGCAGCGTGCCGATCTACCAGGTAAGGATATTGTGTGCACATGCACCCCCCATGCACCCCTCCTCCATCCCCCCACCCATTCCCTCCCAATTCATCTGCAACAAGGCCAAAAAAGGCTAACTCACACACCCTCACAGAGTGCCACCTTCAAGCAGACCTCCGGCGGCGGAGGTGGAGAATATGACTACACACGGTCCGGTAACCCGACCCGCACCCACCTGGAGCGACACCTAGCGAAGATCATGTCCGCGCAGCGCGCTCTGGTGGTATCATCCGGTATGGCGGCGCTGGACGTTATCACCCGCCTCCTGCGGCCCGGCGACGAAGTTGTAGCCGGCGATGACATCTACGGCGGCACAAACCGTCTACTGAAATACCTCTCTGACAACGGGGGCATCAAGGTGCATCACGTCGACACCACGCAGCCGGAAAAGGTGACCGAAGTCCTGAATGACAAGACTGCCATGGTCCTCCTCGAAACCCCAACCAATCCCCTCATCAAAATCGTCGACATCGGCACCATCGCTTCCGCAGCCCACGAAGCAAACCCTTCCTGCCTCGTCTCCGTCGATAACACCATGATGTCACCCCTCCTCCTCAACCCTCTCGAACTAGGCGCTGACATTGTCTACGAATCCGGTACCAAGTACCTCTCCGGCCACCACGACTTGATGGCCGGTGTCCTCGCGGTCAACGACCTCACCCTCGGCGAACGCTTGTACTTCCCCATCAACGCCTCAGGATGCGGTCTCTCGCCCTTCGACTCGTGGCTCCTCCTGCGCGGCGTGAAAACGCTCAAGGTCCGCATGGACCAGCAGCAGAGCAATGCGCAGCGTATTGCGGAGTTCCTCGAAGCGCACGGATTCAAGGTGCGATACCCTGGACTCCGCTCGCACCCGCAGTATGAGTTGCATAATTCGATGGCGCGTGGCGCGGGCGCCGTGCTTTCCTTCGAGACCGGCGATGTCAATGTCAGCGAGCGGATTGTGGAGAGCGCGAAGATCTGGGCTATAAGTGTTTCCTTTGGGTGTGTGAATAGTTTGATTAGTATGCCTTGCCGCATGAGTCATGCTAGTATTGATGCGAAGACGAGGGCGGAACGGGCGCTTCCGGAGGATTTGATTCGGTTGTGTGTGGGTATTGAGGATGTGGATGATTTGATTGATGATTTGCAACGTGCTGTGAGTGTTCCTTCCCCTCCCTTATGCCCGACCCATGGTTTGGTGTTAGAAATCCCTCTGCTAACTCTAATTGTGATAACAGCTTGTGCAGGCGGGTGCGGTGAATGTGACACTGGATGGATTCCAGGCTCAAACTCAGACTTAGGCCGAGTAGATATATGGAGATGATTAGTTACATGGCGTTTCGGATTAAACATACCACGATCAATTTATATTATATCATATCGTTTTCACGACAGAGGGAGAGGTATCACGACAGAGGTCCTTCCTATGTTATCTAAGATGTAGATATCGTTTATCCGGCCGGCATCGGAGCCGGGTGGTTCTCGCCCGATACCCGAAATAACCTCCGTGCTGCTTTCTCCGCTGTGATTGGTCTAATTGGTCCCTGCTCCTGCGCAATTGCCGTTCGGCTTGTTAATGCTTCTCCCTCAATTCGATCTTCAATCTGACTTGTTTCTCACCTTCACTCTACCTTCACTTTCACTCCCACTCTAGCCTGTGTTTGCGTTTACCTTTGCATTTGCATTCCACGAGGTGCAGCATAGCAGCTCGTATCAAACTATCCCATGCACCCGTGATTTCCCGATCTCCGATCTCCGCTCCGCTCACCAGAGTATGACTCGCGATGCCATCGCGCAGGATACGTTAAATATGGCTACAATCGAACAAGTGTCGCGCCCGACACCTTCCCCCGTGAACACAGCATGGAGTAAGAAGGACTCCCCTTCGCCCCCCCAAAGCGCAATGGAATACAAAAGACCTGGGTTTACGCCTAGGCGTGGACGTCGCGAGTGCCGCGGCCGCCGGCGCGCTGACTTGTCCGCTCATTACCATCATTGACCGGTAAGCAAAGAATAACAATCAATCCTGCTATATATCCATTCAATAGATTCCTATTTCCGTCTTCCAATTTTTCAGAATGGCTACTAGTGCTTGAATGTGGCTAACTCTTTTTGTCCGCGAAAAACAGAGCAATCATCGAAAAAGCCTCAAAAGGCTTCCCAATTCAAAACACAATCAAATCCTGCTTAAAATCAATGATTGCAAAGCCTTCCTCCTTCTTCCTGGGCACCCCTTTCCTCCTCATATATACCCTCTACAGCTCAACCTACCTAACCGCCAACGCCATCGACACTATAACCTCCACATACCGGAACCAACCTTACGACACCGTCACACCGGGCCCGGCTAAATTTATTTCCACAACAACCGTGAACATGGCCATCTGCGTCTACAAAGATGCGCGCTTTGCGAAGATTTTCGGCGCGCAGCAGCAGCCACAGTCACAGCCGCAACAACCACAACAACAAATGCAAAGATATCCATTCCCAAAATCAACACAACATACATCCCTCCGCCCTCCACCTCCACCTCCACCTCAACCCGCAGCAGCAGGACCGAAAATACCCTTAACAAGCTTCACCCTCTTCTGCCTCCGCGACAGCGTAACGATCTTTGCCTCATTTAACGTCCCCCCACTCATCGCGCCCACGATCCCGGATTTCATCGCATCAACGCCCGCAATGAAAGCCGCCGTCGCGCAATTCGCGTGTCCCGCTCTGATGCAGTTCTTCAGTACGCCGATGCACTTGCTCGGTCTAGATCTATATAATCGTCAACCGGTTGGCGGGCTCAGTGCCGGGGATCGCATTGCGAGGATTCGAAGGGATTATGTCCCTTCGTGCTTTGCGCGTATGGGAAAGATCGTTCCTGCTTATGGTGTTGGTGGTGTTGTTAATGTTAGACTTCGGGCTGTGCTTATGGGCAGGCTTGAGGAGGCGGAGAAAATTTAAGCCTAGTGTTTGGGTTTGGGTTTGGGTTTGGTTTTGCTGTGTGCTGTGTGCTATTTGTTTTCGGTATGATCTGATGACTTTATCTCCACTCTAGACTTTCGGGTTCTTGTTCTTGTTTTTTTTTTTTCTGCTTTCTCTCACATGCTTTGTTGGCTTTTCGGGGCTTTCGGGTGTGGGTGTGGCGTTTACTGGGCTGGTGTTGGCCTGTCTTCTTCTGATTCGATCTTTCTTTCTTAGACATTTTCGCATCTCATGGCCATGGCGTTTTGGGTTTTTTTCTTCTTCTTTTCTTCTTTTCGTGTTTTCTTCCTCTTTTTCACTTTCCTTGTTATTGTCATATTATTGTTAGACTAGGACACGGGATTAGACTGTGATATATTTAGTGAATAATCTAACTCAAAGTTAATGGATTCTGAGTGTCTTCGGAAATCAGCTTTGTTACCAGTAGTATTGTTAGTATTGGTTTAATCAAGTCTTTCAGTCTTCCTCCCGAGGTCTACTAGTAACTACCCAATCTCCGAGTATTTGCCTACTAGTAGTTCGCAGGTGCTAAGCTACGCCTTAGCAGCCAATGCCCCCAAGCGCTTTATGCGATACTTGAAGTCTTTATTGGAAGGTAGTAATTAGTCCTTCAGTGTCCACATCCAAAGCCTTTAGATCCTGGTAAAGGTGCCAGTCGGTATCATGGAAGAGCCTCTTTGCCACATGGGTGGAATCAGCTACGAATCCCAAGTAAATCAGATATTGAAGCTTATATATGTGATGAGTTGAATTCAATTCAGATTTCCAGGTAGAGATTAATGAAGTCCAATGAACAATTGATCCCAACCCCCGCCCCTTTTGATGCTACATATAAAACACCCTAAGTGTACTATAGTTACCAGGCCTTGCCTGATACGGCTAGCAAATGTCCATACTGCATGCTATGGCTGTTCTATTCAACAGGCTCCAATCTCTTTTCTCTGAGAATTTCTGGCTGCCTACTTTTTTTATCCCTTCAAGTCCTCGCCCGTCGAAGTTGACTAGTCTGTCAGCACCCAAAGGCCAAAACCATGCCAGTCACTCGATCGGCTGCATGTGCTGCAGAACAAAGTGAGAACTCGAATATTGCCAAGCTTACTTCCAAGAAGACAAAAGTTACAAAGTCAGGCACATCGACCACTCAAGGGACATCTAGCAACAAAACGACAGCCAAGCGCAAGAAATCCAGTTCAGATTCTGAATATAAGGAAGGACCTCTGGAACGTAGCCTTCTTGAATGGGTATTCCTTAAAGACTTGCCCATTTGGGCTATCCCCAACAGCAATGAAGTTTTCTTTCTCTTGCAAGAGGTACAAAAACTGAAAGGATATACAAGTATTCATCGAGGGCGCCCATATGAACTAAGCGCCATTGAATGGGTTAATGATCGATACGTAATCTCTCGAGATAATGAACTCAGCATCATATAAATATCTAATCTACATCAAATAGAGTGGGATGATGAAATATACAGGAAAAGGTTTCTTTCCTGGGAGCTATTCCCAGAATTAGAGAAAGCCCTTACGTCTCGCTTTTGCAGCAAGGAAAACATTCAGCCGACCAACGAAAACTACGCACCGATTATCACTGGCGAACATCCAATCAACCCCAAGCGAAGACTCTATGAGATCCTCATAATCTATTTCCCAGTGGACCTAGATGAAGACTCTATCTGGGGTATAGAACATTCTCAAGAACTACCATACTTTTACAGCACTGATGAAGAGTGGGACGATAAGCCGTTTCCCCTAATCGGGTATAGAGGAGGCCGCTCTAAATGGATGGACGGAGAATGCAAGTACCACGGAGAGCCTGCTAGGCGTTTGGTTTATTTCCTCGAATTTATTGACGAGAAGGCGGAACAAGACTATAAAGAGAAGGTGAAGTGGTGGGGCACGCCTGTTATTCGTGATGTCAAGCCAAATTCCGATGTCATGGTGAACTTCTTCCACGAGTTGGAAAATCTCGGGATGATCGGGTATGATTCGTTGCATGTTCGATTCGTGGAAGTTTTGCACTATGTATGGGAGCACTATGTACCGCCACCCCCCAAAAGCTACACTATGGAAGAAAAGGAGGAACAAAGGAAGTGGTTTGAACATTTAAGAGAACTAGAAGCAGACCCAGATTTAGATTTAATAGGGGAAACCCAATATTAGGGAAGGTTCCAAGGTGAATGAATTGTGGCGACATAGACTTGTACTATCCTGTTATAACTATTTGATGGCCACGCTGGTATAAAGGACAAGTGCATATATGAAGTAACGAAGCAGAATATGGAATGTTCGTTATGAGTATATGCTTTAGTGCAATGGCAAAGCAGTGAACTACGCATAGTGGCTCTCTTGCGAGTATATCAAAAAGGCCATAAGGTTATATCTCGGCATGTGGCTGAGTGTTATGGTTTGCCCGGGTGGTCTATAAAGAGTCTGGAATGATTCAATTTTGGTTGAGAAGGTGTGGCGTGGCCGTTGATCAGTGGCTCGACCCTGACTCGTGCTCTATGCCCAGGTGTCAAATATTACCAAAGAAGCCGAGGCTCACTTTCTAAACACGAATCGCCTCGAAAGTCCTTGGTACAACTAACAAGTTCACGAGGCAGATGGTGCTCAAATTTAGAAAACAGTGATAATAGCTAGAAGCTGGAAGGATAATTTGACAAGAGTGGATCTTGGAAAAGCTAGTTATTACAATTGAAGATAATAATATACATAAAAGGTGCACAGAGGGCAATTTTGCGAGCAACATCAGCCCAGCAGATGTCGGCTCTAGCAACGAATCAGTATATCTTGGTAAATTAGTTAGACAGCGCTCACCACCTGGTCAAAATATTAGCAATTGTTCTCAGAAAGAGCAGATTATATCATCACGAGACTCACGCAAAAGGCTCCGAGTGTAGGTAAAGCTCCTCGACATCTCCCTCCATTGCCCTCGCCTGGGCCATGGCCGCCGCGTTCCGCGTATCATGCAACATACTGGCCGGGCCACAGACTAAAACACCGATACGCTTACGTTGGCCACCGGGGGCAGTCTGTGTCTGAGCAACCCCGACAGTCCGGGCAATAAGACCCGGGACATCGGGCCGTGCATCACGGTGCACATTCAAGCTGAACATCCCTGTCGTCGTACTTTCAACCGGAATCTTCTTCCTTTCCTCTGTCATGGATCCGCGGCCTGAATCAACGGTCGCCATTGATTGGGATGTAATTGGTCGGGAAGTAATATGCACAGAAACAGATGTCTCATAACCGTGTTCTGCGTCTGATAAAAGCTCCGTGGAATGAGTAAGGCGCGATTCCACCTCTTCAACATACCATTCGGCCATGGCGGGATCTCGAGTTGAGAATACGACTTGCAAGTTTCGCCGGCCTTGTGGTCCGGATTTGCCATGTGCTGGGAGTCCCGTTAGACGAAGAGCTTCGTCTACCATTGCGAGCGAGAACCCGCCGCCCGAACCACCGGCAATGACTAAAATGGTGTCGAAACGGGCGAGGTGGTGGGCACTGACGCCTCCGTAGGGACCTTCGATGAGGATCTTCTTTTTGCAGCCGGGGCGTTGGCGAGCTAGGGCGGCTAGACGGGCTGTAACACCTTGGCGGGGTTTGATGTAGAATATGAGCTCCGAGGCTCTGCCAGTTGTGTTAGGATCTCTGTAGACCGAAGAAATTGTGAATGGGTGGGATGTGAGGAGATGGAGGTCAGATGTGATGAACCGGACGAAGACATGTTGGCCCGGTGTCCATTTAACGACTGTAGGGACGGCGACACGGACGAGACCGCTTGGAAGGAGTTCGAGGGTGGCTGTGTGAATGCCGTGCATAAGATAAGTTCTGACATGAGATGTGATAAGAGAAACCAAATACAGCACACCGGAGGCAATAAAATAGTCCCTTTCTTTTATTAGTAGTCATTTGGGAAAGGTGGAGTGAGTAGCATACCATGATGTCAAACGAAAGTCGCAATGAAGGAAGAAGAAGACGACGAAAATTAGAGCGACAAACATATGAGTTGCCTTGAAGAATTCATAGAAACGGTTCCTTGGGAAGGTTAGTTATATAGGTCATCGAGAAGGCGGATTTGATCATACCGAATGGGAGGTAAAGACATAACAGTCAAGTAAGTCTGCGAAAGAAGGGCTGGGATACCGGTCCAGTAAACAACACTTGTTTTCCACTGCTTGACCATATCACCTTTCCGAATATGAAAAATAATATATGGGAACGTATGAACCAATGCCAAAACGAACATGGCATAACTGGTCCAGTGATGGAAAACCTGCAACTTCTCAGGAGGAATCCCCGTTAGAGCAGAAACCATATTGGCTTTCGCACTCAGCACACTAGACAAATTAATATATGACCATATGAAAACGGGGAAGTCAGAACATACAGCACAAATGGCAGTAGTGCCAGAGCCATCCAACCCGCCCTAGTCGCGATCGGAGGACTGCTCCCATAATTTGCATCTGTCGGCCAATAATAAGGTTTCGGACCGAGTGTCATGGCTGCAGATAGCCGCATCAGCATTATCAATCAGGGAATGGGGGGGAGGGGGCAACGGCCCGTTGCTCGGCGGGAATTCCACATACCAAGGAAGAAAACAGCACCGGTCAGGCCAAGGAGGATAACTCCCAGGGATGGTGACCAGTATCGCAAGACGGGAAATCGATATCCACGGTAGGCCATATATCGAGAGGCCGATGTTGTCGCACGCCAGACTCGAGTGCGCTTGACCCATTCGGGGGCATATCGCACGAGAAGATTTGATATGGCGAACACGGCGATGACAGCACACATGAGATATACTGTATTTAGGGCATAGACATGGTCGGCTTGGTACCTGTAGTGAAGTTGTTGTTAACCTTTGTATGTCAACAAGTGCAGTATAGGCAGCATGCGAAACAACGCAGTGCCTCTTGCACAACATACCAATAGCGCCAGCGACTGTTTCGATAAGCACATTGCGCCGCAGACAACTTGCACTTGTCGGCGCGAGAGGAGTGAAGCATCACTGGCTGATCCAGCCAGGGGATCCCAGAGGCCATCTTCTTCATGTCCATCTTCATCTCCATGGTGGACCACTCGTATACAGGTACACACAGTCGGAGCTCAACATCAAATCAACAACAAAGCTGAGATGTGGCAGTCCGCTTGTTATGGAGGATAGGAATCGACCGGAGAAAACGGGTTCGATCGGAAAATTAAAGTGTCGAATCGCGCATCATGACTGAGTTCACTGGAAAGTCGCTGACGATAGTAGGTTGCATGGCCGAAAACGGGAATCGACTTGGAGGGAGCCTTGGGGAGCGCATTGCAGGGCCAACGGATGCGAACCAAGGGAGTGACTGTGGCCATACTCCAGCTTGATTCATTCCAGGCAATCTACCGTATTTTTTTTATTTTTTTCTAGCATTCTTGGGCCTTGGAGATTGCCCCTTCTTTTGCTGCATTGTTCTATTTTGCTTCTATTGTATTGCCAGTTCAATGCTTGTGTCTCGGGAATACCCAGCCAAAAGCGGAGCTGCTCAGCTTAGAGCGAATTACCTCGTCTAAAGTACGTTGGTGGCTTTTTCGATCTAAATAGGTGGGGGAGCTTAAATTTGAGCAGATTTGAGCGTGATCGGCCCCTGACAATGCACGGCCCCTTCTGCACTTCTTCGCCTGGAGATGCCAGGTATAGTCTAGACTCTATACCAGTCATCAGATTATCCAGGCTACTGACACACTCTGCGCAAAGAGCCATTCGGATTGTTCGGATTATTCAAAGTATTGAAATCCACTCAGATCAGGTCTTCTTCTTCACTGACGTAGCTATGCAACCCTACACCCCTCTCCCCTGGATAATACAAGAGCGTTGATCCACTCAGTCAGATCTTGGTACAAACTTCTAGGGTTTCATGAACCATAGAAATTAGAAGAAAAATAAGAAATAAAATAGCCTGTGATTTCATAGACCAAGTTGAGAGTATCATAATATCCGTGTATATACAGAAGAACAAGACAGAACGAAAAGAAATAGAGAACAAGAAATGCCCCAGACTACCGCATCGGGACTAGCCGCTCACATGGCTCGACCAACCCTACATTCGCGAATAACGACATTCTCCTCAATCAAGGGGCACTGCCGATACTGAAACCGCTGTTGCAATCGGTACCTTGACCTTCTCATCCGCAGTGATGGGCCCATCATTTCCGATCCCATATATCTTCAGTGCCCGGTATCCCCCACGTACGCTATCCGCTTCGATGTTGCGGGCCCGCAGCACGCTGGTTGCCACGCGTGCCGTGTCCCCATCATAGCACACGACCACAACGTGATGCGATCCAAGATCCGATACCAATCTGTCATGGAAGATCTGCTCCAGCTCCACCCACTGCGCCTCCAACACCGTGGGATCCGAAAACGGCGACGGCGTGTGCGGGCCAGCACTGTTCAGCGGCAGGTTAATCGACTCGGGCAAATGCCACTCCCCGAAGTCTGTTGCTTTTCGTAAATCTATCACCCGGTGCTGGGGCTTCAGCGTGATTTCTCGCAGCGGTGTTTCTGCGAGAGAGCGTGGTGATCCGTATACCTCGGGTAGTACTTCGAGGGCATCGCGTTCCCAGGCCTCATCGTAGCGGTGGAGATCAACTTTCGTCAGGCGCTGCGGGGAAGAAATTGGATTAGTACGGGGTCACCGAGGTTTCATTGGTATTGTGGCGTCGACACGTCATAGCGTTGGATTCAGTTCTTCTGGAAAAGCGTGCTTACCTCGTTACGGATGGGAGGAAATTGTGTGGTCCCCAATTTCTGGAAGTATTCTTCAATGTACTGGTATGGGAGATCGCAGCACAGGAATACGCAGTGGGTCAATCCATCTGGACCCGCCAGATCGGATAATGTGCCAGCTGCCTTGCGCTTTGATACCATCTGAAACAGACCTTGAAGATTGAATCCGGAGGACGGGCCGCATACCAGCCCCTCGCGGCAGAGCTGTAGAGATAGAGTGTATGAGTCGGAAGATCCGACCTCCTCGATCACATCCACTGCTTCTTTCCAGGGGAACTCCACGGGTCGCATGAGAGCGAAGGAGCGAGGTCCAGGAACCCGGTCTCCAGCTGCTGTGCACACGCCGAGCCTCGTTACGGATGGCTTAACGCTTTTGAAGTATGTTCCGAGGCCTGTCATGGTACCGGAAGTACCCATACCCGCACATAGAACGTTGATCTCGGGCAGTTGTTTGTAAATTTGAGGACCGGTCCAGCGAATGTGAGACTGCCAGTTCTTGTCGTTCTCATATTGGTTGGGGTTGACAATATCTTCGGATTCCATGGCCATACGACGCGCATTTTGAATACCACCGCGGCTGTCCACGGGCTCGGGTTGAGAAGGTCCACCGAACAGAGTGATGTTCAGTCCGAAGAATTGCATCAATTTCAATTTAGCATCACTTGTCTTGTTGCTTAAGAAGGCCCTAGTGTCTTGCACACCGTGCATGACTCGAGCAATCATGGACATGGAGATGACCGTCGATCCGGAACTATACTCGATGATTGTGTTGGTCTTATCGGGCTGCACACTCGACTCGAGCATATTTAACGCTACCAATATGTAAGTATAACCCCTCGCATTCTTTTCAGTATTCGTCATACCTGGCATGCTCTTCACATTATTGGCGGGGTGCATGGTCATCATTTTGGCATATATCCGAACTCCATCATGATAATATGGATTCAGATGCTCGGGCAATTCTACCAGAGGCAGTGGTGGCTGACAGTCTGGATTGAAGTATTTCTTCAGTGAATCCGTACCGAAGTACACATTCTTCTCATTGATGTTGGCCATTTTATCAGGATGATCAGGAGTAGTATCGAAAGTATAAGACAACTTGCTTCCACCAACGCCCATAATACTGAAAGGGCCGAGAGATGAGAACTCCAAGGTTGATACGCACGCTGGTAGCACAAGAAAAGGGATACAGAGAAAAACCCGGGTGCAGGCTCCCCAGATATACCTATTCATGTCGATCAAGCCGCTGAGGAGGGTCCATAGAAGGCCCCCCTCTTCCCTTTGCGTCGGCTTGGCACCCGAAAGGTGTAAAAAGAAAAGACGCAAAAGCCGCTCATCTTCAGATCCACTGTGAGAACTTTTACCAGTCTATGGTATGTTGCTACCATGGCCAGCCAGCAGAGGGGTAAGACAAATCAGACCCAGCTGGTTCCGAGAACGCTGCAAGCGCCAAAAAACAACACCCCACGAAGATGGAATAGGAAGGAGGGCGGTGGGTCAGTGAACATAGGTAATGCGCTGGGTACCTTAGGAGGTTTGCCTCGGGAATTATTATAGTTTGATACAGGTTGCTATTGTAGCCCAACTGTGAGCTCTAGATGGCGTGCAGATAGCGATGGCGTGGACCTTGGTCAGCATTGCCTTTAGTTTGTCACGGAAACTGAATCGGGAAATTTGAAAACGGAGAGATCGACGGGACTCGCATCGCGTCCCCGTCGTGGTATTCAGGGAAGCGATCGTTCTAGAAGGCAAATTGTGGAATTCGTCATTCGTCGGTAGGAATGACACGCTACCATGTGCTTTTTAGTCTGCGATCAGCAGTTATAGAGGGCAGCAAGGTCCCCCTACTACAAAAATACCAAGACATGCCCAGAAACTATATACTAAAGGTCCTCAAACGGTCAGCTCTCACCTGTCTGCTTTGCTGCCAAAATCCATGGATTACCGGAGCTCGATATGATTCCGCCAAAATATGCGAGATCGCGTAAGTACCTTGAGAGTGTTTGAGCAGGTTTGAAAACTTTGGGCGCCGCCGATCAGCGCCTGTCATCCAGTTGCCGCTTTTGCGTGTCGATCCATGTCGTTTTAGGTCCGACCGCGTCTGAATAGCACCGATGGCACTTAGAAATGCGGTCCGGTCGGGTCTGAGCATGGATGGTCTCATTACTTCGGATCGGATGGACCCGTAATCCATATTATTTCGAATTGAATAATTTCTTTTCAATTCTTTTTATTTTTTTTGTCCCCTTCCTGCGTGACCAAAAATAAGGGGGGAAGGGTAAAATCAACCTGAATGCATCTTGCTTCATCCAGAAACTCCTTCCTACATCCCTAGAAGTATCTAGGAGGATACCTGGCTACCCATCGCAACCTATCCCCGTTGCACACGATATGCCCGGAGTCCTAGAAAATAGATCAGGCCACTCCAGCCCCAACAGCTCGGATGCCGATTTGGCGGACAAAAATGGGGCTCAGGTACATTTCAACGAACAAACAAATTATGTGCCCAAGCGTACCATCATCACCGTTAGTATCGCCAAACGCGACTAAATCAAATCAGATAACAAGTTGATGTTCGATCGGACTGACTCCGCTAGATCTTCCTAGCATGTTCGACCGTTGACCTAGTGGCATTGATGGACCAGACGACGCTGGCGGCCAGTCTGTCCATCATTGGCAATTCATTGGGAGCGAGTGACCAGACATCCTGGATTTCCGGTGGTTATTTTGTGTGAGTAAACGAACACAGTGCGCATTCCTTATTGTTACTCTCTAGTCTATTCATTCGTTCATTCTTGCCATAATTACTTTTCCCGCTCTATACATCGCCTGTTTTCTTTTTTTCTCTCCCCCCTGAGAAAACAAATAGCTAATGTCGCAGAACATCAACTTGTTTCCAGCTCCTCTACGGTAAATTATCCGACATATGGTCACGGAAAATTGTCCTATTCGTCGGACTCGGCATCTTCTTCATCGGATCGCTAGCCGCATCTCTCGCACAAAATGTCACCCAACTCATCGTCTTCCGCGCACTCACCGGTGTCGGTGGTGGAGGTCTAATGACCGTGGCCCAAATGATCGTGAGTGACGTGGTTCCTCTGCAAGAACGAGGCAAATATCAAGGAATCCTCGGCGCAGTGGTAGCAATTGCGAACGGTATCGGACCGGTCGTTGGCGGAGCTTTAGCTTCGATCTCTCACGATTCGTGGCGATGGATCTTTCGACTAAATTTGCCATTAACTGCACTGACGACCCTTTTCGTGCTATTTTTCATGCCATTGCGCAAGGTCGAGGGAGACTGGAGATTGAAGTTGAAAGCGATTGACTTCTTCGGTGCCCTGTTGGCTTTGGGTGGAACGGCGGTTTTGCTACTCGGACTGAATTGGGGTGGTGGTGAGTATGCATGGAATTCGGTTCATGTCATCGTGACCCTAGTTGTTGGGTTTGTGATTTCACTTTTATTTGTCGCGTGGCAGTGGAAGGGTGCCCGAATTCCCCTGGTCCCGATGCATATCTTCCGTGGTCGAATTGTGAACGGAGCTTGCTTGACTATGTTCGTCAATGGGTGGAACTTCCTGGTCCAGGTCTATTATATCCCTACTTTCTACCAGCTTGTTTTTGGATATTCGACGGTCAAGGCTGGTGCTATGCTGCTGCCAATTACTTTGATGCAGAGTAAGTCAATGTTTTTTCTCCTTTACTTGTGCTTCGACGCTAACTGCAACCCTACAGCTGTCAGTAGTACACTTTCTGGCCTTGTCGTGCACTGGGTTGGTCGTTATCGAGAATGTATTCTTTTTGGCTGGGTTATATGGGCTGTTGGTCTTGGTCTCTTTTCAACACTGGATCAATCATCTGGGCTCGGCAAACAAATTGGATACGGAATCCTGACTGGCGCTGGTGTCGGTAATACCTTGCAGCCGTATGCTTCGATCTTATTTTCCAAGTGTGCCAAGTTTTTCACTAACTATTCTACTAGTTCCCTCATTGCAGTCCAAGCCGGTGTCGACAGACGTGATATGGCTGTCGTCACGTCATTCCGCAAGTAAGTATAACATTATCTACCACTAAGCACTGTCTAATAATTTTCAGCTTTGTTCGAAATCTCGGTGGTACTCTCGGCCTAGCAATTGCTGGTACAATAATGTGAGCACTTCCGCCCTGCAGTATCTTGTATCTTACTCCGCCATACTGACAACCCCAGAAACAATGTCTTGGGATCATCCATTTCATCCCTCAGCCTCGGCGACTCCGAGTCACGGTCCCTCCTTTCAAGTCCCCAGAACTATCTTTCCAAACAGTCCCCCGAAGACGCAGAGCATATCCGCAGTGTCCTGATCCCAGCATACCAGAAGGGATTTCGGATTGTCTTCATCATTGGAGCCTCGTTATCTGCCTTGGCTTTCTTCTTGGCCTGGTGGCTAATGCCCCAAGTGGGGTTGAAGCGAGCAGATGATGAACAGTTGAAAGAAGAGGCTAAAAAACGAGTCAATGGGGAGTTGGATGAGGAGAAGCGCGGTTGAATGACGAACGGGTCTTTCTTGAAACAGAACGGACTCGAACCAGTTCGTTCCTGGGTACTTGTCCAATGAAAAGAACCTCTACTAATTTCGGATTTCTTCGTCTTGAAAAGTGGTGTATAGAAATGCTAGCAGAATCAAGATTTTTTCCCACATATAACAAATTTCACTTATGACCTCCCGAGATATCTACAGCCTGTAATCACGATTTAGGTTGATTAGTTAAGGCAATATGTACACCACATACAGCCCGGCCCCTATTCATCCGATAAATCATGATTATGAAAATTTAGCCAAGAAGCCAAGAAGCTTGGCTTCCAAAATATCATTTCTGGTGTCTCAGATCTACATTGTAGATTATTATCCAAGGACCAGGGTCCTCAAAGATCATCAGATTTACGACGTGTAACGTGTGTCAGAAGGACCCCTGGGCTAAGCCATCTTATGTTTCTCGGCTTTCGGATTATCATAAGGTCAGACTTTCTGCTCATGACTAACTAGCTACTAAGCCCAATCGGGTATTTTTATGTCTTGGAAATCAGGCTTGACAACAACTAAGGACGTAGTCTACAAGAGTAGTGCTAAGTAATTGGACCACTCGGGCACATTTTTTTGCTTTATGGGTAGTAGCATAGTAGTATAATTTATAAAATAGTAGAAGAGATGATAAAGGATAGCAGAGTAAATTAGAGGAAATAGAAGCGCCGTAAAAGTTTCCAACTAGTAGCTATCTGAGATAGAATAGATTGGCAACCTTGATGTGCTTCTTTCTTACACCCTCTTCCTATTATTAGCCATGTTCCTTCGCTAGTATTATGGAGAGAATATCACTTCAATTTTAGAACCAAGATTCAATCAAAGATAGACGTAGATAAAAAGGGCAAGGGAATCTCCTCCCTCTCACTCGTCACTATATGAATAATATGACTATCAAAGGCAGAATAAAATAAAGTCACCCCAAAATATCCCCTCGTCCCCTCAAACTCACACCATAGAAAGTTTCGCACTAACCACTAAAGATCCAAAAGACCAATTCTATGCGTAGCTAGGCTTCGTCTCGCAAAGGTGCCAAGGGCTTTGGAAACCATCCATTTGAGCAGCGTCGATAAAGGCCTTAGTCTTATCCGCATCACCGCAGAGATCACCACACCAAACAGGGCGACTCTCATGACCATAAGGCTGAAGAATATACTCTCCAAGATCCCAGTTCTGCCCAATGGCACCACTGACATCGCAAACAGGGACAGTAAAGATACCTTCCCAAGACGCACCCTTGGAACCAGGACTAGCCCATGCATTGGAAATAGCATCGTGCGCACGCGAGGCTGCAGTGTCAGCGTTGTAGTCGTATCCAGCGACATTCCATGCATCGAGAGACGAGTTGAGAATATCCTCCACACTGACACCCTTGTACTCGGCCTGTCCGAGCTTGTCCGAGCCAGGGGGTGGGTTGACCCATCCCCACTGGTGCGAGTTGAGCGAAATACCGCTGTTCTCTTGCCAGTAATACAGGTACCAGGCCTTACCATCACGGCAGATGACCGATTCCTGAGGACCGGAGCCAATGCCCTGGTTATCACCACAGGCACCACCGCCTAGGATGAATATCTTCTGCGTCCGGTACAGCTGGTTGATGGAGGTTCCGATCAGCATGTTTGACATGGAGTCTGTGACGGCATTTTTGTCGACGCCTTGGAAATCAAGGAATGCGCCGCCGGAGATGTAGCTGCGGATATCGGCATCTCCGTAGCTCTGGCCGTCCATGAGTTGGTTGTTGGCGGTTGTGAAGGACTCCAGCGACTCGAGGACAACCTTGCTGAGAATTCCGCCTAGGTCGGCGGATTTCTGGAAGGTGTCGTCGGCGTGGTTTCCAAGGGCGATACCGATAGCACCGTTGGAACCGGAAATGATGGCTGAGCCAGCACCGGCAGTGGCTCCAATGGCTGCAGGACCCATACCGGCGAAAGCAGCGCCAACTCCGACAATGGTGGTGACGAGGCTTAGGACCTTCTTGAGACTATCGGAACTCTTATCATCCTTGTCCGTGTAGAAAGTAGTAGCCCACGAGTCCTTGGCGAGAGCCGCGCTGAGAGCAGCGGTGTTGAATGCCTGCGAGAGGCCGCTGAAGTAGCTGTGGAGACGGTTGACGGACTCGAGAACGTAGTAGGTAGGGCGAATGTCACGGCCACGATCATTAAGAACGCGGTTATCACACAAGTTCAGGTCACAGCCCGTGCTAGATCCATCGTCACGACAGGACCAATCCGGGTTTCCCAGGGCCCATTGTCCAAAGGCGCCCGCGAAACCGGCAGAGTTCTTCTCAATTAGATCAGTGTTGTTGTTCCACCAGTTATTAAGCCAGTCACCGGTCTTATAGTTGTTCCAATCCTCAAGGTGTTGACCATAGTACTTGGAGACTTGGCCACAGCGCTTGAAGTTACGGCGAGGGGCAACGAGAGGGTTGGTGAATTCGGAAGCTGCCGAAGCTCCCTGCACCTCAGGAAGAACAGCAAGAGCTGTAATAGCGAATGAGAGAAGCATGTTGCTTCAAAATATAGGCAAAGAATCAATATCGAAAGGGAATAGTAGTAGTATAAGAATGAAAGAAGACAAGGAAGAAGTCCAACCTCGTAGGAGTGATAACTCTCAAAGTAAAATGAGCGACAATGGAGAGTGTGAATCCTGATACTCCTCCAGGAAAGAGCTTCTATTTATCTCCTGGCAGGAGATTGATTGCCCTCCTCACAAGGAGAGTGGTGTCTTGCCGCTAATCCTAACGGCATTTGAATCTCCTCAACACAGACCCACAATGTAACGCTCACGGGGCAAAGCAGAGTACATCAAATTGAATATGATAAAAAGTATCTGACACATAAGAACGGAGTATATAGCCCCCACTGCAATGTATTATCCCAGTGATATGCAGTCATCCCCCCCATGAGTAGGACATATCTAAGGCCGGAACGCCATGATCGACAGGGACTCCCAACAGATCGAGTTTAGCGGACGCCACTCATCTTCATCAGGGGCCCCAGCTGAAGGACGAGAACGACCGGGATGGCCAAGAGCTTGGGGATCCGCAGCCTTGGGGGCCATTCTGATAGTCCACTTTCCTTTAAGGGATTCGTGAAGGATTGAGTGGGGCGAGTTTGTCGAAACCGTTCCCTGTTTGGGAAACTGCTCTAACTATGGCTATGGATCTGAGTTTATTGAATAATATCAGTACCAATTTCGCGGTAAATTGATTATGCATACTGATAATTCATCACATCCGGTTCAGCCTTGTGGTAGTTTAAGTCGTCAGTCAGCCACACCGTTTATGCGTTTATGAGCCCAAGTTTAGTAAATTATATCGATGGCAGGGTGATCCCGACGTCTGACAATTTGCCGATGCGATGCTGTGAGGAGTCGGGACATAAGCTTGTATCCACCATTTTTCTACTACTACGTACGCGCGTTTTCTCTTACGTCCGTGGGACGCCGTAGAGCTGATGACTTCTTAGTAGTCGAACTAGTGTTCAGTCAATTTTAGGCGTTCGATTGACTCGAGCACTTCATTAGTTATAAAAGGCAGCGCTTAGGCATACAGAGCAGGGAACATACTAGTAGAGCGATGCAGGGAAAGGGATACGACTTTATGGCAGTTGTGCGAAGAGCGCTTGTATATCATTTGAATTCCATCTACTCAATCATCACCATTAAGAGCAGGGATCAAACTATTAAAGAAAGTGAGGCTAAGCCTAGCACAAAATCACGAATTGTCATATCAGTCATCAGTCGTCCGCAGTAAGATCCAAACGCCAACCAAGGAGGAAGACCACATCCTGGTCTGAAAAGGGAACGAGAATAAAAAGGGGTCTGGGAAATGAGAAGAGGAGAGTGTAGAACATGACCAGCGGCTGGAACGAGAACCAGAGAGCTCTGTTTTCTCTCTCCATCACAACTCGTCAATAACAACAACCTGCTCAACAATCCAATCCACAAAAACCTGACACTCTAATTTCCACCTCCCATTCACCCACACATCCCCCAACCAATAACTCCACGGTTTACTCGGGCCCAGGTCCCAGAGTGCATTATTCGACGATCGATTCGCGCCACCGGTACTTCCGTCCGCACCGGCAGATAGGTCCTGGTTGACATTGCGGAGCCCCATAGCAGATATGGAGGCACTAGCACCCGTACCCTGAGCTGACTCCGACTTCCCCTGACGAGAGAGCCACTCGCGTTCGGCTTTTTCACCCGCACGCCGGGCAACCGCTTCCTCGTCTTCTGCTTGGTAGAGATCACATTTACTACACTCCGTACAGCGGGAGCCGGGGTTGATACGGAAATGTTCGCAGAAATGCTTATAGCCTTCTGGTTCTTCAAACTCGTCCTCGTCGGAGTTCCCGCGGCCATCATCTTCTGCAGGTCCGTCGGTAGCACCTTGTCGGGCTGCGGCACGGTTCATGGGTGGTGCGGGGCGTACCGGCTGAATAGGAGGGCCCAGGGCTTTGCGGCAGAGATAGCACATGGAATACCCACATACGCAGGTTAGCTTGTTACAGCCGGATGATTTGACGAAGGAGAGGCCGCAGCGAGGGCAGGTTCGTTTTACTGCGGCGGTGCGAGCTGCTTCGACTGTTGCGCGAAGGTCAAGGAGGAGTGGTTCGTGGCAGACGTGTGGGTCTTGCCATGATTTTTGGCAGGTCATGCAGCTGATTTTCTTGCAAGAGGGGTTGGCACAAGTGAATCTCTTGGGCCGGATTTTGAGGCAGAGGTGTCGGATCGCGTTGTTGAAAATTGCTTTGGCGGAGGGCGGGTCCAAGAGTAGGAGAATTAGGAGAATGGGTATAAGTAGAGGGATAAGGTCAAGAATAAGAAGAGACATTAGAATGCTGGAGATAACACCTCCATCTCGGCGAAAACGCCAGCCAATACCACGCGAGCATGGGTGATACACCGGATCAGCTTCGGCGTAGGAACAGAATGGGCATCTGATGAGCTTCAGTTGTGATTTTAAAAGGGTCTCGGACGCCAATCGATCCTCGAACTTGCGGTACGTCTCCTGGCCAGCGGTGTCCAGCAGCACGGCCTGCCGCACGATTTGGGGCCGAAGACAACCATCACAGGAACCGGAAGACAAAGGTGCGATGCATTTCAAGGTAGTGTGTTCTAGATCGACGGATTTGCCCCATCCTTGACCAAAGAGGGCTTCAGATATTGTTCGCTGGATGCAATGATAGCAGATTATATGGGCGTCGGTCGAACAAGTTGAGACCTGTTCCCAGGTCACGTCGGCAAAGCAGCATTCACATTCGTACAGCGCATCGGCGGCCTGGGCTTCCTTTTCATTCACATCAGAGGCGAATCGGAAATCGCTTAATTCCTGCTCTTCCCGCCTTTGCCGAAGCACAGGGGCCACGAGGAACGCATGCAACTCGTCGTCAAGCTCGACACTTCCAGTTTCTTTCAACCGGGGTGTCAGCTCCCCGTCTGAACGCCGTTGCCATGACAGAAGCGGGTGCTCATCTTTATCTTTCTTGCGCTTGAAGGATGGGAAAATGCTATTAAAAGTAGCTCGCCAGGTCCGCCGCGCGAGATCCCGTAGCGTTGGCCGTGCTCGCACGTAGCTGAAGTTCACTTCAGCCAGCACAGCATCAATTGTACTCTTGCTGAGGCTACTGAACTCCTTCCCGAGGGCGTTCCGTACTGCAAGTTTGTATCCCTCGGATCGAAAGCGTTCCTCAGCCGGGACTAGAGTCTCTGCTGTCGCAGCGTGGTCTGCTAATGCGGTAGCTCGATCGTCTTTCTTATTCCCATCTTCTCCATCTCCATCACGTTTTCCGTCTGGGAGATTCCAACGACCATTTACCCATTCTTTCTTATGTCGGAGCAGTTGTTCCACGCAGACTTGTAGTCGGCTCTGGCCATCAAATCGTACCAACAACTCACGAAAGACCTCGATTCTTACATCGGGAAATATCCGAGCAAGGTGTTCCAGTGCAGCATTTAGCTCTTCCTGCTCTCTTATCTGCTCCTCTATTTCCTCGGCGGAAACCTGTATTGAGCGAGATCGTGAGGTGTTTCCGAATGGGTTATTTCTCAATGCTTCGAGGGTGATGGAAGGGTTGCTTGGTGATGTCGAGGAACCTGCCAGTATGGAAGGTTTCCAGGAGTTGCGTTTAGTGGAAGAGGAGCTGGAGGAGGATCCGGTTGCAGAGGCACGACGTCGGGGTTGTGGTTGCGGTATTGGTTCTGGTTGTGTTTGCTGTTGATGTTGCGGCTGCGGCTGCGGCTGCTGTGCGGGCGCGCTGCCGTCGGCGGGGCGCGGGGGAGTGGTGGAGGTGGAGGATGAAGATCTGGAGAAGCCGGGAACCGACAGCGAGAGCACCATGGTGGGAGATGCGATGGGGTGTCTGCTACATGGTCGGGTTCAGGGAGTGTCGGAGTAGGAAGATTGCGTGAGAGGGTGTGTTTGTTGGAAGAATGAAGGGCCACGCAAATAACTAAGAGGGGGTTACATAAGGCGGGCACTATGACTACAATATGGTGTTGCCTGCGTGTTAGTTACTTAGTTACTACTACCTACTAGTAACTATACCAAGAGAAACTGACTCAGTTCGGATCGCAGGACCCTTGACTACTAGTTGAAAAAGACCCTGTTTGCATTCTGTACAACATCTGTGAAGTTTCCTACTCTGTTTTCTAGTACTAACTAGGCTATCTCCGGGCCGGTGGAGTTCTAGAGCGCCCCTTGCGCTGAAGTCGCGTCGGCTGCACCAGCGATGTATCAGTCACCATGGGCTGATAACCCGAGAATACCTTAGTTCGGATAACGAGAGAATGGATGATATCCATTGGAATGCGTAGGGTAGAATGGATCCACTCCGACTGCCTATGAGTAGGCAATACTCCGTACTCCGTAAGATTATGTAGGTCTAATACGGTACCTATGGAGTACAAAGTTCCAAGATTCCAATTTCCGAGATGTCTCATTGGTGGGAATAAATAAATAAAACAAAGAACTTGAACAATCCAAATTTATGTACATACACAACTTGAAACCAAGAAGCCACATTCGGTCTGGAATTTCTTCTTCATCCCAGCTCTCTTGTGTGCCAATGGCCAGGTCAATTCAAAGAGCAAAAACGCTTCATCCACAAAGGTTGACATCATGATTATTTTACAGCTTGGCCTTGGCGCCCTCGAGGAGCTCCGCACCAGCGCCGGTGATGGCGGGCTTGCCAGTCTCGACAACAGTGGCCTGGAAGAGCACGGTGTTGCCCTCCTTCCACATCTCAGTCTTGAGAGTCTGACCGGGCAGCACGACACCGGCGAAGCGGACCTTGAGGTTCTTGTAGGCCCCGTACTTGGCGAAGACCTGCTTGGCCGCAACACCGAGCGAGCACAGACCGTGCAGGATGGGGGTCTTGAAGCCACCGACCTTGCTGAACTCGGGGTCGATGTGCAGAGGGTTGCGGTCGCCGTTCAGACGGTACAGAGCAGCCTGGTCCTCGGAGGTCTTCTCCTCGACAACGGCGTCGGGGGCACGCTGAGGGGCCTTGTAGGCTGCGGTGGCACCCTTGGGGCGGACGGCGGTGGGCTTGGGAGAGCCACCGAAACCACCGCTACCGCGGATGAAGACGGTCGATTCGTTGTAGAACAGATCCTCGCCGGTCTTGGCATCCTTGGTGGTGAAGCCAGCGACGACGAGGGCGGCGTTACCCTTGTCAACGACGTCGATGAGCTTGGGGTAGGTCAGGGTGTTGGCGGTGGTAGGGATGGGGAACTTGCGGACCTCCATGTACTGCTCACCGTGGAGCAGCATCATGGGAGAGAAGTCCTTCACGATATCATCCATGTTCCACGGGGTCTGGGTGTTGAACCAAGGGATCACACCGTATGAGGGCAGAGCCTGGAAGTGCTCGCTGTTCTCGTACACCAGGGGCAGGTCAGTGCGCTTGGCACCCAAGCTCAGGTTGTAAAGGATAACATCACGGTCAGTGTAGTCGAAGGCGCTGCCCTCGGTGGTAAGAGACTTGGCCTTCTCGATGTTGGCCAGGGTCTCGTTCTCACCGCTGCCACCGGCGCGGTTGGACATGTTAGCCATGATCTTCTCAGTGCCAGCAGAGCCATCCTCGGGGTGGTCGGCACGGCCGTCTTCGAAGTTGGTGATCTGAGGCCACTTGGCAAGGACCTCCTCGGGGGTGAGCTTGACGTCCACGGGGAAGCCGTGGCCGCCAGAGCGCTGCCAGCGGGTGCGGCCGAACCAACCACTACCGCACTCGAACAGACCCTTGGTGGAGGGCTCGGGAGCAGCGTCGGAGCTCAGCAGAACAACCAGGGGAGCAACGTAGTCGGGCTTGAAAGCCTGGACCATCTCCTCGGGCATGATGGTGCGGGTCATGTTGGTACCGGCGTTGGGAGCGATGGTGTTGACCTTGATATTGTACTTGGCACCCTCCATGGCGAGAGTGCGAGAGAGGCCCAGGATACCGAGCTTGGCGGCGGCGTAGTTGGCCTGTCCGAAGTTTCCGTAGATACCGCTGGTGCTAGCAGTGTTGACAACACGACCGTACTTCTGCTTGAGGAAGTAGGGCCAGGCGGCCTTAGTGACCTTGTAGGTACCACGCAGATGAACGTTGACAACGGAGTTCCACAGGTTGTCATCCATGTTGGTGAAGGCCTTGTCACGCAGGATACCGGCGTTGTTAACCAGAATATCAATGCGACCGAATGCATCAATGGCAGACTTGACGACAGCATCACCGTCCTCACAGTTGGCCTTGTTGCCAACAGCCTTACCACCGGCCTTCTTGATCTCCTCGACGACGGTGTCGGGGTTGACGAGATCGTTCACAACAACGGAGGCACCGTACTTGGCGAACAGCAAGCAGTATGCGCGACCCAGACCGGCACCACCACCAGTAACAAGAGCAACACGGCCCTTGAAGTCGGGCTCCTGAGCCTTGGGGGCGGAAGACAACTTCAGGCCATCCTCAAGATATGCCATGAAGTCAGCGGGGCCAGAGGGGTACTCGGGCTTGGAGAAGTCGTTGACATCGTTCCACTTAGCGGCCAGAGCTCCGGGGGTGAGGGAGTCGTCGGTCTTGAGCAGAGCGCCCTTAGATCGCTCCCAGCGGAGCTTAGCAACGTGGCCACCACCGACCTCGTAGATGCCACCGCTCTCGGTGGTGTTGGAGGAGTGAACCAGACGAGCGACAAGAGGAACAACCCAGTCGGGCTTGAGGTTGTCCAGAACATCAGGGGGCATCACCGTCGCGGTCATGCGGCTAGCAGCGATGGGGGCAATGACGTTGGCAATAATGTTGTACTTAGCACCCTCCTTAGCCAGAGTCTCGGTGAAACCGACCTGACCCAGCTTGGCGGCCGAGTAGTTGGCCTGGCCGAAGCTACCGAAGAGACCAGCAGCGGAGGCAGTGTTGATAACGCGGCCAAACTTTTGTTTGCGGAAGTGAGGCCAAGCGGCACGAGCGCACTATTTGGAGAATAGATGGATCAGTACTGGCGCTTTGGAGGGATCTTCTTTGAGTATCGATAGCCTGCTAACCTTGTATGCGCCGTAAGTGTGAACGCGGTTGATGAGGTCCCAGTCCTCATCCTTCATGTTCTTGAAGCTGATATCACGGAGGATACCGGCATTGTTGAGGAGAATATCGATACGGCCGAAGTTCTTGACGGCAGTCTCAATGATGGCCTCGCCATTCTCGACGCTGTCGTAGTTGGCAACCGCCTTACCGCCAGCGGCGCGGATCTCATCGACAACGAGGTCGGCGGCCTTGAGGATGTTAGCGGATGCTGGGGGACTCTAATATCGGTTTACATAATAATTCACATACCTTTGATGACTTGCCATCGCCCTTGTGAGAACCACCGAGGTCGTTGACCACGACATTAGCGCCCCTTGAGGCGAAGAAGATGGCATATGCCTTTCCCAGACCGCCGCCGGCGCCGGTGACGACGACCGTCTGGTTATCAAAGCGTAGATCGGACATTATTTGTGTATGATGAGAAGTCCGATTCAAACAGTTCTCAAGGAAAGCTCGAACTGAAGGAAGAGAAGAAGGGGAAGAGGGGAGTTTAAGGATGAGCTCGGTCAACCGAGAGCTGGGGCTGCCACAGACCTCGGCTCGTTTGCACTGTAAGAAATGGGGGGGAATTACCTTACATTACACGGTTGCTTCACATGCCGACTGCCGGTCACCACCACGGAGGAGTCCGCAGTAGGGTATTCTAGTAAGGAGAAGGTAATTGATACTTTTTTTTATGCCGGACATTTCATACACTGTCCATGGGCCTTGACCCATCTCACATCTCCCTTTTCGTCTACCGTTTATGCCATTTTCTCTCTGTTTTATTCATACCGAGTCCCGCTGACTCAGACATGTGACAGGCAACGTCATCGCCATGTGCCTGCAACACTGTAATCCATGCATGATTTAATCATCAATTAATATCTAGGTCGACTATTTGATACTTTTGGAAGCATTTCAGAAATACCATGGATAGTGAAGTCTCCTCTGCAGCTAGTTTGTCTCGCCCGATAGAAGTAGTATATCCATCAATGCCTACCCCGCGACCCCAGATTCCGCCCGATCGGACAACTTGCCGGCCACCGTAGCCGATAGAATAAAACCAGCATTAGCCCGTCAACCCATAGAAACATCCCCCTTCAAGGCAAAACCACCCCACAAAATGCCGATAATAGACGACAAGTCACAACACTGTATTCCTTTTCTGCTCGAGCGTCTCCGCGCCCACGCAGACCGTCATAAAAATACCCCCGATGCCGATACCCCACCATTCTTCCTAGGCCTCAATGGCGTGCAGGGCGCCGGCAAGACGGTGTTGGTACGTTGAACTCCGACCGGCCTCTCTCTCTCTGATACCTCGGGACGGCTCGTCGGTCTACTTCCTACCCTGGCCTGTCCCGAGCGTTTCCCCGGTCTCAATGCCATGCTCCATACTCCTCCTCGGCGCAGTGTCATGCAATCAATCCAACTAACAATGACCCGCAGGTATCAGCATTACAGGATACCCTCCGTGCCGAGCCATACTCCCTCTCCGTCGTGACCTGGTCTCTGGACGATATCTATCTAACACACGCCGATCAAGTCGCGCTAGCACAAGCTCACCCAACAAACCCCCTCCTCCAACACCGCGGCCAGCCATCAACCCACGACCTAGCGCTCGGAGAGAAAGTCTTCGCCTCACTCGCTGCGGAGCTTCCAACCGCCATTCCGCAGTATGATAAGTCTGCATTTGCCGGACAAGGGGACCGAGTACCCGAGTCCCAGTGGGAAGTCGTGAATGCCGACGGACAGCAGAGGATCAAAGTTGTAATCTTTGAGGGCTGGTGTGTTGGGTTCCGGCCGCGGGACGATGATACCCTGCGCGCGCTTTGGGAGGATGCGGTGAGGCGGAAGGAGAGTGGTGGTGATTATCAGGGGAGGCTAGGGCATGTTCGGTTTGAGGATGTAAAGACTGTGAATGAGTCGCTGAAGAGATACAATGCTTTGACTGAGTAAGTTTGATGGTCTTTCTGGGAACGATTGGGTGCCAGTGTAGGTATGGCATGTGGCTGACTTCTAAACAGTAAACTCGACGCGTTGATTCATATGTAGGTTAATGATGATATATCTAGGAGCGAGGTGTTGAATGCTAATTTCTTGACTAGCGATGCGCAGAATCTCCGATTCGTCTACGAATGGCGTCAGGAGCAGGAGCGCGGTCTGCGTGCCACCAAGGGCACCGGCATGACCGAGGATCAGGTCAACCACTTTGTGGATGGCTGTTCGTGCAATATTTCCCCACAACTTGCATGGAGGCAATACTAACTGTACTACGACAGACTACCCCTCCTATGAACTCTTTACCGATACACTCCGCGAAGGTGTCTTCAAGCTTACCCAGGACACCTCTGCATCCGAATCCGAGTGGAAGGATCGACAACTTCGACTGGTGGTTGACCGGAACAGAAGGGTCCAGGAGGTGATTAAGATCTGATCTACCACTGCAGTTCTAAATTATAGATGTTAGATGGCTACTACTACTAAAGAAGATTGGAGCTTTTCAGGTTGAATATAGACCAGTCAAATTATATGTAGAAAGTGATTATCGGATGTACTAGTAGATTCTAGATGCAGTGGGTTAACTTGAAAGGATAGGTATCGCATTTGTAGCGTATGGGGATCGCTGAGAATTTGGCATCGGCAAATCCTCCAATTTATCTGCTTTCATCCGCTCAATCTGCAGCCCGGCGGTGCCTGTGTAATGGGTTTCATGGTATCTGCGCCATGACAACAGGTGGTGGCTCGATTCTCGTGTTCCAAGGTGAAGACGACTTGGCAAGTTGAAATCTTGTTCTTTGGGTTGTCGCCAGTTTACTTAGTGTCATTTCTGTCAATATGGGCGGGCTTAGGAACCGGTGACGTGTTGACCTAGTTGACCGGCAACCCTTCTTGAAATTCAGAGCTGGTTTGTGCTCGGTTAATACGTCGGAAGGCTTTTGGCCGCAGTTGTAGTGGGGAGGCTTGATAATCAGTTTAGTGGGTATCTTTTCATCCACTGTCATCCAAGAGGTTCTGCGGCGACCAGTACTCTTTCTCCGGTCCCTGAGCATCCACCCAAACGAGACCGTCCGCAACAAGATCGTCGATCACGGTTTGTGCGCGAGCCTTTTCCCACTTGAGATTAAGTCGCAGCATTGAAACGCTGACATAGCCCAGGACCTGAATAGCTTCAAGTACCGTGGCCTGATCGGTATTCAACTCCTTCGGAATCGATCGAATATATTGTTTAGATCCGACGCGGACGATAGAGAAGCCCGACGCTAAAGGTTCAAGGGAGCGAACAGCCCGAAGGATATCATCTCTACAAAAGCGGAGTATCGTTAGTGACCCGTAGCGCTCGGCAGGTACACCTATGGTGTGGTAAAGGGGAAAGGTGATCATACTCTGAAACCTCCAGCCCACTTCCAATTGCTTTCCCCTTACCTACCCGGTTCCGGCATTCTTCCACACCAATGAGTCCGCCATTCTCGGCTCTTGTTTCCCGGCAGAGTTCCACAACTCGCACGGCAACTTCGAAATAGAAGTCATTCATATCCCCGCCCATGATCTGGGTCCAGAAGCTGCCTCCTTCTCCTAACCCTCGGCGACTGTTCTTGCCCTTAACATTGCTGGCGGCTAGTGGATCCACGCCTATCGTATTACACATGCGCGCGAATTCAGCGCGAAACGTTGGGTTGGACTTGATTGTGGAACTATGCTCTAGGGCAAAGGTATGGAGCAACGATTGGAAGACCGAGAGCTGGGTTTGGAGGGAGGACAGATGGGTGGAACGAAGGTTGGCGCCATGGGTGGCATAGGATTGAGTTGCCTGGGTTCTATTGGCAAAGGCACCGAGCCCAACACCACGACGAGACATGCTGGTGACCAGATAGAAGTGTTGTTGTTGCCAGTTGCGGAGACACGCGGGGTCCTTCCTACTGCAGCCCGGGTTGAATGAGGTCATCTGACCGTGAAGCACGAGGTAAGCCCTAATCGCACGTGATATGTGGTGATAAGGGTAGGGTATTGCATATTGGGTTAGCTTGCTTACTGGTCACGCTAGTCCGTTCCTGGTTAGTGGCATCCACCCACACAAGCGAATTCCTCTCTTTTCTTCGTTCGAGGGAGTCGAACTTTTTCTTCCCGACAACCTCGCCGACAGCCATCTCCACGACGACCTTCACAATGGCCCCCGTCACCACGTATGATGCCCTTCCTTACTGATTGATTCAATCCTTCGAGATTGTGAGGTTGCCGGTATAGTCGTCCTTTTCTCGCTGGAGATGCTACGGTCATCGTTCCCGACGATGACTGCTGGGCACCAGCTCGATCCTTCCTACACCCTCTTCCTGCTCGATCGATCCTTCGATTTGCCTGTGTGATTCCAAGTGAACAACCGACAGGAAAGGGCCACGGAGTATTGAGGTTGAAAGCTATGATGGCCTTCTCTTCCAAAACCATTGTTGTTCAGCTTTCGCAATCCCACACTTTGATGCGGTAACAGCAGTCATTCTGTATGGAGCGAATAGCGTCAACGCATACTTCCTGAACATCTGTTCGGGGTATTGTCGGATGAAGGCAGACATGGAAAAATTTTGTCGGGTGGTTGAAAATTTTCTGCGAACCTTGTTGCTGAAATATGCACATCAGTAGCGGAACTTCCCTTCGACACCAAACACCCACAAGATACCATAGCCCTCACTGATCAAAGACATTTCGTCGAGTTATGTTTTATCCTATTGCCTTCAGTTCGAGAATGTGGCGCTATATGCTGCAGTTCTTACACTCGGCGAATTGTCTCAAGTCATTGTTACTTGTGCGGACAGACTGTACTAACCTGCCACAGCTCCGTCCCTACCCAGGACCATGTCCTCGTCCCCGAGACTCTCCTGAAGAAGCGCAAGAGCCAGGAGGCCGCCCGTGCCGAGCGTCGTGCTGAGGCCGAGGAGAAGAAGAAGGTTGGTTTCCTCTCCCCATGCATCTTTAGCATCTTTTTCCCCCCCACCCACACCCTTCTCCAACTATCTGATGACAACACCAACCACGCGACTAGACCAAAAGGTCAATGCTGTCGCATGTCAACCATCTTTCGGGTCTGATCCTGTTGATGACACATACACTTTGTCTTATCACCATGCTTTTTGGGAACCTCTTAACTGACTCAGTATCCCATAGGCCAACAAGGAGAAGCGTGGTGTTATCTTCAAGCGCGCTGAGTCCTACGTCAAGGAGTACCGTGACGCAGAGCGCGAGAAGATCCGCCTTGGCCGCGCTGCCCGCCAGGAGGGTAACTTCTACGTTGAGGATGAGCCCAAGCTGGTCTTCGTTATCCGTATCAAGGGGTATGTTCTCGCTTCATCTGTACTTCCATCCCATTCCAAAGCACCTGGCTAACCCACCATACAGTATCAACAAGATCGCTCCCAAGCCCCGCAAGATCCTTCAGCTGCTCCGCCTGATCCAGATCAACAGCGGTACCTTCATCCGCCTGACCAAGGCTACCCAGGAGATGCTGACTATTGTCAACCCCTACATCGCCTACGGTTACCCCAACCTGAAGTCCGTCCGTGAGCTTCTGTACAAGCGCGGTTACGGAAAGGTTAACAAGATGCGTGTTCCCCTGACCGACAACCAGCTTATCGAGGAGAACCTCGGCAAGTACGGCATTGTCTGTATGGAGGATCTGATCCACGAGATCTACACCGTCGGCCCCAACTTCAAGCAGGCCAACAACTTCCTGTGGCCCTTCAAGCTGTCCAACCCCAACGGTGGTTTCCGCACTCGCAAGTTCAAGCACTACATCCAGGGTGGTGACCTCGGTAACCGTGAGGAGAACATCAACGCTCTCATCCGCCAGATGAACTAGATTGTTTTCTCTTCGGTAATCGGGGGATTCGGTGTGCGTTGGGTCTAGAACCCATTCCTTTGGGGGGGGTTCCTTGCCTCTTCGTCATCAATAAAAATGTTACTTTTAACGACGTTATTGTCACGGGTTGTTTAGGCACACAGGCTGTGTTTTCTTTAGTCAATTAGCGATACGGTCTGGGATTTCCGGTAATTTAATGCTTCAGACAACCCGAATTGCATTCTTCCTTGTAGTCAATTGTAGTCTTCGTACAAAGTCGACTTCCGCCCTTGTCTCCACACCAAGAAAAAAAAAATTCCAAATATTCCCGGCCCCAGGCAGGATTGTGGTTCGTTGGCTGCCCAGGTGGACTCTTGCGGGCTCCAACCTCGTTTCAATGTTTGCCCAGGTGAAGTTTTTTTGCGCTACTTAGGTATCTTGATTCTTGGAAGACAACTTGAAAACAAACTTGAAGCGTTTCTTCGAATTTCCTGGTATTAAACTTCATACTACTAGTAGGTAATACTTTTATACTAGCAACTTGAACTTTAAAATATATTCCAGTGCACGGGTGGTGGTACGTCGTCCACCTTCCGCCTAGATATATATATACTACTACCAAGGTCAAAAGCAGTCATAAAATTTCTGGAAATCCACAGCGACAACACAGGTAGCCCAATAAGACTTTTAGATATAATGGATCCAGTCAGGTCCTAGAACTAAATACTAGTATTGACTACTAGTAGTACTAGTAGCTCTAGGTTAAATTCGAGCCCGAGTCAACCGAGTCGGAGACTAATAACCCTATCAAATAAGTTGAACTCTCTGAACAAACGGATTATAGCTGGTACTAGTACTTGTAATAGGATTCTGGCAAATGGCATTTCGTACTAGTCGTAGTAAATCTGGAGAAAATGACCAGGCCAGGGTTAGCGGGTACAAGGTTGAGTGAGGCTCCGCAACGAGGCATCCGTGGGGTATACCCACTGGCAGGTACACCAGTTGCGGTCGAAATCAAGATATTGGAACTGGAATAATCTCGTATTGCATATCCAATCGGTTGTTGAACTGAACACCAAGTTCGGCTGTCAGATTCTGTAAAGTTCAAGTTTCAAATCTTGGAATGGCCTACCCCTTATGCGCTCTAGACAGTGTATATACAGAGCGAGGACGATCATCAAATTAGTATCTGCACCTATCTGCACCTCCCTCGTATTCCGGAAAGGAACCCCAAAGCCACTAACAGGACTTTCAAGGCTGAGGGTTCCATCCTAGCCAACAAAATCAAAACACGAGTAAGATGTTGGGGCTTGGCATATGTATCTCGTAGCACCGCCTTAAGAGGCCAATAAACACAGCCCTGGGGGCTCCTATTTTCGCAGGTAACTGCCAGTGATCAGCGCTAGGGGCTGAGCGAGCAAACTGCATAGAAAATTAGTTAGCGCCGGGTCACTTGGGCATTGGATACAAAGGTCACTTATTTCCATCGCACTGGGATTTGCTGAAAACTATAAGATGATCTACTAGAGCTCTGAATCAAAATTCTCTTCGTTCAGCCTTCGGGTCTCGGGCCAGAACGGACCTTTACACACTTTATAACGAGGCCGCAGAAGAAACAATCTACATCAGGACGATTTTCACCCCAAACTGCACACTACCACCGGAAGATACTGCCAGTGTGACGTTTGTCAAATCGCCAAATACTCGCGGAACTCTAGATATCATCTGGAGTTGCTTATCAGTTACTTTGATTGCACTTGGTCGATCCTCCATTTGACGTCCCAATCCAATCGAGCCCTCGAAATTGGAAACAGAAATACGCCCGTGCACTCTATCGAACATTTTGGAAGGGCTGTTGGGATGGTGGTGAATATCCTATCGCCTGAATGGTCTTTTGCGAAGGCTTTCAGCGACTATCTCACAGTATCAGCTGTCAAATCCGATTTCGACAACAGTGGAAAGAAGCAGGATATTCCATGATCACGGCCCCATATTTATTTCGCAAATATGGGCTTGTTCAATGTGAAGTTTGACGAAGCGACTGCCGCCGCACCTCTCCAAGACGAGGGCAACCGTGATACGAAGAAGTATTCTCATCCAAATCAAAGCCCGCGAAACCAAGTCACCCACAGGAAAGACCTTGCCTCATCTATACAGGACGATCTGAGTTTATCGTCAACGTCGAGTCTTTCGCGCTGGATAGACCCGATTGACTGGAAAGAAGATGAAACCAACTCGAGTTCAGTAGAAGCGGCTTTCAACGAGTCTTTGAGAACCTCGAATGATGATGGTGATTATGAGAACTATTGTGACGCTTTGAAATATCTCAAAGCTGACATCTGAGTGCTTGATGGTAAGCACCTCTGTCAAGCGTGGGAGTACGGCATCATCGAGAAGCATCTCGCAGTCACAGAGGACGATATATCCGACAGAAACAAAGGCGACGTTGTTGTAAAGATAGTCGCCATGGGCCAGATATTGTGGTTTGTAATTCAGCTTGGCGAACGGCTCTATTCAAAACTCCCGGGCAGCCAGCTTGAAGTTTTGACATTGTCTTTTGCTATATCTACAATTTCCACTTATGTGTTACTGCTAGATAAGCCAAAAGATGTTGGAAGCTCGATCATCATACCCGCTAAGCGTTACGCCAGTCCATGGGAAATTGATAGAATTGCAGAAAATACCCCATTTACTTACGTGGTCAGAAAAAACTCACCATGGATTCCAAATCTCAGCTTTCATGATCCCCAGAGGACCTCGTTCGAAAAGCTTGGGGGGCTCACTTGCTGGTGTGGTATTTGGGGCAATTCATTGTGTGGCGTGGAATTTCACATTTCCAAGTGAGATCGAACGAAATCTATGGCACGGAAGTGCTCTTGTGACAGTGATTGGGCGAAATGTGGTGTTCGGCCCAATCTCCAGTACTATCTCAAGCATGGGCCCATTGGATATACTTTGTCTCTCTTGTCCTAATAGGCATGGTTTTATTATCTCGCGACTCTTTTTCTGTGTTGAAGTTTTTCGATCCTTGGCTTTCCTGCCATCGGGAGCATTCCAGGCGACTTGGACACAGAACATTCCTCATATACGATGAGAACTTGCTACAATCAACAAATGATTTCAGTCGTCTTTGATGCTCTACCACTACTTCCCTTTCTGCGAGTACATACCTATCCTCTTTTAGTAGGTAGTCTATATTACGAGATAAGTAATGCTTTCTAACCATTTATTCATTTCATTTTGAATCATGACCAGACACGAGGGAAACTTAACTCGGTCTAGAAAACGGCATGAGAAAGAGACAAGAAAGACAACCATGACAACGGGGGGGGGAAAAGGAAAAAGGAAAATGGGGGAGGGAGGAGATTCGGGAGAAAAAAGAAGAGTTGTTTAACAAAAAAATGTGAAAGGGCATGCCATTATATCAAAAGAAAAACAAACTCCCTTTTTAAGCCTTGATCGCACCACCCAATGCACCACCACCGAACTGCTGGCCACCAGGTCTCCGCTCGCCGCCAGGGAAACGGGCACCACCGCCACGACCACCGCCGCGACCACCGCCACGACCACCGCGACCGCCACGGGCTCCGGGGCCCGACTCGCGCTGGAAGGCGTTGGCCATACCCTGAGTGCGCTGCTCGAGAGTCTTCTCGTTGGACTCGAGCAGACCCATCGACTTGTCGGAGAGGGTAACGATCTGGGACTGGAGGCGGGAGAGCTCGACGCCCTTGCGGAAAATGATGGCGTCGTTGACTTGGTCCAGGGCAGCGCCCAGTTCCTCGTGAGAGATCATCCGGCTGATGACGGCGGTGATCTTCTTGATGGGCAGCTCGAACATGTCGGCCAGTGAGGAGATGGACAGGCTGTCGTAGAAGGGGGCGTATGTGAAGAGGTAAGTGCGCAGACCCTCCTCTTGTGTCTGTGCGGACAGCATCTCCTTGATCTTCTCGGGTTGCGGCATCAGGTCCCAGATCTTGATGGATGCGAGCATCTCGGCAGCCTTCTTCCAGTCGCCGGCGGCGAGGAACTTGGCGCTCATGATGACACCGTCGCGGGTGTTCTCCGGGGGTCCGGTGAAGACCTGGCGCTCGTTGTAGTCGAGCATGCGGCGGAAGGTCTTGGAGATCATGCGGCGGCGGATCTCAGGGGCGGAAGAGGTCTGCGCCATGAGGGGAACCTCGAGGAACATGCTGGAGGTCAGGTAGATGCACTCAAGCAGCTCCAGGTTGATGTGCATGTGGAAGGGCAGCTGGCGCTGGCGCTCCAGACGTTCTTGCTCGGGGGAGACGGTGGAGTAGCGCTGCATGATGATACCCTGGGCGAGCAGCTCCTTTTGACGGCCGCTACCGCAGATGTCACCGAGAGTGTTCTGGGCCTCGTAGATGAGACCAGCGCGGAAAGCGCACAGACCGATTTGAACAAGGGTGCGGTTGAAGAGGATCTGGGTGCTGACGTCAAAGTTGGAGATGTTCTCGGTCAGATGGGACATGAGCATCAGGTCACGAGAGCGGTAGTATTTGTCGTGCAGGGCAAGGAAGTAGATTTGGCAGAGCATCGAGCGGGCACGGATAATGCCGTCGCTGTTCTGAAACAGGTAATTGCAGAGAGTTTGGAGGAGGTCGTCGACATCGCCAGCCTGGGCGCGGGGGGGTAATGGAGGACTTGAGATTGTCGGGGAGAGACTTCCAGGCGGCTTCCTCGAGGATGGAGACCACTTGGGAGGGCTTGAAGTAGACGTGCTCCAGACGGCGGATGATGACACGGTTGACACTGTCTTGTCGTGAATCGTTCTTGGCTCCGGCGTTGAGGACCTCGAGGTAGAGTTGAGTACGGACATTGTTGTTGTACAGCTGCTGCTCGTCACTCAAACGCTCGATGTACTCAGCAGTGTGGGGGTCAATCTGCTGCAGCGAGCGGGTAAGCTCGTCATCCAGACGCTCGATGTAGGAGACAATGCTGCCGGGAATGTGGAAAGTCTCGCCCTCAGCAAGCTGGGGCTGCTTCTCGTCATCCTCCCACTCATCAGCACCCTCGGTGACAATATAGTTGCTGTGCTCTTCGAGAACGGACAGGAGAACACCAAACTCGGTATTGGCGGCCTTCCACTGCTCGGGGCTCATATAGTTGGCGGAGGCGGAGGTGAGATCGAAACGGGTGGAGATAAGGGTCAGGTAAACACGGATGCGCTGGTAGGGGGTCGTGGAGATCTCCAGAAGCTTCTCCATGGTGCGGATCTGCTCCAGACGGTCGGTGTTCTTCTTTCCTCGAGACTCGACAATGGAGCGCAGGTGCTTGAGGATACTCTCTGCGGTGTACTGCAGGGTCTTTCCACCACGGCCGACGGTGGCAAATCCATCGTCGTCGCCAGCAGAAGCGGCGGCAGCAGCAGCAGCGAAGTTCTCAACCTTCTGAGAAGCAGTGGGCTTGGGCTTGGGCGCAGGGGCGGGGGCCTTCTCTTCCTCCTCGTCCATGTAGGTATCCTTGGCGGCACGGTACTTCTCGATCTGGTCGGCATAGTCCTTGTTGTTCTTCTTGATACGCTGCTTGATGGTGTTGAATCCCTTTTGGTTGCTGGCGTTCATCTTCTTGTTGGCGGACTTCTGCTTGGAGGCGGCCTCGTTGATAAAGTCCTCGAGGTCGGCAACGGCCTTGACGTAGAGCTTGGGGGTAGGACCGGATTGAGCGACCTTGATCATTTGGCGGTTCAGGCTGTCGAACTCTGTGATAGTCTATTGTCAGCGTCGACTTCCGTATGGCTTCGTCGGGCCCCTTAGGGGGCACACTGCCGGTATCCCATCATCCAACAGGGTATCCATCCTTGAATCCCCAAAGTGACACTCACCAGTAGAGATGACGGCCCAGTCGTTAATCTTTTGCGCATTCTCGATCAATTTGATGGTGTTTTCGAGACCCTCCAGTCGCTTGTCCTTGGCACTCTTGACGAGGGTGACCTTCTCCTCCTCCTCCTCCTCGCTCTCACTCTCGGATGCATCCCTCAGGAAAGCGTTGGCACCCTTCTTGCCTCCCTCCTCGCCGGAGTCATCGGAATCGCTGCCGGAGTCATCTTCCTCTTCGCTGGACTCCTCCTCGCTGCTCTCCTCCCCAGAGCGCTCGTAGACATCCTCTTCCTCATCGGAGGAGCTGGACTCGCTGTCGCTACCACCACGGTAGAAGAATCGCGACGACATCGTGTATTTGATTGATTGCACGAAGGCTAAGGCAGATCCTTCTAAAAGTTGACTGGAGATGGCGGGCGAGAGCCACACACGAAAATTAAGCGAGGGGCTGACTAAACCCAATTGGGGTTAGCGCGGGAACTATGCCACGGGGACAAAGAATATCATTTTGATACGGTCATTCTGAATAGGTTCTTTAATAATGAATACTTATTAAGTTATTTACATATTTACATATTTACACTGACAAAGAGAGTTGAGAGAAAGTGAACTTGAATGCAAATATATGTATAGTAACTGACATGCACTCCTACTACAGGGAGAAGGAGAACATTTGCGATGACCCGCCATACCTTACATGGTCCTAGTCGAGTCATCTCAAGCAAACCACCACCACAAAAACATATCCAAATTTACGAAGACAGGCAACGGGAAATGAGATCGTTCTTTCATACTCCAGGCTATGCCGAAAGAAGAGGGAAATCAGAAGATAAAAGTTCATCGTCGAGCGATGAGTAGACAAACGTAACAGGCGAAAGAACAACGAAAAAAAAGACGTTACGCGGAACAGACACGTTGAACAATCATTGCTCACAAACATCACCACACATATAGCAATAAACACAACAGAGAAGAAAGTGGCGGTAAAATCATATTCATGCATTGGAAAGAAATCGACCACTCTCGGGCCGCATCTTTTTACCGGCGGGGAAGGGACCGGGGAAAAAGGGGAGTTCCGACACGAAAGCTACGTCAGCCTTGTGTCGACTCCTTTGTCGATCTGTTTTCATTCTTGTCTCCATGAACTTCCATAGACCCGAAACTGGTCGGCCTCCGGAGGCCACTGCCAACCGACCACTATTACCGTGACGCATGCCAAGGAGGGAAATAATGGGAAGCAAAAGTACATCCATCGGCTAGGTACGGAGTGGGTCGATTGGGGGCAGTTCAGTTCAGATGGCAAGGGTGGGCGAATCCAGCGATCATCGGTTCCAGTATCAACGATATAACGCAGGAATCAATGGAATTTGCCTTCTGGAACAAGGCACACGCGCCAGGCGTAAGAGACTCGACTATGGCGAGGAGATAATCAATAATTTAATAGCAGATTCCGAGGCATCATACATAGGGTGCCTATGACGATCCATCCTAGTGCCATTGGTTCTGAGCCATGTAACCTTCACTCAGCACGCCGTCTTCAAGGGTACGAACGAAGTCTCGGTTTCGTTGATTACCGCTACCGCCTGTGCGGCTGCCACGGCGTCGTTGGTTGGCATTGTTTGGATCAACATACCCGTCTGGAGGTGGGGGGGTAGTATGCGGGGCTGGGTTGCAGTCGAATGGGGGCATTGGGGTCCAAGTGGCTGGCCACCCGCTGGATTGTGGGCGGAATGCCTCCACCATTGGGATCCATTGTCGATGCGCGTTGGCGACCGGCTCGAGTGGCTGCTTGGGCTTGAAGACTCTGAGATGGCGCGTAATGCCCCTGGGGAACCTGCCCAGGAACCATGTTCATCTGGTAGCCGTAGCCCGGTGGCTGCGTCGGGTAAGGTGGAGGAGGAGCTTGTTGTTGATACATTCCATTGTACATGGCTGGAGGAGCTTGTTGCGGCTGCGCCGGTGCATGGTACTGCTGGTTCATTTGCATGTTGTATGCTGACTGCTGTGCCTGTGCTGCTTGGGCGGCCCTCTGCTTGCTAGCGGCCTCGGCCTGCTGCTGCTGCTGAACGCCGGGTGCGACAGTCTTGTTGGGAGCTGAGTACTTCAAGTTCCCGGGAGGCATGAAAGGACCAGTAAACTTCTGCTGGGTGATGAATGGATGCAATTTCGCTTGTTGAGGCGACCATCGCTCGAGGGGGTTGATGGCCAAGAGGCCTCGCACAAAGTCAATGAAGGCAACTCGATTGTTCAGTTCTGTCATAGTAGTTAGCAATTGTCCGTGAAGCTGTACCCTGATGAAGCCTTACCGCGTTCAACCTCAGCCGGCTTCATGTTCTTGCGCGGCATAGGGTAACTGCGAATGATCTCCTCCAGCGTTGAAGCATTGAAGTACTTCTTGCTGGGCTGTTCCTTCGTGTTGTGCTCTCTCGAGTATTGCTCAAGACTCTTGAGGCGATGTGTCTTACGGCCGTACTCATCATGTGTCTTTTCGAAAAACTCGCCGGATTGCTTGCCCATGTCCAGCATCCACTGCTGGGGAAGTCCTAGCATTTCGACAATTCTGGTGACCTGATTGTATTCGGAAGATCCAGGGAAGAGAGGCAGTCCCAAGAAGAGTTCGACGACGATACAGCCAAGTGACCACATGTCGATTGCGGACGAGTACCTAGAGAACGTTTTAGTGACCGATCGAGACTAAAGATATAGTGTTGGTAACATACGGCAAGCCAAGTAGGACTTCCGGGGAACGATAGAATCGTGATTGAATGTATGTATAGACCGTTTGGCGCTCATCACATGCGGACCCGAAGTCAATGACCTTGATAATGGGGCTCTCGAGACTAGATTGAAGTTTAACACGGTCAGTAAGGCAATTGCTCTCGTTTATGGGGATCAGTATCGACCAACTTCTTCAAGAGAATGTTCTCCGGCTTCAGATCGCAATGGATCAGATGAGCTTTGTTCAAAAGACTCAACGCATTCAGCAACTGCTGCGCAAAGACACGGACGAGTGTCGTGCTCAAACCGCGGAATTGATTTTGCTTGATGAGTTCATAAAGGTTGACACTGAGCAGCTCGAATGCCAAGCAAAGATGTTGCCGGTGAATAAAGGTGTCTTTGAGTCGCAGGAGATGGTGGTCGTCGTTCTTGTCATACTTGCTGTTGAGCTATGGGAGGGAGTAAGCTGTCAGTGGGGTGCCACGACAAGCGGGGTTAAGGACGCTTACCAAGTCCAACACTGAAACTTCCATCATACTTTGATTGAAGTAAGCTGTCTTGTTCTTGATGACCTTTACCGCAACAACTTCCTGGGTCTTCAGGTTCTGACATTTGACCACCTGACCGAAAGTACCCTGACCAAGGACATCAAGAATGAGGTAACGGTTCCTGCGGAAAAGTGGTTAGGTCGAGATACCTGGATGGGGAGCGGCAGCGACATACTTGTGACCGGCCTCTTCACTACCCAGAATATCGTTGACATAGAGGATGTAGTCACTATCCTCATTATCATAGCCATCATTTTTCACTCCCTTGCTCGGCTTGGTCAACACGCGTCTGGGGTTTCTCGAGGATTCGTAGTTGAAGTTCGGGTTGCAGATGCGGTAGGTTGACGGAAGGTGGGAGGTCAATGCTTGGAGTGGCTAGAAGACAGAAGGGGGTGAGCATTGAATTAGAATGAAATGGCTGGAGGAAAACTGACGCTGATGAATCCACCCTCCGGGTCGGCGCGCCGATATGCGGGTTGGGTGTGAACCCGTGGCTGCAACTCCTGCACTGATTTGACATTTTGAAACTTCGGGACTGGGCCACGACCTGGAACTTGCGATGGCAAGGAGCCAGATCGAGGGGATCGAGTCCCATGGCCGAATGCCGGACTCATGTGGGAGGATGTGGAGGGGGGGATAATATTGATCCAGGCTGAGGTCGGTCGCCTGGAGCGGGGGAAGTCTAGGGGGCCGGTTGGCGGCTATGGATGGTGAGTTACGGGTTCACGGCGAGCCGAGAGAACATAGGCACTTGATTCGGGGGATACTCACATGGCGGCGACTGATAACCTTGCGGCGGCGAGGCATAGTCGGGCGCCCGGGTAGGCGATCGTCGCGACTGACCATGAGCCGTTGGGGGGAAAACCGTACGAGCCCTGAGCCTTTCCAGGACTGGTAGGATACGATGACGTGGGCAACGATAGAGCGTTCATTGGGGAGTATCTGCGAGCAGCCGACGATTCCTCGGCCTGGCCGAGGAATTGAGACGAGGGGCGGTTATGATGGTTCGGTCGCGACGGATACTTGGCCCGATTGTAGGGGTCCGCATCCTCCATGGTGGTGTCAGCGTCAGTGACATAATCCCTACTCCGTGGCGTCGCAGTGGGAGAGGAAGCCATGGAGACAGTTTTGGAGTTGGGACCGGAAGAAGGTGGCTTGGAGGTGGTGCCGGGAGTTTGGAAGGTCTCGTAGGTGTATCCGACGGGGGGGCTGTGACGACTGCGGTGGCTGGCCGTACTTTGAGCCTAACTGCTGTGGATGAGACGCCAACCCGGTCGTAAACTGCGCGGGGCGACCCATCAGGGGATCCTGGTATGGTTGCCACCCCTGATCCATCGTGGCGATCGATTCAAGTAGGTATTATGGTGGGAAACGGCAGTAGGGAAGGGGGTTGGGAAGGATAATTGACCTCCGTCGTCGTTGTCGTTGTCGTCACTGGTTGCCGATGTCCACAATGCGTGCGCCTTATTACACTGCGATCGGGAGAAGACGAGTGGGGATCCAACTGCCAGTGGGCGGTTGAAGACGACAACACAAGAAGCGCAACCGTGGCGACGCAGGGGGGTCTACTAAACCCGACACGAGTCGAGAATAGAAGGGGGGAAGAGCGGTTAATTCGCGAGTATAGCGCACTGCATCATCGGGTGGGCAGGACGACACAAGCAGGGCAAATCCGGGGTGAGCAGAGGGGAAGCGATGGGTGCAAATGATGTAAGCGCGGAAGGGGTCGACAAGAAAAAAAAAAAGGAAGGGAGTATAAGTAGAAAGAACAGAATCCACAGAAGAAGCGGCGAGATTGGCGTGGAGTAAAGGGAGGGGGAGGATGATGGTGGGAAGTGGAGAGAGTGCTGAGTGGTGAGGTCTGAAGTCTGGTGAGGTCTGGTGTTGTGCCAGTTGCCGCAGCTGGGCAACGATCGTCCCTTGTCACTAGACCCCAGCTTGACTTGATGCATTCCTGTGCTCTTCTTCTATTATATTGCTATTTCTATTTCTGTTTCCTGTTTATTTTAATTCAATTCTATCTATATCTATAGCTATCATATTACATTATATCACTCCCTCTTGTCCACGTCTCGTGCCCCCCCGTTGTCGCGTCATTTGCATACCCAACCGCTAGGTTCGGCGTGAATGCCTAATTCTACCCCTGGATGGACTCGGGGACACGAGTCCCTCCAAATACTACTATCATGACGTTTCCCTATTCTATTCAAGTGCAGCGGCACTAGACACTTGGGAGCTGCTGACAGACCCGAGAATGTACGAGCTCGAATGTGGGCGGCCACAATTCGTTCGATTGATCTTGGGCTGCACTGACCTTCAATCACGGAATACTCACGAATGAAAGGAAGGAAACTAGCTCATACCGCTCATGTCGCTCGATATTATCTTCAATTATTACATCACGGCCTTCATAGCGAGTCATGTTGGCTGCTTGAAAGGCATTGATTGACCAATAGAATACCGTATCTTACACGGTGTGTACTACATGGGCACTTCTGGTGGCAATTCACAATTTCATCAGGTAGATATAACATTTTCCAGTGATGACAGAACCTATTTAAAAAGACCGACCCGTCTGCTAGCTTTCGCCATCATGTGGAGAATGATAGTGGGCAGCTTCAATCATACTACAATTGACATGTGATATGACTTTGATGCATACTGTACGCCCAGCCAGCCCAGACACCCAGATCTGACAGCCAACCTACTGTTCATGGCTGGAAGTAATGCAGCATAGCAGTATTGCGACGGGCTGATCTGAATTATATTGGATTGGGGCCAAATCAATGCAGGTTTAGATAGAAAACACTGGCCATGGCAAAGGTTCGGGATATCACCTTGCATGTTTCGACGAAACCAAGAAGACCTAAGAAATGATTAAGATCTCAGCCTTGGAATTCAAGGGAAATTCATTTACTATTCCCCTGATCCAAAAAGAATAAAAACTAACGCATATTTTCCGGTGATACCCTGTGGCTTTCTTCCGTTGGAAAAGGATTCATGAGGTACATCGGGATCATCCTTCGCTCCAGCAACTGAAAATGCGCTCTTAAAGTAACTACCAGAGGTAGCAGACGCGGATGAAAGAAGATGGCCTCCTTTAAACTTACAGCCCCTACAATTTGAAGGCGTTCGTCGACCAAGATCTTTGAGGACCGAAGATCGTCACACCAGATGTTAAACGCCCCAAGATTTATGGAAGAAGTTGTAAATCAACCCTCCCTAGCGAGCTTGCTGAACATTAATCTTGCAATATAGTATATAAGTCGACAGTCATCCGTAAAATCAACGGCATCACTCTGTTGGTGTGTAAGATGCTTCAGATGGTTAATGTATTTGATACATAGGTAATGATAATAGGACCGAGGCCGAGAAAGGTTCCCTCTTCGGTTCCCCAGTGCAGAAAAAATGCCATGGGAACCGTCGTATGCTGTTGCATATATCTAGGTAATTATATCGACTTTATTGCACACCTTCTGTTCAGGAAACTTTGTAGTACCGGGTTCGGGAAATCGAATGTTTGCAGAACCGCCATCCTGAAACTTCATTCTGAAGGACACATTGAACGCCCCGGCTTTTGGATCACGGAGCTCTACGGACATTCCTCTTCGATGTTCAGGAAAATTCACCTATAGCCATCAGAGTCTCTTCCCTGAACAATTCGTGTACCGAAGCGTCTTGGATGGCCTCTCTCTGCTCCCATAGATACGACATCGTCGAAGCACATACGAGTCCGTATCTCTATAATTGTGGGGGAGATATGGTAGAAACGTACACGAAAAATCCAGGTGCTTGATTGTGGAGGACGATGTAACGCCATAGGTCAACACACACATATCTTTTAGGCTGTGGTTCGCTATGTGTTTGAGCACATCAGGCAGAAACCCCAGGATTTAGGCAGCAATCCTGATGACTCACATATCATGTGAGCGGGCGGCTCAAAATGGCGGTGAGATATTCTGCCCTTTCCGATAAGCAGCGGCTTCCATGGTTGATTATTTGCCATTTCTTGACATGAATTCGTTCCATCCTGCTTGACTCGACGAGCGAGATGTTTGCTCGAACATCGGCTCGATAGTCTGACGCTTTCTTTAGGCTGACAGAATTCATTCCCTTCTTTTCAACCTGTTTACCAACCATGGCATCTCCTGGCGCAAACGATGCGCCAGTGGCGGATGAGGCGAGTCGTCTACAGGAGCTAAATGCAGACGTTCGGAACCAGGATGATCTGGAAAGGGATATCACTCGACAGGTATTGTTGGCCTCACCTTATCAAATGTTATTCAGTTCACCTAGCGCTTACTTTTCGAAAGGCAGACAAGATCCTAGCGGAAAAGGCCGAGGAAAACGACGCAAAAAGACTTGAGAAGGTTTTGGCCGATAAAGAGTGAGACTCGATACCCCAGGAACCCATATTGGGTATTATATGGCACATACTGACTGCTTTATTTTAGAAAAGTGGACGCCCAGATTAGACAAGCCCGCCAACGCCTCACCCAACATGTTAATGCCAGCACCCGACATCGCCTCGAGAACGAACATAGGAAACATGAATCTCGCCGAATAGATTTGCTCAAGGATGTGAAGGATATCACGGATCGTATCGATGAACGCCGGAAATCCAAGGAGAATGGGGCGGGCAGTCATGGCCCAGGCAGGTTGCCAAACGAGACGAGGCGCGATTATCTTCTTCGGACCGGCAAGATCACACCTTTCGAGCTGACGACTGCCGCTGGTCCCGATGGCCAGCCTTCTACACTCCAGGATGCTCTTGTCGACGTCGAGGATCAGTATGATGAGCAGGAAGAACAAAAGAAGGCGGAGCTCGAGCCGGAGGCACACCGGTTTCTTCATCGACCTGGGATGGATTTCGACCAAACCAGTGAAAGCAGCCGGACAGAAAGCAGTGGGAAGCGCAGGAAGCTGGGAAAGAAAACAACCAAGAAGGCATCTGAGACCCGATCGAGTTCTGTAGACTCCTCGGCGAGTTACGTCGCTTCGGAAGACGATAGTTCCATTTCCGAGGAGGAAGAATTCATGCCAGATACAATCCCCGAAGTCACATCTACCCGGAAGCGCAAGAAGGCCAATGCGGAGACCGAACTCGAAGATCTGAGCGGGGTAGATGACGGCAACGAAAGGCTTTATCAAAAACGTCTTCTGGACTGGACGACTCGACGAAGTGCTGCTCGCCGGCGTGCTCAAGGGGGTGATGACGTAGATGATGATGATGGCCGAGGCGAATGGCTCAAACCACATCCATCGGAGCCCGATATGGAGCTTCCAAATGGACTGCGGGTTCCCGGTGATATCAGTCGCTTCCTCTTCTCCTATCAACGAACTGGTGTCCAGTGGCTCTGGGAGCTGCACCAACAAGCGGTTGGCGGTATCATCGGAGATGAGATGGGCTTAGGAAAGACAATCCAGGCTATTTCATACCTCGCGTCGTTGCATCACAGCGACATGCTCACAAAGCCTGCCATTGTCGTTTGTCCCGCAACCCTCATGAAGCAATGGGTGAATGAGTTTCACCGCTGGTGGCCGCCATTCCGGGTCTCCATTCTGCACTCTTCGGGTAGCGGTATGATCAACCTGGGGAAGGAAAGCAGTCGCGAAGATGCTCTCACGTCTCAATTGATGGGAACCTACGGTGACAAGCGATTGACGCAGGGTCAGAAAGCGGCTAAGAAAATCATCGACCGTGTCAATCGGGACGGCCATGTTTTGGTAACCACCTACTCGGGCCTTCAGTCATATGCTGATTCTCTGGTGGATGTCGAGTGGAGTTGTGCCATTCTCGACGAGGGTCACAAAATTCGCAACCCGGATGCTGGTATCACTTTCAGCTGCAAGGAGCTTCGCACTCCCCACCGTATAATTCTCTCTGGAACCCCCATGCAAAACAGCCTGGTTGACCTGTGGTCTCTCTTTGACTTTGTTTTTCCAATGCGTCTGGGAAATCTGGTCAATTTCAAGAATTCCTTTGAGATCCCCATCCGGCAAGGTGGGTACGCATCGGCGACAAATTTGCAGGTCCAGACTGCCGCCAAGTGTGCAGAAACTTTGAAAAGTGCTATCAGCCCTTACCTTCTTCAACGCTTCAAGGCCGATGTGACTGCCGACCTCCCCCAGAAAACCGAGCAAGTCATATTTTGCAAACTCACCGAAACCCAGCGTACCATCTACAAGCGATTTCTCGGCTCCGATGATATGCAGTCTATTATTAGAGGGAAGAGGAATTCACTTTTTGGAATCGATATCCTTAGGAAGATTTGCAATCATCCTGATCTGGTTGACCATGCTTTGCGATCTCATGAGGCAGAATATGGTAGGGGAGAGCTTTCTGGGAAGATGCAAGTCCTGAAAGGGCTACTTGAGGTGTGGAAGGATACTGGACACAAGACATTGCTTTTCGCACAGACACGTCAGATGCTGGATATCATCCAAAAATTTCTCGGGACCTTAGGAGGATTCAATTTTCGTCGAATGGACGGCAGTACTCCGATCAAAGACCGCCAAAACATGGTTGATGAATTTAACAAAAGCCCAGATCTCCATGTCTTCCTCCTCACTACCAGAGTGGGTGGCATTGGTGTTAATCTGACAGGAGCCGACCGCGTCATTATTTATGATCCTGACTGGAATCCGTCCACTGATATGCAAGCTCGCGAACGCGCTTGGCGACTTGGCCAGAAACGCGATGTTACCATCTTCCGTCTCATGACCAAAGGCACAATCGAGGAAAAGATCTATCATCGGCAGATCTTTAAGCAGTTTTTGACCAATAAAATTACTCGTGATCCGCAGCAACGAGAGGGATTTCAGCTCAGCGACCTTTACGACCTGTTCACGCTGGGAGACGAAAACGATAAAGAATTAGAAACAGTGAAGCTCTTCAAAAACGCCGAAGTGGCCTACCAGGAGGAAGAAGCCTCCACGACAAATGGCGACGGTTCGAAAAAGCCTCCCCCTGTCAAAACGGAAGATGTTAGTACCGTTCAAGGGGTTGCCAATGTGGAAGAGTTTAAAACCAAAGACGAAAACATCGATGAGAACGGCAATGTCAAAACTGCTGAGGACCGCATCATGCACGGCATTTTCTCACGATCAGGTGTTCATGCCGCGGTCGAACATGACAATATTGTGAACGGCAAGCGTGCTATACGTTCAGATCCCAAAATCATCGAGGCAGAAGCTCGCAAGGTCGCTGCAGAAGCTGCAGCAGAACTCCGCAAGGCTGAAGAGACTGCCCGTTCCACTCCAATCGGCATCCCGACCTGGACAGGTCAGTTTGGTATGGGAGGTCGATCCGATTTCGCAAGTGGCAGCTCGGCACGTCCGGCAGGCGCCGGTCCTTCATCTGCAAGTCTTCTCGGCAGGCTTAACCCTGCGGCATCTGTTGGTGGCAGTTCCAGCCCTGCAGGATCATCCCGAATGCCCCGTGGAAAGGACTTCATACCGATGATCCGAGATTTCTTGCTCTCACGTCGCGGTCCTGTTCCCACACAGACCATCATTGAAAAATTCAATCATTTCTGCCCGAATGATCAACGTGTGCGCGAGTTTCAAGAGATGCTGAATATTGTGGCTGAGTTGAGCAAAGACCGAGCCGGCCGTGGTGTTTGGACTTTGAAGCCAGAGTTCTCCAAGAATACCGGCAGAAGTTGAACTGTTCAGTTCGATTGCATTGCTTGGAAAATCAAGTATTAAAATTTGACTCGGAGATTGGCAGTTTGAAAGATGCATGCATGTACGATACAGAAAACTCACGACGCGATGACCGGAACTACGATAAACGAAAAAAGAGTACCATGTCAGATAGGTACAGATTGTACATCAGTTAAATTTAAACAGTGTAGCAGTATCATCAGACATGTACTACAATTGCCGAGAAGTTGTGCGAACTAGTAAAATCCACACAGATCTGACTGTCGGTCCTCTGGCAGTCTTCCCTGTGGTCTCAAATGATTTCTTAGGAATCGATTTTCTTCAGAATCTTCCCTGTGGACTCTGACTCTCAATTCTTTCCCCTGTTCTTCCTTTCCTACCTCATTTACTGCCCATTTCAAGGCAGCCTCGGAACTTTTCTAAGGGTCAGTGGGGCGGAACAGCGGTTGCATGAGAACATTGTGGACATTTTACCATTAAAATCGCTGGAACGGTTCAGGGGTTCACGCCAAGATGCTCAAGTTCCCATGGACATCCATTTATTGCTGTAATCGGAGAGATTGAGAAACACACTCATAAGGCAGTCGAAGAAAATGAAACTGTCTCGGCTTCTTTGCGTGGATGGTGAGCTTTCAACTTGGAGTCGTATGTTTCGCTTTTATCGCCATTGTCCCTCACAACTAGCACCGATCTAGAGAATTAAAGTGTGGCTTTAAAATAGTGATAGCGTTGAACGAATGGATCAAATCCAGCATCACCCGGGAGACCACGGCAAAGCACATCCAACCCCTGCGTTGTCTCGGATTTCAACTTGGTTCCACGAGTGCTGGCGGGGGAAGATCTTCAGTCTATATCCACCCTGACTGGTGAGCCTGAGACCTAGTGTGCAGCTGCGGTGGATCAGCGGAGGCGAATTTACCCCCATACGCTGACATCAGAGACACAGAGCAGTGTCTGTCTCAAAAAAAAAACAATGTAAGTCTTCAAGTTGTCAAAAGAGAATGTAAAAAAACCGCCCGAGATACACACGGAATATCTAAGATTATGATTGTCCCATCACCCCAATAGCTATACGAACCTGATATCACTCCCCACCAATCCAAGGCACAACCACCCTTTCATCACCATCGACCCAAGGCTCGGATCGCAGATCGACGTGGGGTAAAGGCTCAGTGGTTAAATCGGGTCGGCATTCGCTCAGAAAGGGCGCATCCACCAAAGACATCAAAAAACCTATAAATTGTTCCAGCATAAATAGAACGTCATGGCCCCGTCATTCGCACCCATAAAATAAAATATCATTCACAAAGAACACACTTACGAGCCTTCTCACCTCGTCTCTACACTCATCTTCCAATTCTCATCCCCTCCCCCCATCCACCTCCGGCCATCTTTCCAACCTACATCCATCCCAAGATGAAGTTCGTCAACAGCCTCGCCCTCCTGGCCACTGCCACCGCGGTCTCCGCTAGCCCTGTCCAAAAGATCTTCAACCTGGTCACCTCCGGAGCTTCAGACGCTAGCAACAATGGTCTCTACCTTACCACCGAGCACGTGGACCCCTTGAACAGCAAGGCCGTGTTCCGGGAAAAGACCGACGCGGCCGACTTCTACGTTGTCAACGGCACTGTCCGCTACGATGCGTCGAACGGTGCGCCTTACGCTATTGCTCTGGTTTCCGGGGAAGACCTCCAGGGTGATGTGGAGATCAGCGTTAGCCCGACAACTGGCAGTGAGGGATTTAGCTTGACGAGCGAGAAGGAATTGCAGACTTCTAACAAGGATTTTGGTGGTTGGTTGGGTAAGTTAATTCTTTCGTTATCTTTGACTGGCTCAACACCTAGGTAATGAATACCATACTGACGGTTAATTTCTATAGTTTGTGCCGGTGATGACGATCTCCAGGGCCTGTTCTATGAGAACAGCAGTGCCGGAGGTGATGTCCCGGAAGGCTGTGATGCCGTGCAGCTGGATGTCGTTTACAAGACCTCTTCCTAGAGATCTGTTTATATGAACTGAAAATTTTATTTTGGGTTGGATCTTGGTAGAGTTGGGCTTTTTCTCACTTGCACATTCTTTTTTTTTTACTATCTGCGCTTAGACCGTTGGATAGGTGAGCGTTATGTCAATTTATTGGGACGATTTTGCCACTTGATTTATAATGTGGGTTAGCTTTTGTAACTAAGATCCTCAACTTAATTTTCTGTAGAACAGCTAAAGTTGCGAGGAGTTGCAAATAAATTTCATTCTGATCAAAGTCGTGCCAAGGACTCGGAACATGTACAGGATAGAGAGTTATGAACCTCAACAAGTGCACTAAATTTTGTTCCTGGACAAGCACATCCAAAACCATTCAACCGAAAGATTAACGAACATCGCTAGAAATCTGTCGATTTTGACAATATCTCCCACTCATAAATTTCTCGCAGGGTATTTTCGCACTTTTTGCGAATAACTTCAATAGCATCAGACCCCAGGGGCAATGAACTCGGCCATGTCTTCACCACAGCTCCAGCCTCCCCCTTAACAACATCAATGATTATGTTGACACCTTTCTTCGGATCCCCAAGCTGTTTTCCGTTCAAGTCCGCAAAGGCCTTGTCCATATTTTCCGATAGTTCGCGATAGTCCTCAATCCGTTGTTCGACAGACTTGGAGTTCTGCCGAGACAAAAAGTCGGTCATGAAGGTGCCCGGTTCAATGAGGAGGGTCTTCAATCCCATTGGTGCTACCTCTTTAGAGAGGGCATCAACAGCATCTGATATGAATATTAACTGGAATGACCCTGCAACATAGTAGTGTCTCATTCAAATCACATACAATGAATCGCAGCCTTGGAAGCGGCATATGTTCCGACAGTTGGAGCACCATCCCACGCAACCATAGATCCAATGAAGACGATGACTCCAGACTTTCTTCTTCTCATGTGTGGCAAAAACGATCGGGTGGTGTTGATTGTTCCGAAAACGTTTGTGTTGAACTGTTTGAACCATTCATCGTGGCTAGAAAGGAGTATTGGTTTTAGATCCGAAGAAAAAGCATGGAGGAATTGAGACATATCATACCTGGTCTCCTCAATCGTGCCAAATTGCACATATCCGGCATTGCTGACGAGGACATCAATCCTACCATAGATTCCGATCGCCTCCTCGGCCCTACGGTTTAGCTCCTCCTGGGGCGCGGTCACGTCCAGCTGTAAGGTGGCGGCTCCGAGTTCTTTCAGAGAAGAGATTTGGTCTAACTGCCGCGCTGTGGCGATAACCTTATCCCCACGACCTAGTACGGCTCTGGCAAGCTCATGACCTAGACCGGAAGAGGTTCCTGTGATGAGCCAAACTTGAGACATAGTATCGTTCGGAAATTTTAATTTGCGAGGAAGATAAATAGAGAACTGTGATGATAACAGGCGTCTGAGTTGGAAAGGAAAATAGTCCTACTTATTTTAAAGATATGATGCTGATTAAATGGTTTCGCTCGGGGCTCGCCCGAGAAGTCTCGGGACTACCGTCGGATTTCGGAGCTCCATTACACTAAAGCAGAGTACGGCCTTGCACTGCCGTAAGCCACAAGGATTTTCCTGCATATGATAGGACACTCTTTAATCACAAAAAGTCTGGTCTTCTGGGATATTTTGAGTTGGGAAACAGCAGTAAAGAGGTGACGAAATCAAACATAGCGCTTTGTTGCTGAACCCATCGAGACCTGACTGCCTTAGAGCCATGCTGAATCTCCATATATCCAGTTTATTTACTAGGCTCGGAATTATTGCGACTCATGACAGAAATATGCTAGAATCAACTATAAGGCCTTCAGAAATTTCGCTTGCTAGCTTACGGGAACGTCAATTTCATGGTATAATCTGGTAGAAGTCACCCGGAAGAAGCCGCCACAATTCCATTATTCCAAACATGTCACGTCAATAGATATTTATGACGCTGGAGGATAAATAGAAGATTCTTTCTAAATGAGACTATCTTTCTTCATCCTCCGACACCTTTCCCCAACTTCCATTCATTTCTCGGCCCTCGAAAATTAGTTAATTTGTACCTCACCTCCTCCAACCCAAGCATACAAAGGCTTGACTAATGTTGGAATCAATCTAGTACTATCCACCAGCCATCGACCTTGTCAAAATGTGCGTATCTTCTTATCCTCTCAACGGGGTTACTTTGGCCTCATTCACGGAAGAACATGGTAGTCCACCTCCCGACCCAGTAAATCTACCTCTCCGCAAAGATGACACACTAGCTATTTTATCTAGTTCAAGAGATACAGTCAAAGCTCCAGAAGGAGCCTCTCTTTCACGAGAGATCACAGCTCCGAAAAAAATAACGTTGGAAAAAACAACGGCGCTCAAAGGTTGCCCCGGAGATATTTCTTCCTTCAAGTCTTCCAACCAAGGAAACAAAAGAAAGCGGGCGGAGGTGTCAAGTCTTGGCGCATCTGATAAACTGTCAGAGACTGTTGCAGAAAATTTCGCGAGTTGTATGCGCCAGGTGCCCAAGATATTCGAGCCCATGCCAAGTGCTGCCACTGTTATGGCTTGCCCACTTCCCCAGATCCAGCATCAGGGGCTACAACCTAATGCCGAGAAACTCGTGTACCCAATCGGATACTACGGTCAGATCTACGACCCGGATGACATTAGTGAGGTCCAGAATCTCTACAATGACAGACTTGCTGTTCGGGAACAGATTGACTGGGAGTGTCGTCGAATTGGTCTGCGACTGATGCGTCTACGAGAACTACAGGCGCTCAAAGGCCGACGTGTCGATAGTGGGCTATCTGACGGCCCCTCTGTATCCTCTATTACCTCCTCCGAGAAAGATGATATCTATGGCTCACTTTGGAACTGGAAAAACAGTGATGATGACTTGCTGGAGCAAATTCGGGACCTGAAGCTGAAGAGCAAGGAGGATGATGAGGGCCTTTGAAGAACCGTAGTTTTCAATTTGCTCGTTTCAACGGTTGCCCGTAAAAGCATTGGATAGGAGTTGGTCTTCTCATGTAGCCCACTTAAATTGAAAATGCTATTTTGATAATTTATGAACGATTGTCTTCTCTGTGGTGGATACAAATATCAAGCTCGAGATTGACATGAACATCTCCTTTCGTTGCTTTACACAGTGAAACTCCATTTATAGAGCTGCCACCATAAGTGCCGCAGCTGCACCGCCCAAAGCGATCCCAGGGACTGCAGTAATACGGGGAATGCCGCCGGTGCTGGTTGATGCTGACCCGCTAGCCGTCTGTGATGTAGAGTCCCCGGAGTTGGTGGCCTTGGAAGAGTCATCAGTCTTCGTAGCAGAAGAACCAGTCGCGGCTCTAGTAGCACCGGCATTGATTGTTACACCCTCTGAACTCAAGTATTCCTTGCCCAAAGTCGTCGTGTACGCAGCCACTGCAGTGCCAGTGGTCGGCATCATATCGGTACAGACAGCAGAGGTAGTACCGCCCATAGAGCAGATCAGCGTAAAACGTCTGATCAAGCGAGAAATGTCAGCATATGGCCCTACTGGTGCTCGATTTCTCTATGGCTGCACATACCGGTCATAAGGGGTAATCAACGCGTATTCAATCGATGAAGGTCCCGCTGTATATAGCAAGCCCGCGCGAAATGCGCAGTGGTCGGTATCAACGGTCTTGGCGCAATTGATACTATAGGTGGTTGTATCGTCATCCTATACCAGGGCTTGTTAATTGATCTCAAGAATATGGATCAGGTCAATACGAACCACTGCCACAATTGAGCCCACAAGGGGTTGTGGATTTTCATTGCCGATCAGGAACAGCGATACAACGGAACTCTCCGCCGCCGCAAGCCCCAGGGTCGCCAATGTCAGGAAAGTCCTGAAACCCATTACAATCAGTTTGTAAGAGTTAAGTGAATTGATACCTGACGAGAGATGCTTTTTTTTTTCTCGCCAGGCTCAAGGGGTAAAACATCTTGGCAAAAGTATGGCGGCAGGGTCCAGTCAAGCCTGATCAGGAATAGCGGTCGCCCCCAACTGGGTGGATAATAAAGTGTTTTGAGTAAAGATAGACAGATACGTGTGTAGTGGATGCTTCAAGAGATGAGTTCTAATTATTCGCAGGAAAAAATCAATAATCTTGATCTTCTGAAAGTTGGTGATGATTGGACTTCCGATAATGAACCGCCAAGAATTATGTCTGGCGATACCATTTGCAGCGAATGAATAGCAACCAACAATAGACAAATAGTTGAAACGCAAATTTGGGGGAATTAAATCTTGCTTTAATAATACTATCATTCACTACATTCATTAAATTCATTTATCCAATGGTTACCACAAATGGCTAATGCTGTTCCTTAACTTTGGGTCACTCAACTGTGGTGAGATCATAGACTTGGGCCAAGAATTTTTCGATACTAGTAGATATTTCCCATCTGACCCCCATCTGACTTCGAACATTCGCAAATCATCTTCCATATTCTTATAAAGGAATAAATTATTACAAAGCCTTATCTTTAGTCATGGAAAGAATGCAGAGCTTCCATGGCCATCCTCTCGGTGCAGTCGGCTGGGTCGCTCGTGCCGTGCAAACGATCAGTTCAATCATCGTCCTGGGAATCACGGCTTGGGCTGTTACAGATACAAAATCGCTTACCGTCATCTTTACTCTAGTCATTGTATGTTGCTCAATATATCATATTTACGTCTCTAACAACATTCAGTCGGTCTTAAGCTTAGTCGCTGTCGCTTGTTCCACATTTACAAGCTGCGTGGGCAGAAATCACAAATGGCATGTCTTAGTGCTAATAGTGACCGACGGGATACTTTCCTATCTGTGAGTGCTTTATGAAAGCATTCTCCTCCTTGCGTTGCTGATTATTTACTAGATGGCTCACTTCATTTATCTTTTTGGCACTTGATTTCAATCGAATGAGCTGCCGTATTAATCGCTGGAATGGAGAAACGGTTTGTAGTCGGAAATACGCCGCCGAAGCATTTGCCTTCATTGCATTGTATATATCACCCCTCGGACACACCAGTACTGCTATGTCGGATTGGCTAATTATGACGGCAGTTTCATGACGCTATTGGGCTTGCTTCTCGAGATTCTTTATATCTTCTATGCGAAGCCGAGAGCCGTGCGATCCAAAGAGCAGGCGGGGCAGAATCTAGCTGAGAATTTGAACGAAGCCGGCCTGACGTGATTGGAGTGTTGAAATCCTTGCCTGGCAGTTTTGCCATGCTTCCATAGGGGGAAGAGAGAGATGGCTTATCTGCCAGGATAGTCCTGTATCACACGCCATTAAATGCGATTATTCTTTCTCGTTATTGAATTATTATTCAGATACCGGTTATTGTTTTAGGACCAGCATTCCCATGGATAAAGCAAGTTCGTCCGGCCCTTCCATAAGCTTTTCTCCGATGATTCTGTCACTTGCTAGGCAAGTCTGGTTGAAGTTTTGTTTGTAATAGTTGCCGTCCAGAATGCTACCTGTTTGATGCACGCTCAGTGATCTCAGTAGTCGATTTAACAAATCGATGGCCATATTAATCCCCTGCAGGGAGAACTTCGTGAGCATGTGGATAACCGGGCGAGGGATAGGGCCGACGAGGTCTGGTCTACTCTCAAGCGCAATCCCTTGAGAGAACAAGATAGAAAGCCTGTTGTGTAGCTTGGAAAGATTTGATATTTGAGTCGTGACTGCTCCAACCAAGAGCTTCTTCTGAATAGGATCAATTGTTTTTCCTGCAAGTATGTCGCGCACTCGCGCCACCAGGCCGGGGCAAAGAGTTATTTCATGGAAAGCAAATTCCACCAAATCACCAAGCTCACTCCCTTTCCCACGTTCATTCTCTTGCTTCATCGATTGTATAATCACAGCCCTCCAGGCAGGTTCCGCCAAAAAGCATGGCTCGCCTCGAAGTAGAGAGTCTGCCACAATAAAGGCCCGGAAGGAGATCAGCAATGTCCTGCCGACTCCATCGCGGTGCGCTTCGGGTCCTCGGTGTTGGAAAAGAGCCGCAATCCCACTAGAATGTGCCAGCCAGGATTGCTCAAATGATCCATCTATCATTTCACAAATCCCCAATAGCACCGCAGCGCCCAAAGTTTGGTCCGATTTGACAGTCCTTGGATTCTGTATCAACTGTATCAAAGTTCGTATTCCTCGAATGTACATCGCACGCCCGAGATCGACTTGCTGGCGGTCTTGGTCCCTTTGGCCTCTATTCACTGTACATAATGTAGAAGCAGCCCACACGAGGGCATTCGTCGGGGTATCGCTCTGCTGGCGCATGAATTCCATGAAATTTACTTCCATGCGGGAACTCCATGAGTAGTAGAGGCCCGGGAAATTGACATCGACAAAGTCACCGAATACTTCCTTTTGTTGTATACACATCGACCTTTGGACAAGAGTAGGCACGACGCATTCATCGAAACTCGGAGCAACGTCCTTGTTGCTGGCGCTGCGGCCTTCGACGTTGTCATTTCGTAATATTTTCCTTGGCCGAGATTGGAGAGCATTCTGCCGGTCGCCTTGGGTAATGGAGAAATGGCAGAATCTAGTTGGTTTTTCATAACCGGGGCATTGCAGACCGCGGGTCTCGCAGCGTTTGCAGAGCGGCCGTCTTTCGTCGCACTTGGTTGGTGTTAGCGGCTAAGAAGTCTAGGTATCCCCGAGTGGCCCTCACCTTAATCCGTCGCCGTACACAAGACTGGCAGCCCTTACTGTGAGGCACGCCCACCATGACCGGGGAGTTAGGAAGATGATAAGTGCAATAGAACGCGTTCTCCGTTTGGTCCCACGCCAAGACGCCCCTCCCCGTATTCATCGTGATGCCAAGCTTCATTGGTCCTTTGGTCGTCATCCCGGTAGTGTCATGCAGACAGCCCCGTATGACGATGCGGAGTTGATTGGTGGAGATAGTCTTGTGTGACCATAAAGGGCAACAAACCAGAAACGCGTTAGTCACTTTTAAGGTCCTGCAAAGCTAATTTGTCCGTTTGGGAAATTCAGATGAGAGCCATGTTCACGGGCCGCTGGCGGTAGTATAACTATCATTTTTATTCAGCATTCAAAGTAGTATGTCCACATTTTTTAGAACATGTCCACAGCCTTCATATCTTTTTCCCTCCATTGAAATTTTATTCCGAGTCAAGGACAGTATTTGCTTCCATTTCAATCTCCCAAATCGATGCTCGATAGCCTTCCATACCACCTTTCATATTTTCTTAAATTAGACAACATGTCTGGTTCTCCCGAGGGCATTTACGAGCCGGGGATTGTAGACCCCAAGACACCTTTACCGAATTATACCTCTCCCTATTGGCATATATCGCCGCACAAACATGCCAATCACCAATCGGCTTGGCCGAAGGGTATTGTCGACGTGGTTATAATCGGGTCCGGTATTTCAGGCATGACTCTCGCACGCACATTTGTCAAGAGAAACGTAGGACTCGATATCGTGCTCGTCGATTCGCGGCAACTTTGTGCTGGAGCCACGGGTCGAAATGGCGGCCACATTAAGACGATGACTTTTGCAATGTGGGCGGAACGTAAGAAGATCTTCGGCCTTGAAGAAGCAATTCGAATCTCTCTGTTTGAAGACAGTCACTTGGAGGCCATGGAAGCCGCCATGATCAAAGACGGTATTGACGCGGATTTGGTCCTGACGGAGGGGGTGGAAGCATACTATGATCAACCTACCTTTGATCGAGCCGTGAAGGCCCTCGAAGAAATGCGAGTGCATATTCCCCGACTGGCGGCCAAACACAAAATATACACCGAACTCGCCCTACTGCAGAGCGACATGAAACTGTCATCTCGCTGCGTAGGTGCTATCGGTGTTCCATCAGCATCGGTATGGCCATATAAGTGGATCACCGGCGTTCTAGGAGGCCTCATCGATACCCAAAAGATCAATGTTCAGACAAACACTACGGTGACTTCTATTCTGGACATTGAGACCTCTGAATATGCCATTATCCGTACTAACCGGGGCGAACTGAAAGCCAGAAACGTGATCCATGCCGAGAATGCATGGGTTGGCCATCTCATTCCGGAACTTCGACCATTCGTCTCTCCTGTCCGAGTCAATGTAGTGCACTTTGGAGCTCTATCAGATGACTCTAATTTGAGCGTTGTTGATAAATCGCCGTTCAAGTTGGATAGCAAATATTCTCTCTGGCTACGATACGGTGAAAAGGATTACGACTATCTCATTCAGCGCAATGATGGAGGCCTTGTCGTCGGACGGGCATGTACTGGGCGCAAAACCACAGCTAATGATAGCATGACGGACATCGCACCAATGCAGCATCTGCGTGGATTTGCCGAAGAAGCCCTTGCATCTGCACCTGCGGGTTCATCTTCTCATATCGATCGACAGTGGTCTGGAATCGTCGCATTTACTCAGGATGGGGTCCCATTTGCCGGTCGCTTGCCATTTGCCGGGCGTAAACATCAGTGGGTTTGTGGTGCTTTCCACGCTACTGGGATGATCAAAGCCTTTAGGACATCACAGGCCGTTGCTTCAATGGTTCTCGGTGACGGTTTCAGTAGCGATTTCCCTCACTCTTTTCTGGTTACGGAGGAGAGGATTCGCGGCCTCAAAAAGTCTCTAGAGGTGGGAGGTTACCCAATCCATGTCCAAAGGCCAAATCTTTGAGGAAGTTGCACAGAGCGATGCGGCAGAAATATGTGATTTTTCTTGAGCTGGAAACAAATTAAGAGATAGACCGCTAAGCATTGTGATCGTCGTCATCAGGGATTTCAATTGAAAGCCTAGTCTGTAGCCTCAAGGCGTTTCTACCCATTAATATTCCTAGAAACAGGAAGCTTTCCTACAAAAGTTACCTTATCTAGTAGTGTTATATCAAATAGTAATCTACTTGCTATAGATATTTCTGTCTATTCAAGAAACTCGGATTGAACTTTGATAATAACCTAGATGCACTGAATCATAGGGGCTGTTTTTTTAGCCAGAAAAAAAAAGGAAAATGTAGTTAACAACACGTAAACTTTATTTTAATTACTTCGATACCTAGGTAATTTCTTGTTAAAGCAAAAGTTTCTAGCTTTCTCGGCTACGGCTATCGCCTATTTTCTTATACTTTGGAGTCACCATGTGGCAGTTGAGAGATCTAGATCTACCATGGCGTGATCCGAGTAGCGGCCCTCGCCGCCAACTGTCATCCTAACAAGAATTCAGCGGCAGCGGAAAACAAATGAGAGTCGAGTCCTAAGATGTTATATTTAAACCTTCCGGTGATAAGGTCTCTATTCGTAATCACTGCGAGATGTTGCATCACGTTCAAGTTTAGGATATGTACCATACCCCGCAAACTGATACGAGAGAACCCTGAATGACGAATCTGACACGATTCGCAAAGCGAATGGCGAATCCCCAAGCATATGCTATCAAATCGTAGCAAAAGTTCCGGAGATTTAATATACTCAAGCCCTCGCATTCGTGCTTTGGGTCTCAGTATTCGACATCTGCGGATAGTTTTTTCACGGGGTTCTATGCTCATGCGTCCGGATAACCGGCATGAGATGGATGATGAATATCTAGTACTTTCATGGTGTATTAGTATATAAAGAATGTACATTTCTCTTGCATTATGATGATACAGTGCAGTAATTTCCACCTTTCGAACATACTCCATGATGGCTCCCTCTCTTACCGAAACGACACCTGTCGTTCCCATTGCAGAAGACAGCAAAATCACATTGAAAGGACTTGAAAGAACCCCCATCAAGCTCAGCGGAGCTCTAGATGCATTCGAATCATTCGACGTGACCCCAGTTATTGGTCGAGAATTTCCGAACGCAAGCCTAAAAGACTTCCTACGAGCTCCAAACTCGGATGATTTGCTCCGCGATCTTTCTGCCACCAGTCAGTATTGATCACAGTACAAAATCTTCTACATGATTATTCAACGACTAACATAATTGCCATCAAAAGTCTCCCAAAGAGGCGTCGTCTTCTTCCGCAAGCAAGATGGTCTAGATGATAATTTGCAAAAGGAACTCGTCCAACGTCTCGGCGAGCTCTCGGGAAAACCCAAGACCTCCGGCTTGCATATTCACCCGATTGCCAACTCAGGCCGTGATGGCAGTGTCGCAGACGATGAGATTAGTGTTATTAGCTCTGAGCAGCGGAAGACGCTATACTTTGAACGTAATGCCCGCAAACAAACTGCCCGACGGGAATGGCATAGCGATATCACTTTCGAGCCTATCCCCAGTGACTATACACTTCTGCGTCTGACTGAGCTCCCAAAGACTGGTGGTGGTAAGCTACTTGCTACAAACCCCTCGCTCTCCCTTTATATACTCACAAAAACATGTAGATACGCTCTGGGCATCTGGATACGAAGTCTACGACCGTCTCTCAGAGCCCTATCAGAGATTCTTAGAAGGACTCACAGCTACATACGCCCAGCCCAGATTCAACCAGGTAGCCGACAGAAACAACTTCAAGATCCACCCGGGTCCACGAGGCGCACCTGAGAATGTCGGCGAAGAGCTACGCGCCGAACACCCCGTCATCCGGACGAATCCCGTAACGGGGTGGAAGAGTGTTTTTGCCGTGGGATCGCACGTTCAGAAGATCAACGGTGTGACTGAGGAAGAAAGTAACCATCTTCTTAACTGGTTTGTTAATCTCATTGTTGAGAATCATGACTTGCAAGTGCGTTTGCGTTGGCAAAATCCCAATGATCTTGGTAAGTCGTCTCCCCCTGCATGGTTTGATTGTTAGTACTCTTTCTAATCAATTATTAGCTATTTGGGATAACCGATCAGTTTATCATGCAGCGACCTGGGATTATGAAGAGATTGGTCCTCGCAGGGGTCATCGTGCCGTTGGTTTAGGCGAGCGGCCGTATCTGGACCCCAAGAGCACGAGCAGACGGGAAGCACTGGCCCGGGAAGCGGTTGACAATGCTGCATAGTGTCAAATAGGAGATGAAAGCTGCCTAAATAGCAGGATACAACTCATCAATCTTCACTAGGGTTCTCTCAAGCTTGTAACAGCTCACTGTCCATTTACGAAGTATGTTTTCTTCTTTTCTACCACCAAATCGTAAACTATGAAGATCCAACAGTTACAACAAACGCTCCCCCAACAAACTACTATACTAACTAAATCCAACCATCAAAAACAATAATGATATTGATATCGATATTTGCTGTTGAAGCCAACAAAAGCCGCATGCGACTATGGACACAAGAATGCAAGTATGTAAGGAATGCAAACCATGACATGTTCAAGCTGAAGATGAAGCTCAAGCTCAAAGAATAGAGGTAGGGTTCAGTCTCGAGTCAGCGGTGTTTTTCTTCGCTTGCTCGAGGACCGGAACCCTGATGGCGCCGCCCTTGTCACCCACAGGGGTGGGGTTCGGCGAAGGGCCCGGGGTGCGCTCGCCCTTGTTCTGGCGCTGGATAAGGCCGTTTGTGATTCCAAGGACGGAGTCGACAATAACAGCATCGATGCCTTCTGCGACTTGGTACTATATTTGAAAAATATCATTAGTCGCTGGTTTCATTTCTGAATGGGAACGGTGGTAAGAACTCACGTCAACGTTGACACCGTCGTTGTTCAGCATGCCGTAGGAGACGCAGACAAGACCGGATTCCTTGACGATGCGGACTAGACGGGGGCAAAGCACTAGAGGTTCGGCTTGAGAGACGATGCCGAGAAGGTTCCAGCGTGATGCGAATCGAACGGCCTCTTGCAGACTGCTGGCTCGGATATCACCGACAGGTGAAGCACCGGCATCGGTCAGAAAGAGAACTGGGATGGAGGGCTGCTTGAAGGACAAGATGAGACAGATGTCGGGGTTGAAGCTGGAAAACAGAATGTCGCGGTTCTGGCCCAAGTCGTAGACTTTGGTGAGGACGGTGTCGACAAACGAGTTCAGTTCGACGGCGTATGTGTCCATCTCTTCTTCCTCACTCTCGTGGAGCATGGGATATTCTAGCGACCTTGGTTAGATCGTCGAAATGTAGCTGTTCTTTAGATGGCGGTTAGGACTCACTCAGTTCAATGTTAAACCCGACAGGTGTGGGGATCTTTTTGAAAAGTTCTTCCAGTGTCGCGAAAGGTGCCTGGATATGCTCGCCACGGGTGTTTCCCTTGAAACCCTTCTTTTTGAAATCACGAGTATGCTTGATCTTCTCAGTCAATTCGGCCGGGTCGTATAGGGACCCGCCGACGGACATTGATCGCTGTCGAGGAGGAATACTCGAATCTCTATTGGCATCCACGCTGTCGGGTAAGGCATTGCGGTGTCTTCCCTTGCCGAGCTCCAGGAATTGATCCAATGTCAAAGTATGTACTGGGGCGTCGATGCCCGTTTCGCTGACCAAGAAATCATGGTAAATGACAGGGACATGATCCTTGGTAAGTTGCACATCAAACTCGACGTAGGATGCGCCCAAGTTGGCCGCGGCGATGAAAGACTGAATGGTATTTTCACCCAGCTGGAGCGAATTGCGACTGGCCATGTTCTTACCAAGACCGCGGTGACCGATGACCATAGTCGAGCTCATGGATCGCCAGTAGGTCTGGTTACCCTTGATAGACATGTTGGGATGCTGGAAAGGGGTGATGACCAAGAAGTTGAAGGTCACCGATCCGATCACGTCCAGGGTATTCGCCGCCACGATGGGAACGGTGGAATCTCCCTTGAGGTTGATACGCTGCGATCCCACGGTCGGCTTGATGCAGGAAAGTAGTGCAACACCGCGACCAACAACCTTCTCCTTAGATCCAGAGTAGGTAGGTACAAGGTCGAAAAGCAAACGCACTTTACTAGCATCAGTCGTGTGGAACACGATTGGCTCAGTGGAAATATTGTCCTGCACGGGTAGATCAATGACCTCTGGCTCGCCATGAGCGCCACTGGCGGTAACCACCAAAGACAGCGCTGTGTCTAGCTGGGTCGCGTGCGCATTCTCCATGGGGATTCTATCAAGGTTGACGGTCTCCAAGGGCTTTCGCATGTCCATCGTTCCCAGGCTGACCAGAATCATGGTCTCATCGGTAAGATACCGATGTCCAAATGTCTTAATAGGTTCAGTATTTCGCAAACCAGGACTCCCGGCAGAGGTAGGCGCGGGGGCATTGGACCGTCGATCAGTCAGAGAAGACAGGGTGGGCGGAGAGCCCGACGGGGAAGGGCCATTGCTGGGAATCGAGGGCGAAGGCTCCTGTTCGGGAATTGGGACTCCAGGGCTGACTTCAGCTAAACACCGCGCGATCTCGAGGTGACCTCGTAGCGCCGCATGTTCTTTGGCCGTCCAGCCAGATGAATCAAAGCGCTCCAGGTCCGCTCCAGCGTCAACAAGCAGCTTGGCCACACCTAGTTGGCCATCAACACATGCAATGAAGAGAGGCGTCCAGCCATAAGTGTTCTCAGGTAAATTGGTATTGGCCTTTTGGTAGTCGGAGCCTTCCAGGATAATTTGCGCACATTCGTCATGGCCAAAGCGGGCCGCGACATGCAGAGCTGTCTCGCCCTGTTCATCCTGGTAGTTGATATCAATACCGGCCTCCACCAGTAGCTGCACAATGTCGACAAAGTTCGCCTTGGTTGCAAGAGCAAGAACGGCGCTTGACTTGGAGACCTGCTTCCTGACCTGATCGGAATGCCCGTGGGTCTCTCTCCAGTTCTCAGCATCCAGAAGGCAGCGGGTGGTCTTTGGGTGGCCACCAACCACACTCAGATGAAGGGGCGCCCAACCATCCTCGTCCTGCCACAAAGGGCCATCGATGCCTTCTCTGACGTCAAACATGCCCCATGCTCGCAGGTGCTCAATGATGACTTCACAAACCACCTTGAAGCCATATTGGGCGGCATAGTGCAGTGGGGTACGTCCAGAGAGATCCTTTGTCATCAAAGACTCCCTTTGATCAGGGCGCAAATTGTCAAGGAGATGTTGCAAGATAGTGACCGCCGAGTCATCACGACTAAGCTGCTGGGGCATGTGCTCTTCCTTGACCACAGATCGAGGGGGTTGCAAGGTCGGCGGCGCAGCAGGAGTAATGTAACGAGAAGTCTCGGGAGGGAAGTCAAGCACCATGGACGCGGCAGGCTCGGAGTCGCTCGTTGACTGTTCGCGACCAACCGAGATAACGAGGCGGTGCAGACAGTTACGGCGATTAATGTCATCGTCCTCCTCCAGAGTGTCAACGCGACTCAGCAGAGCAGTCAGACTAGCCTTGGCACGATGAAGAATGGCACGTTGGATGAGGGTCTTGAGAACCTTGATAAAGACACCCTCGCCTGCATCATCGGCGGCATTCTTCAGAGTTTCAAGTAGCTCCAGAAGAACATGCGTATCATCTTTTCTCAACGAGTCATCCACTGCAGTCAGCACGCTAGAGGGCAGGTTCAAGTAGGGACGTGTAGGACCACGTTTCAGCGACAGAGAGGAGTGGGTAGAGCTGGAATCATCGAACAGCTTCTCCTCCGTTTTAGAGTTGTCAGTGATGATAGCCATCCAGGAGTTGATACGTTCCTGGGACTTGATAGCACGCGCGTTCGAGGCAAAGGGAACGGGGTCCACCTTGGTCTCGAGGTAACGCTTTTGCGCCTGGGCACCGACTTTCTTGTCAAGCTTCTTGGTGATCTTGACAAAACCGCGGCGATTGACCTCGCCGTACCACTGTAAGCGGCGCAGATGATAGCGCAGGTCCAACAGGGCTTCGCGCAGATCATGGCTCTCCTCCGCCTCCAATGGGTGATTACCCTCCATTGAATATCCATATCGATCCTCCAGCAGTTTCAGGCGGCGGGCGTACTCGGCGTATTTCTTGTTGTAAAAGTAGTCGACATCCTCAACATTTCGATCGAGAGAGTAAAAGAAACCTATACCGAACGAACCAGCCGAAGAAACGGCGCATCCTGGTTAGAAGGTGCTCGAGGAATTGCAAGGGAGCTTCGCAATCGACAAAGCATCGCGCTTACCGGCCAGATCCGCCTCTTGGCCCGCCTTGATTTGTTCCGCGGCCGACTTGATAAGTTTTTTCAAGGCCTTGTATTTGATGTAATGGGCGCTCCATTCGGGGACGGTGAATTGAGGTAGATTGCGACCGAACTTCATGTTGACGGTGATAGGGCACTATTGCCAGGCCCTCTGTACACACACGCTGAGGTAGGATGTAGGATGTAGGATGTAGGTGATGGGTGTTTTTTTTCAATCCCACCGCTTCCCTTTTATTTTGAGTTTTGGCCCCAAAAGCAGAGAGGTGAAGAGGTCGAATAAAGAATGAAATGTCCAGCCTGAGAGTCACAGAGAGTGATCAGGTGAGCGGACGCACACAGGGGATAATGGGCGCCATTAGGGAAAAAGGAGGGGGGGGAGGGTTTGAAGGGAAGGATAATGGTGTAAGAAAAAAGATCGGGAGCTCAAAGGCCGACTGTACCTGCTTAAGTGTGGGGTGGGGAAAGGAATGATGAAGCGGTGAAAAAGGTGAAAGAGGTGAAAGAGGCGACTGGTAAAGAATCCCGAGTTGAAGTGGATCGGGAGAGAAGAGAGAAGGAATCAAAGAGACCTCCTGGCCACGTGAAGATCGGTGGGAATTGGAGGAATGGGGAGGTTGCGAACGGTTGCGAGCGGTTGTGAGGTGTGCAGTGGTGGCTGGCGGTGATTTGTCGATCCGCGGGGTTCCATCAAAATGCCTGCCGTGGGTCCTGGCTATCCTAGGGTATTCCTAAGGTTGCCACTGTATAATATGGGATATACCAGGTACGCTGTAGAGATGAACTGAGTCACCTCAGCTCATCATACAGAGTACCTAGAGTACCTGGTCCACTGAGCGGTCTGCTCTTTGATCTGGTGACTAGCTGACCTAGCTTAGCTTCCTGGGGCGTTTTTCTGGAGTAACGCCCCAGCATTAGCGGCCTCCACATTGGATGCCCCGAGGCTCCTCGGCCTGGTGATCCCGGTGGCATCGTGACTTTTGCCCATTATGCTTCTGCAAGGGAGAGCAACTGTAAAGAAAGGGGGAGAAGAGGAGAGGAGGAGAGAAGGAAAGAAGGAAAGAAGGAAAGAAGGAAAGAAGGAAAGAAGGAAAGAAGGAAAGAAAAGACCCCCGGAGAGGCAAGTCAATTGTCGCCTGACCTTCCTGCCCAAGTGCGAGTGCCACTGCAAGTATACTAGTATGCTCTGGGCACGATGATGCAATCTTTCCTGCATGCCATAAGTACACTTAAAAATTTACTAGTACTTGTATATACTACTTTCAAGCATAATTCATCAAGACTCATTCATACTTTCTATCACGGCTGAAATCACAATTCAAATGCTAGTGTTGAATCTGTACACCATCTCGAGCAACAAACGCCCCGAATCCAAGTCCCCCCCCAAAAAAAAGAAAAGAACCGAAAAGAGAATGACAAAATGAAAAGCAAAGAAATGAAAGCAAAGCATCGCTAAACCGAATGATGTTCTCATGATCAAGTGCGGGGGGGCATCAAAAAAGCAAATATCGAGAAAAGAAAACAAGTAGACAAAAAAGCTAAACTCCGCCGGTGAATCTTCACGTAAGAACAAAACAGCTATCAAAAAGGAATTCATGCGCTGGGAAAAGGCCTCCCACACTACTACTGGTCTTGAACTAGTGGCTTCAATGCCTCCACGCCAGCCTGTAGCACGGCTGGGTTCTTAGTCGCCTTGAGGCATGCAGTCAAGATATCGATGCCACCGGCCGCCCGAACAGCGGCCTTGGCACGAGTACCAATCTCACCGGATGCCGCAAAGGTCAGGTTGCGCACACATACAATGCCGCGGTGAACAAGCGAATCATCATCTTCCTGGCACAGACCGAGCAGGAGATCGACACCACGTTGTCGGTCCAGGACAGCCGCCACGGCCGCATCATATTCTGTGAGCATAGCGATAGCCCCACCAGCGGCTCGTCGAGTCGGGATATCATCGGCATCGGTCAGAGCAAGGAGGATGTGGAGTCTCTGCGCTGCGCGCTTCGAACCGTCTGCGAACTTCACGATTCCGGACTCGCAGGTCATCAGGTTGCAGACCAATTCGCACGCAGCCCGCTGCACACGAGGATTGCTGGATAAGAGGAGATCCTCCACCGCGGCCCATCCTTCCCGGACTGTAAGTTCGGCCGGGGATTCGTCATGTGGGTAAGATGCCAGGTTGGTCAGAGCGAGTAAGCTCTCGAAAACGGGAAGCAGATCACGAGGCTGATCCACCGAAAAGCTGGCAGACTCGGATGAAGACAAAAGGGAAAGCAAAGGTCGTACGGCGGATGTGATTTGTGGGAAGCCGGACGAGGGGAAGACGTGCGCAGGATCGACAGAGATAAGGATCCGGGCTAGTGCATGAGATGCATTTTGAGTTGTTTCGTTTGGAAGGGCGGGACTACCTTGCTTAGGGATCGCCAGGCTGAGCAACAACTTGACTGCGCCCTGTTGGGCGAGAACACCCCGTGATTTTTGAACCCGCGCCAGGGCCAGAACAATTTTAGCCGTCAGATCGTGAATTGAGGGCGTAGAAAGTCGGCCACAGTCTACTAGGAGAGACATGGCACCGGCATCGATAACAAAGCCACAGCGATTAAGCACGGCCTCATCTCGATCTAGAGGATCGGGGGTATTGGCCTTGGCTTTAGCTTTACCCGCCGAGGCATCCGCGTAGTCCTTCAACTGGCCCATTTTCTGCTGTTCATCGGAGAGGTTGGGAAGGAATTTTGTGAGATTGGAAATGACCATGAGACCACCGTAGAGCAGGGAAGAATCGACGGTGTGCTTCTTCAAGACTGCGACCAAGTCCCGCATGAATGTCGGATCATTAGCCAATTGCTCCTTGACAAAGGGCTTGACGGAGGAATAGGCCAGTCCCTCAATGGCGTGCGAAATATTCTCGACCTTGGATTCAGACATCAGTCCCTTGAATCGTTCCACCAACTCAGAGACACTGTCTTCCTCCAGGATCTTACCGTTTTCCTCGGGCTTAGTTGTCTCGGATGCCCGGATCTTCGCCAGCACCACGGCCGCCAATTCGGAGCCTTCGTCGCTACCGTTTGTCAGGGTGTGGGAGAGCCACTCTGAGAAGTTCTTGGAAATTGCCTCGCGGGAAGGGCGGTTGATGCATGCTGCATTCAAGAGATCCAAAACGGAGATCTCCACCTTTCGGCGTTTCGCCTCTCGCGTCGCGAGGGGAGTCAGGGCATTCATCAATTCGTCAGACAGAAAAACACTGGCGGCCGCGGCCGGTGCCACGGGGAAGACGGCAGCAACGGCCGAAAATGCAATGATGAGATCGTCCAGACGACCCTTGGCAATCATGGCCGCAATCAAGGCGGAGAATTTCTTTGCGCCCGCATCTTGGGAAACTTCCAGGTACTTTGCAGTGGCCAGAGTTGCCTGACTGCGCACTTCCAGTGGCAATCGATTGTCCAGTGAAGTCAAGATCACCTCGAATCCCTCGTCGTCGATGAGATTCTGCAGTCGCTCCGCGTCAACCGCGAGTAATCTTGTAATTCCCTTCAGAGAACGGCCGTCCAGATCGTGGCCCGACTCCATCAGTTTGGCAAGAAACAGTTGGAACAGCTCATCCTCACAGTGCGTCCGCGTACTCTCGGACGGCCATACGGTGGGATCAAGCACGACGGTATCCAAACAGACGGCGGCACCGTCACCGCGATCGTAGATCTCATCGAAAAAAGTGGTCACGGAAATCTGAAGCTGAGTGGAAAAGTATTGTCGAACACTGACGCTTTGTCGCACGAGCCCGGAGATGATCTCATCCTGCATGTCAGTAAGGGCATGTGCCGGCTCTGCCAGCAACAGCTTCAGCGACTCCAGCGCCACATTCTCGGGTGGTTTCAGGCCATCCGTGCGAAGAAAAGCAGCGGCCTCCTTCCCGGCGGAGTCATCTTGACGGGTGGTGTAACGACGGCAAAGGTTTAGCAGCTGATGGTCGTTTTCCTCTTCCTGTTGGATTTTGAGGAAAGCGGCTTTGACTTCGGAGTTTTCGGGAGCAATGGAAAGGGCTTCTCGGAGGTTTCGTGAAGCGGCCTAGAGGGGAAGGATTTTAGTGTCAGTAAATTTTGGACAAAAAGGGGGATAGTAGTGGTAGTAGTAGGTTGAGATCACACAGTGATCATGCTGCGATAATACAGCGAAGAGAACTAGTTCGTACCTCGCGGTGGCCAGCATCAACCAACTCAACAGCCTCCCGTGCCAGGTGTGCAGCGCGCTCTTCGCCAGTTGCTTGGACCATTGCAGGGTTGCTTGAGGAGCAACAGGCCGTGGCGATCAATTTCCGACAAACAGATCTTAGGGTTTCGTGGGTTGTTGACGTGAATGAGAAAGGGCGCGGGCACTTTTTTTTTTTCAAATCCAAAAATTGGGGGGGGTTGAAGGAGGGGGGGCAAAGGCGGAAAGGCGGAGAGGCGGAGCGGAGGAAAGATTGATTGGAAGAAGGGTCCGATGGGAATGTAGATGATGGGGAGATAGATGGAGGATGGGAAGAAGGATGGAAAGACAGATTGGAAGAAAGGAGTCTCGAAGATAATCTGGACAGATTGATCTAATCCGTTCTTCGTACTATGGAATAATAATCATCAATAGGCTACTTGGCGTGCACCTTAGGCATGCAGCTGATACCGTTTGGTAATTACCAGGCAAACATTACCTTTTGTTAGCAGCCAATCCCCCGCACCACCGCGGGAGGCGCCCAGTCGGTATCGTCTCAATACGATTGGTTTTCAATTTCCTGAGAGTCATTGGACTCTTTTTCATTTCAAATGGTTATCATTCTCGGACTTTGATGATAAGACCAACCACATCGGTCCGTTCTATCACGTTGCACGGAGAATTGGCAATTCTACATTCAAGGCGGAGAAAGTATATTCTCCCATCAGTCTTACTATCGTACATACCCCCTCCCCCCTCCCCCCCCTTCCGTCTTAGACACGGTCCTCCATTTCCCCGTGGAGGAGCTCCTTTGGGATGAGTTCAACGCGGTACATTCAACCGAGCATCGGGTTTGCGAGGGGCCGAGCATGTGGGACCTGCCACGTCTCATTCGAGGGAACCGCCGCGTAGCGCTATCCTTAATTCCAGTCTCCGACTTACGGAGTACAAGCTGTCATAGCTCCCGCGGATCGTCAGCTTCCACCCCCGACGGGCTTTTCCGGTGGATCCCAGAGGACAGCGACTGTAATTTGTTGACATGTAAGGAGCCGCGGCTGAACTCAACCTTTTGGATCAGCCTGAGTCATGAGGATCCGGTAAGACCGTGTCTCCAGGGCTACTTGTCTGGTCGTATCAGTACCTGGCAGTGTGCCACTGCCCAGGTGGCAGTTAAGGCGGGGCTGTATGGATGGTTGAATGTTGTTACACTCTAGTAGTAGGTAGTTAGTACCTATTCTGTACATCGTCGAAGTATATATTTGGCAACGCAACAGTCGTCGGATAAGTTAACTTCCGACTTCCAAGTTGGGAACGGATATCATTCCCCAGACATATGAGTAGCTCCAGTGCTCATAACTAACTTCCAAGGTTGAACTTAATATGGTTATGTTAAAGCAGTAGTACTGTCTATCGATCTATACAACATGGAATGCCCCAGTCAAAAGTTCCATAGATCGAGTTGAGTATGAGGCCATCCAATCACGTGGTTCCACCACTCCTTATCACCCGTGACCGCTTATCACGGAGCTGCCTCTTTGTCCGCCGACAACGAAGCTGCTCGGAGATGATCGAATTTGCTTGGAAACTTGAAGATCTCATCCAAGGGTTGATCCCACAAGTGCAACCCCCTTACAGATCTTGGACTCACGAAAAAGTACTCCCACCTTCGGCCTGAGCCTCATCATGAACCCCCGCCCCCGTCAACCAGTGCTAGCACCATGAATTCTGTCGATGCCTCCGAGCATTACGACCTTGGAACCACCGGTTCGTCCCTCTTCCCCAGAGCCACAAGTGAGCAAACCGAGAACCTGAACTTGAATATTAACACTCTGGGAAAAACCTAAAGACCTCGCACCCTCTCTCCTCACAATTGTCTTCGACACCAACCCCCATGCCTGGGCGGCCCTAAACCAATCCCTCCCACTATCCAATGCCGTCGCGAACCTCCTCGTCTTCATCAACGCCCACCTCGCCTGCAACTACGCAAACGAGGTCGCAGTCGTCGCCTCACACAGCCAAAAGGCAGCATGGCTATATCCCTCCCAACATGACACACCATCCACCACCACAGCCGATGGCGACGGCGACGTCGCAATGAACGGCTCAACACCAACCCAAACGAACAAATATCGCCCCTTCCGCATCGTCGAAGAACAAGTCACAAAAAACCTCAAAGATCTCATGGATTCAACCAGCAGCGACGACCTACGAGGAAACACATCAACAATGCTCGCCGGCGCTCTCACCCTGGCCCTAAGCCACATCAACCGGCGCACAATCGCCTGGGCCGAAGAGCACGGCGGCGCCGACCTCGAAGACGCCGCAGCGGAAGGAGGAGGCGGTAGTGGTGGGCCTACGTCCGGAGCAGGCCGACACTCCGCCGCAAATGAAGACGAGCGACTCCAAAGCCGTATTCTCATCGTTTCCGTCAGTGGATCCAGCGATTCCGCGCACCAGTATATCCCCGTCATGAATGGTATCTTCGCCTGTCAACGCCTCCAAATCCCCATCGACGTGTGCAAGATTAGCGGCGACGCGGTTTTCCTCCAACAAGCCTCCGACGCGACCAAGGGCGTGTATATGGCTCTGTCCGAACCGCGCGGTCTTTTGCAGTACTTGATGATGGCGTTTTTGCCGGATCAGCGCTCGCGTCATCATCTGGTTTTGCCTACGCGGGTTGATGTTGATTTCCGCGCTGCTTGCTTCTGTCATCGTCGGGTTGTGGATATTGGGTATGTCTGTTCTATCTGTTTGAGTATCTTTTGCGAACCGCCTCCGAACAACGAGTGCTTGACTTGTGGGACTATTTTGGATATTGGGGATTACGGTGGTAAGCCTGCGCTTATTCCGCGAAAGAAGAAGAAAAAGAAGCGTGTCAATGGGACTTCGGCGGCTGGGACGCCTATGTCAACGCCTACGCCTGGTCCTTGATATGTCTCTTTAATTCCTTTCCCTTTCCTTTCCCTTTTGCTCTTTTAATTAGATCCAACCCACAAAAGCTACTATTCTCGCTGGATTCGAGACTCGGGTCTTACCATGGAATAAGAAAGAATTCAATTATCTAATCATCTATGTGACGATATGAAAATAAAAAATAAAATAGAAGAATTGGATACGTAGAGCTTCTAGGGAATCTGGAAAAACATGTACAATCGCTTGGCCATCCACTACCGCGGAATATTGGCTTCAACCGACTGTTGCTGCTTGTGCTTTGAAAACCAATATCAAACCAGAGACATATGAGAGCATAGAGGAACCAAAAAGGCACAAAGAGAGCCCAGTCGCTGTGCAAAAAGTAACCTGCGGAAAATTGGCCGGGGGCTCGAAACTTGTCAAGACGAACCGTTGGAATAGATGGAAGGACCAACCCCCAACAGGGTTCTTGTCTAAACTTGCTGTTAAAAGCAAGAAGCCAGGCGTCTTTTAGGGGCTTTCACTTGAGTGGCGCTTCTTCTTTCTCGCTTTTTTCTCCGTTGGCGATTTCGAGGTTCTTCTGTATATGTTAAATTTAGAACCGGCCGATCGAGACAAGGAACGGGGTGAGCTTACGATGCTCGGATATACTGACGAGGTCGCATCATCATTCCACCATTCGCAACTTTAGAGTCTCGTTTGGTCTTGCGCGACATTACAGCGCTAGGTAGTCTGTCGTTACTCGACATAGAAGCTACGGCCTGCAATCAGTCCAGTGTTAGCATGCGGGTCCTTCATCATGAATGTAACAGAAACTTACGAAAGAGTCGGTGTTGTGAGCAAAGTAAAGTGCGATTCCATCCTTTGTCTTCTTGACCGTCATAATACCAACCGAGCCTCTTATCGCGTTGTTCTGCAGGGCAGGATGACCTAGAACACTGTTAAATTCCACCAAGTTCGTCCAAAGGAAAGGGTGACATACCGCTAAATTCGTTGACAATCATGGCTTCTAACGCCTCCTCTTCGGTAACTTGTTCGGACACACCATTGCCAATGACCTTTTGGCAGAAGTAGATCCGATATGCGCTGGTACTGGCTGCCAAAGTCGATGCAATATGCTCACCTGTGCCTGAAGTAACCGAGGCAACACACGTTTGATCTGGATCAGCAGGATCAACGGGAATGACATGAGTCCCGATTCCAATCAATGCCGCAGGACCAACCCTGCCACGATGCTTCATGCCGATGCCCCCCGATGAGGAACCTGCCGCAATATTTCCGTATCGATCAACCGCAATCGCCCCAACGGTGTCTGTAATCGAATCGCCCCCAATGGCATCTCTCGAGAATTTGGACTCTTGGGTGGAATCGGGTTTCTGGTTGTTCCGGTTCTGTGGTTCTTCTTTCGGAGGGGCAGCCTCCGAGGTGTGTTGGCGTGGCTTGCCGTTTCGTGGTCGAGGGCTTGCAGTAGAACTACTCGCAGCATCCATATCCATCTCGGAGGTCTCAACGGCTTCATGCATGGAGGAAAGCTCGGCGCGAACCTTAGCTTGGTCATCGACGTCCCCAAAAGTACGTGCGATGTGATATTGCAAGGGATCAACACAGCGGCGTATCCAAGGGTTCTCGTCACCTTTCGAATTGCTTTCCGGATGCGTGGCTTCCCAATCAGAGATCTCTTGCCTCCAGGTTTGCCAGCGCTCTTGTGTGGAGGGGGTAATCAAAGCATCGTTTGTAACGAGCACGACGCCGTTATTCCAGGCAAAATCGGCGGCTCCTTCTCCCACGAGGAGATTGGGCGGGACCCGGGCCATTCCTGGGAGCTTGTATGACTGGTCATAGATCTTGCGGGCAGCCATGATAGGGTTCTTGACGTCTAAGTACAAGGCAGAGATTAGCCTCGGTTGCTCATCCGATAGTCATCAGGGTTCTTCTTCTTACTCGGTACAGCTCCAACAGCACCACTGCGACCAAAATGATCAACGATTGAAGCATCAGCCTCGACAATTCCTTCGGCGTTGAGATTGCTACCGTAGCCACAATTAGTGATTGGAGCGTCCTCAAGGGAGGCGATGGCCATTTCGACAGCATCGACAGCAGTTGCGCCATTTCGCAAGAAGACCATGCCGGCTCTAACAGCACTGTTTTGTTGTGGGGTTAGCATTTGGCCTGCTAAGAGTAATTGGTAACTTACTGCTTGCAGGCTAGGAGGTGTTTCCCCTGGTTCTCGTAAGAATGGAACCCGGCGCCAGCGTGGACGAATATCGCACACATGTCTTCCATTCCCTGTGGCTGGTTTGGATCGGTCATATTGATTGATAAGCTCGCGATCACAGTACTCGATCGTTGCCCCGTTTTCCAGGGTGCCGACCAAGTTGTCAGTTGGTCACCAGCGACGATTCAGTAGAGATTCATTGGCAGGTCTGATCTGACGTGTGAAGGCGATTATGTTCTCGGGTCGGTTTCCAGTGTGTCTTCGAGTGAAGGAACCAGTGTTTAACCCTGACGTAGACGCGCGAAGCGAGAATTGAGCGAGCGACCAGAGAGCGAAGGGGACCGTATAAGAATAAGGTCGTCAGGACATGCAGTAAACTGCTCATACGGAATATTTGGTAAAGGATAGGCTGCCTAGGCTAGGCGTGAGGTGAGTGTTGAATAGAGAGGAGAGAGAAGAACGAAGAAAGAAGATAGAAGAGAAACAGGTGTGACCCTATGTTCTGAAGCATCGCATAGCATCACATCAGATCAACGGCACTCCTTCTTTCCTCAGCATCGTCGCGGATCGCTCTTTCCTTATAGTGATACCAACACCCACAGTACTAGTCATCTAGTACTACTAGAGTCTAGTAGTGCTATACCAACCCTAGGTATTATTTCCTTGGTATCTATCTTCGGCAAAGACTTCTCTAGGGGCCTCCCTGTATAGTAAGTGGAATATCCTGCTGGCAATTTTCCTTTAAGTCAACTTTGATAGTTGGAATCACCAGTCATCGATCCAATTGGACGATGGATTGAAATACACCTTAAAATATGGTCAAATCAAAAAATGAAGTGCCCCCGTCCATTGTTCAAGGCACATGACGTGGGCATCCTTAGTCATCCACGTTCCTCCCCGCCTCTGCCTGAAGCTCCGCCACGGTTGACTTCATATCCCACTCCCCCCCCCCCCTTCTACAGCGGACCTGCAATCTCCTTTGTATTCGGATTGGTCTGCAGAACCCCTCTCTGCCATGGCCTCCCAAACACCAGCCGTTGTCATGGACAAGTATGTTCTTACCTCTCCCTCTCCCGAGTTGATCTCGTGCTGACACGAACACTCCAGCGGTACTGGTTACTCCAAGCTCGGTAGGTGCTAGATGCCTGGAATGGTGGCATTAAGATCGCAATCCCACACTGGAGCATTGGGCTAACTAGTTGTGCTTGCTTCGAATATAGGATTCGCCGGTAACGATTCTCCCTCCTTCGTCTTCCCAACAGCCATTGCAACCAAGGCTGGTGCTGGTAGCGCTGGTAGCTCCGCCGCCCGGCCTTCTGTCGCAAACAAGCCTTCTTTCTTGTCCGGTGGCGGCGGCGGCAGCTCGCACCTTTCTATGAAGCGCGGCACTGAGGACCTGGATTTCTTCATTGGCGATGAGGCTCTGGCCGCTGGAAATGGCCCCGGCTATGGTGTCAATTACCCCATCCGACACGGTCAGATCGAGAACTGGGACCACATGGAACGATTCTGGTCGAATTCGATTTTCAAGTATCTCCGTGTCGAGCCCGAGGACCACTACTTCCTCCTCACCGAACCCGTAAGGAAGCCATACAATATCCCTCCTCCGTCCCGCCCCCCGCAAGCATGCCACTTAGGAACCTGGAAAGACTAATATTGGAGCCTGACGTTAGCCACTGAACCCCCCCCGAGAACCGTGAAAACACCGCCGAGATCATGTTCGAATCGTTCAACTGCGCTGGTCTCTACATTGCCGTTCAAGCTGTGCTCGCCCTTGCCGCATCCTGGACCTCCTCCAAAGTGACTGACCGATCCCTCACCGGAACTGTCATTGACTCCGGTGACGGTGTCACCCACGTTATCCCCGTAGCTGAGGGCTACGTCATTGGATCTTCCATCAAGAGCATCCCCATCGCTGGCCGAGACATCACATACTTTGTGCAAAGCTTGCTGCGAGACCGCGGTGAGCCGGACAGCAGCTTGAAGACCGCCGAGAAGGTTAAGGAGGAGTACTGCTACGTGAGTCCCGATATCGTCAAGGAGTTCGCCCGTTACGACCGCGAGCCCGATCGTCTCCTGAAGCACACCGTCAGCGCGCCCAACGGACGTAGTGTGCAAATCGACATTGGCTACGAGCGCTTCCTCGCCCCGGAGATTTTCTTCAACCCCGAAATCTACTCGTCCGACTTCCTCACCCCACTCCCCAACGTCGTTGACGGTGTCATTCAATCCTCGCCAATTGATGTCCGTCGCGGCCTTTATAAGAACATTGTTCTGTCCGGTGGTTCCACCTTGTATAAGGACTTTGGCCGTCGTCTACAGCGTGATATCCGTCATCTGGTAGACGACCGGATCCGCGCCTCTGAGGCCCGCAGCGGCGGCGCTCGAAGTGGTGGTCTGGATGTCGCAGTCGTCACGCACAAGCGCCAGCGGCACGGACCCTGGTTCGGAGGCAGCCTGCTGGGTCAGACGCCTGAGTTCCGAAGCTACTGCCACACCAAGGCTGAATATGATGAGATTGGTCCCAGTATCGTACGGAGATTCGCGCTGCTTGGCGGACCGGGAAGCTCCTAAAAGCCAAATTTCCCTCTTATCATCGTCTCTTTTATCAGCCTGGTGTCGCTGGACGCTTTTTGTTCATAGTCCGTTAGTTCATCTCTCTTTTTTTTTTACCACTTGTGACGCTGTTCCTCCTTGCCCCTTTCCCTTTTTTTTATTATTCAAAGCGGGCGGCTCAGCGCTGTGGTCTTAGTATGCTACATCCAATCTGGTTCCCGAGTAGATAGAGGGAGATACTAGGTCCCCAGCCTTGTTTTTATTATCGTTCAGAAGCGTATTAAAAATGCGAAAATTATCCTTCATCTCGTGGTATCTGCTCCTCTTTTTTTGGTTCCCGTATTTGCCGGTAGAATATAACGCCAATGGAATGCAAAAATCTGAATCAAGCCTGAAGAGTAAATTATACAAGAAGATCAAGGTAGAACTTGAAGTTGAAAGAAAAGTCCGAACCCAACTAACTTTATTCGGACTTCGCGGGGAAGGTAGCCCGGTTGAGAATAGCAACGCCCTCAACATGTCCAGTTTGAGGGAAGAAATCAAAGCCACGAATGCTCTCAATCTCATACCGGATGTTCCGCTTCTCATCACCCTGTACCATGACCGCAACATCGCGAGCCTGGGTGTGAACGTTGCAGCTGACATACACAACGCGACGAGGACCATAGTCCAGAAGCTGTTGGAGGAAGTCCTCAGAGCAACCCTTGCGAGGAGGATCAATGACGAGCAATGTTTGATCAGCCGGGTAGGGAACGTCCTTGAAAAGAACGGCAGCATCGGCGGCAGCGAAGCCGGTATTAGGTAGGTTGTTGGCGCGGGCGTTGTCGCGAGCGCAGACGATAGAATCACCGGCGACATCAACACCTAGACTGGACTTGAAGAGAGGAGACAAGGTGATGGTAAAGAGACCCGAGCCCGAGTACGCATCCAAGAGGTACTTGATGGGCTGGGCGGCCTGGTCATTACCGGGAGGGAAGACCTTTGATCGAATGTACTCTGTAAATCCGGAGAGAATAGAGTTGTTGTTTTGGAAGAAGCCGCCAGCTTTGTTGCTGAAAATATAGTCGTCGATATACTCCACAGAGGTGGCGTTGTTATCGGTAACACAGCGCTTCTCCACGGTGTAGTCCTCTTCCTCGATTTTGATTAAATCTCCAGAATCGGAACCCTTAATCGGGGCCAGCCCGGGAATATATTTGACTTTTGATTTGGCGCCTGGAGTATCCTTGGCGATGCGAGTAGTATTTTCACGCATCAAGAGCGTGGCGCCCTTCCTGTAAGAAGCGATATTTTCGGCCACGCGCTTTCTCTCGCTCTTGAGACCGCGTCGAACAATGTCGGTTCCCAGCGGGCAGTCTTCGATATCCATATCCATTTTCCGGTTCTTGTACGTAAATCCAATAGCGGGGACCTCTCGTGGTAGTTGGTTTCCAGCCTCGTCTGTCTTCGGCTTGCTGGGTTGCGCGAAATGAGGCGTTAGCTTCGTGCGGTATCCGAATTGCAGAGGAGATGGGAATGTCTCCTCAATGGCAGGAACCAGGTGGGGAACCAAGCCCGAGAAATTGGCGTAGGCTTTCTCGACGATACGTCGCTTGTGCGCAAGCTGGTCTTCGTAAGACATCATTTGCAATTGACAACCGGAGCATTTGCTGAAATAACCGCATTTAATCAAAGAGTCGTCTCTTGTTGGGCCGGCCTCAATCACACTGACGAAATCGGTCATACTATAATTGTATTCCCACTCATGGCGCACCACCTTTACGCGTGCCTTGTCGCCAGGGACCGTGAAGGGGACCACAAATACATGGTTCAGATTTTGGTCGTAGGCAAGACCATCACCGGTCGAAGAAAGCATAGAGATAGTCACATCGATTTCGGTGAATTTTTCGGGGAGCGTAGGCGCAGGCTTCTCGCCATTGGTCTCATCCTCGGCAGACTTAGAGCGGAGAAGCTTGTTCACATCCGCCAGAAGAACTTCGTCATGACCTCCGTTCTTGCTTTTCTCGACTCTGGCCTTCTTGCGCTGTCTATCGATCAGTTTCCTTTGGTTATTCATCTTAGGCGGGTGGTGTGGTGGAGGAGAGGATTTCGGGGGATAATTGTAGGCGATAGTCGAGTTTTGCTGGATTCGAATAGCTGAACGTAGTGTCTGAGAACCGAGAGAAGGCAACCGCCAGAAAGACAAGCGCACAGCAAACATGTGCGAGTGAGGAGCGCAAAAAGAGAAAAGCGGCGATTTCCATAAAATTAACTTGGGCTTAGCAACGGATCTCCCGCGTCGTTGATTGGGCCGACACTCACCGCCCGCGAGCAAGAAATTCCTCCCGCTGGCTGCACTTCCGCCGGGCTGATTTGCCTGTTACAATTGCAATTGGTCCTCCGCTATCTCTCCCTCTCGTTTTTTTTTTGTTTTAGAGCTTGTGGCTGGCGTATTGCTGGCCGACGAGCCGTTAATCCTTCTTTCATCATGAGCCTTGCCCGGCCGGCAAGATGTCTGTTTTGCAGCTTCTCCAGAACTGCGACTCCCGGCACGCGAGTCCCTCGTCGCCAATTTCACCCAACCCCAGCGCCATTGACGAATCGGAAACCCAAGTTCCCCAATGTTAAGAGTCCCGAGAAATCTACCCGGTCAGCATTGAAGGCCGATGACTTCAAGTCTTACACGGAGGAGGAGAAGGCCCACCTGGCCAAGGAGTACTCGGCCGCCCAAATGGAAGCCATCAAGGCCGGCGAGGCCTCTATCGACCCCAAGGATTTGTCTGACCAGTCTATTCGTCGTACCGACCCCTACCGATTCAAGTATCTTGACGATTTCTCCGTGATCGAGCCCGGTATCGACCGCAATGTTCGCGCCCCCGAGTCAAACTCGGATTACAACTTTAAGCTGAAGTCCGAGGACCAATTCATCGAGGACTTTGGTCGTTTCTTCGCGGAATCAAATGAAGATATTAGGCCAGCCGACTTTGTGCGATTCGCTGAGTCCCTACGGGTGACGGAAGGCAAGGAGGAGAACGAGCTGAACCCGCACAGTGCTCTCGTGCCTGATCTCTTTGGCCCCGGCGAGACCATTGACGAGCCCCGTGTGGAGGAGCGCAAGTCCGCTGCGGAGAAGGGTGAGAAGGAGCGCTCGCTCGAAGCAGAGGAATTGACTGATGCCCTGAAGAGTCTCCTTCTGGCTACCGGCTACACAGAGCGTCAAGTCCGAGAACTCCGCACCAAGACTTTGGTTTCCCACAGTGTCGTTAACCAAACTCGTCTGGGTAAGGTCCGTCGTGCCTACCGCCTGTCTGTCGCTGGTAACGGAAATGGTTTGCTGGGTATTGGCGAGGGTAAGTCTGAGGAAGCAGCCGATGCCAAGATCCAGTCGCAATACCGTGCCATCCGCAACATGCAGCCTGTCCCTCGCTACGAGAACCGTACCATTTTCGGCGATGTCACCGGAAAGGTGGGAGCCGTGGAGCTGCAGTTGATGCACCGTCCTCCTGGTATGTCAACTCACATCTCGTTATCTCCCAATTATATACTAACATCCCCTTCCAGGCTTCGGTCTCCGCACCCAGCATCTGATTTACGAAATGTGCCGCGCTGCCGGTATCCACGACCTTGCTGCGAGAGTCAACCGATCCCGGAATAAGATGAACACAGTCAAGGCCGCCTACGAGGCTCTTATGAGCCAGCGTGATCCGGAGGAAGTTGCCCGGGCCCGCGGCAAGAAGATTGTCGATGTGCGCAAGGTGTACTACGCGGGCAAGGTCTAGGCTAGGCATCGCGTTCTGACGAGCGGTCAGGTCGTGCATTGTTCCTCGGCGTGTATATAATGTTCTTCTATTTCTCTTCTCTTTGTCTTTTGCATGTATTTGTAACTTGTTTGGTCATATGTTCAAAAGGAATTCAAATTCGTCAATGGAAAATCGCCTGACTCTTCGTTGAATTCATTAATATGTCCAATTGGACTCGACATTGACAAGTCATCTAGCCTTTTTTTTTCTTCTTTCTTCCTTCGTACTTTGTGTTTTCTCGTAACAACACCCACAATATCAAAGTAACGCGCCGATCCCTCAAATGATAACTAGTAGTCCAGGGTATACGCAATGAAATCCAGCCTATGATACCTAGGCGGCATATTTCCACAAAAATCAAACATCCTCGTCAAGCTCTTCGGAACTGAGCAGAGTAGAGTACAGAGACATCACTGGTAGGTAACATCTCCATCGCCTTCATAACCTCCAAGCTGATAGGTCTGGTCCTGGAAGTGCTGATCCTGTCCGTCCTGCTGTTGCTGTTGCTCCTCACTCTCATTCCAAATCTGTTGTTGCAGGACGATACTGTACACGCTAGCCTTGAGCAAAGTACACACTGTCGCCGTCTTGCGCTCAAGTAGCCGCATTCCGTCTAGAGTCATGGTAGCCGGGTTGCCGGCGAGATCGGCAACTTTTTCGGAGAGCTAGACGATGTGGAATGAGAATGTTAGTTCGAGTTCAATCAGGGACTAACATCTATTTAGATATCTAGGGAGCGTTTGGCTGAGGATTGATTTGCACTGTGGGCGGAGACTGGCACTCGACGCGTCGATCCCTGGATGCCCAGGTGTTCGGCGTACCTGATTCACATTCCGCAGGAGGCGGGAGTATTCATCCAGAACTTCTTGTTCTAGCTCCGAGACGAGGCCATGGTTATTGCCCAGCAGCGGGTTGTTTGAGCGGTTGCGGCCGTGGGAAGCTTCTGCGTCGGAGCTTGTTGACTGCTCTGGTGGGATGGGAGGGGTTGTGGTCGCCGGCTCGGGGGAGATATAGGAGAAGTCTTGGCCATCGGAATCTTCCGATTGGGCGAAAGCGGACATTATGTGGAAGGGCTGAGTGTCGTTCGTTGTCAATGCGATGGAGGGGGAGTGGACGGCGAAGTGCGCGGGGAGTTTGTTGATGATCGGGATTCGCTAGGTCATCGGGCCGCGATTTGGTTTTGGTTGCGTCTCGGGTGATCAACGTTATTTATGATATCTACGCAACTACTAGTACTAGCTAAGGGGACTGTATCTACACGCGAGGAAGACTAGGTAAATATAGAACTCTCAACCATATTACTCTGTTATATTTTTAGTTGACATTAACCCTCGAGATAAAACAAGGTGTCAACACATCCAGAACAAACCAATTTGAGAACACGCAGAAATTGAACCGAGCTTTGTTGATAGAGAGTGCCGCGCCAGAAATCGACAAGGCAGTGAGGTAGTGAGGCAATCGCAGAGAAGGCAACAAGAAGATCAACGAAACTCAACGAGTGTCACGAGTGCCAGGAAAAGAAAGAATAAAAGGACCTGTAAAACGCCGACCGCTGCTAAGAGGGAAAAAAAGATGTATAACGCAGCTTCCAGCAGAGGAGGAAAAAAAATACGAACGAACAACATGGAATCGTGACAGAAGGAGCGGGAAGGATGAGGTCGCAGAAAGATATCCGAAATTTGGTCAAGGTCTTGGGTAATCAAGGGAATGCAAGAAAGATGCAGGTGCGAGATGACCAAAACAAAGGGCAAAGAGTAGCAGGAAGCGTACGTAAATCGATTCCATAAGACCTTCAAACAAAGAAGACATCCGGTGGAAAGTTGCAATGGAATGTAACAGTTTAAATGCAGTCGTCAATGCATCATGGTCGTCAGCAAGCCGATGCCCAGGCGGCCGCCCTCCCTTTATAGTACCGGGAGACGAAAAGAAAAGAAAAATACAAAGTGGGCGTCAAATGCGAAAACATGGTGCTTGTGCTTAGTGATCTCCCTCGTGGTGAAGCGTAACGCTGTTGAACTCCTCAAAAGGATCATTCAACTCGCCATTGGGGGTTGCAAGACCAGAGTCCATAGGGACACCCTCCATTTTGGCAGAGTTAGTGCCGCCAATATCGACACTGGCGCTCTCCTTGACATTGCGGAAGTTCACTGTGTCGGTACCGGCACGGCCCTGGTGCGGGATCATGGGTGGCTTCATATGGCGAATAAGAGCCCACTGGGTCGACCGGAAGAAGGGATGTGTCTTGACATCAGATGCACCGGCACGAGCTCCAAGGCGCTTGGTCTCGTCCTTGATCAGCAGCTTGCGGATCAAAGACTTGCAAAGCGTGGAGGTCTGTTGCGCACCCGAGCCCTCAGGGAAGCCCACTTCATCCCGCAAGATGCTGGCGAAGGTTGCGTTTCGGTTCTTGCCCTTGAAAGGAGTGGTGCCATACAACATCTCATAGACAAGGATGCCCAGAGTCCACCAATCAACTGCGCTAGTGTGACCGCAACCCTTGATGACCTCGGGTGCGATATACTCTTCGGTTCCAACAAAAGAATTCGTTCGGAAATCAGCAATGCAAGATTTGGTATCAATAGTTGGCAGGGAAGCGGAGGAGTTGCCACCGCTTCGGCCAGGAATCATAGTAGGGGCACCTCCGGGCCCGGACTGCTTAGACAGATCGAAATCCGAAAGCATGATGTGACCGGATTGATGGAGGAGGATATCTGGTAGAGCAAATGTGAGTATGTCAAGCTTCAATGAATAGGACTACTAATTCCATCAAGATCACGTACTTTCTGGCTTGAGATCTCTGTAGATGAAACCCATGAGATGGAGGTACTCTAGAGCAGCAGTAACTTCGGCAGCATAGAATCTGGCAGCATCTTCAGAAATGCATTTCCCAGGGCGTGTTTGAAGGGCTGAATTGACGCCATGGTTAGAATAAAGAAACTTTAAGAAGAGGGGAGGACAGAAAACATACTTCGGAAGAACTCGCCCCCACTGCAATACTCCATGCAGAGGTACAAGTAGTCCTCAGACTGGAAGGAGTGATATAGGGTGACAATAAACGGATGATTACTTGTCGCCAGAATTTCTTGCTCGGCAAGAGCGCGCTTGATCTTATTGCGCTTGATCATCTCCTTCTTGTTTAGTACTAGAGAGGGGTCAGTATTCATGCCGTAGTGGTATAGTAAAATTAGAAATCAAACTCACCCTTCATGGCATAGAGGCGGCTTGTCTTCTTCTCGCGAACCAGATAAACTTTGCCAACGTCGCCCTTTCCGATCAATTTGATCTTGTCAAAACTTGCAGGGCCGACCTCGACATTGCGGATCTTGATAGAGTTCGAGCTGTAGGTGCGACGGAAGGGAGCATCTTCGGTACCAGTACCAGTAATCTTGCTGTCAATGCCTATCGAAGGCACAGCCAGGACTCCTCCCTTGCCATCAGACAGACCAACCTTGCCGTCGCCGCCAGGGATTTCTACAAGAGGCTCCTTGCCCATCTCGCCTGTCTGGGGACGTCCATCACCTTGGCTATTGAAAAGACCTTGGGCGTTGGGGGCAGATGCGACACGACGGAGTTTGCGTGCTAATTCCTCCTTGTTGGCAGTTGTTGCTTGCTCCACTGCGGAGACCCCGGTGACCTGCAACTCGGGGGTATCGGGAGGCGAAGAGGGAGGAGAGCCGTCATTCCTATGCCGTAAGGCGGGCTGGCCTTGATGGGCAAAGTAGGGATTCGCGGTAGCCGTGGGCGAGACACCATCATCTAGAGGGTTGCCTTCACTTGCGGCGGTAGCAGAACGGTTACGACCGATATTAGGGAGGAATCGCGATTGTCTGAATGTGGATTTGTCATTCTTCGGTGACTCCTTCTCGCGTTCACGGTCGGTGCTGGCGGGACTGCCGCCATGGGAGGAATGGCTGCTTGAGCTATTGATCCGGAAAAAGTTCTTGATCTTGGTGGGCAAGTGGCCTGATTCGTTCGAGTGTTTTCGGGTCGGCAGGGAGAGGCCGGTGAAATTGCCGCGCTTTTCGTTCGTCATGGTTGACGGGCTGGATGCGAAAAGCTGTGTCATTGCGGGTGTCGGAGGGAAGTAGCCAGAGCTGAAAATCGAAAGGCAGTCTCCCAGAGATCAAAGATTGGCCTCAAAGGAAAGTTGCGCGAAAGGAAGGGAAAAGGCGGGGAGGGACGGTGCGAGAACCGGGATGAGGATACAACCGCGGGGGACGAAGGTTAACAGGCCAAGTCGTTGAAACGAGGGCCACCCTAAAGAACGGAGATACAAGGACCACGGACAGCAGTTCTCATGAATGAGACTGCATATTAGAAATCCAACAGAAAAAAGAAAGGCAGTGTAGGAGTAGAAGCAGGGTAGATTGAAGAAGGCGAAAGAGGGAAGGGGAGTTGGAAGTTGGAGTGGAGACGCGGAGTCGCCGATTAGTCAGGGGGCCCCGATCGCAATGCAGGGTTGACTGAGAGATTCTTCTACTGCTTCTTCTTATTGGAGCGGCCAATTTGATAAAAAAAGAGGAACAGGAAATAGAATTAAGAGTGGCATTTTTTTTGAGGGGCAAATAACGAGGGACCAGGTTAGGATTCTACAACCCGCGCCGAACCAGTATCCTCTAAGGGAAACCGCACCCCTCGGTCCATCGAAAGGGGGCCTCGCTTACTTTTACCGGCAAGAGGCTTCCATTCTGACCCCAGGTCGGCAAATTCCCGGGAAAAGATGGGTAAAACTAGTGTCAATGCTAACAGAAATACAGCCAGTAAATCTGGGAAGACCCTTCAAAAGTGGACTTCAGGAACCTGGGGCTAACGGTAAGTAACAAAAGCACGGCCGGGGGATGTCCTCGCTTCCGTTAGCGCATCCTTCATAATGGATGGATGTTAGCGCGTCCTGTCAGAATAATGCAGCCAGTAAACCTTCGAATTCATGCAGACTGAGTGGGGTTTACTTATTAGTGTTCTCATGACAGGGGCCAATAAAGTGGAGACGGACGAGTCAGTGTGCTGGTTAGCGTAGCCCCTCGGAGGTTGACTGCCCGCTACCAGTACTAGTTAGTAGTATTCCGTGGGTGTTTGGGTTGAAGTTTGAAACGGCCGTTTTAAAAATCGGCATTGCCAGTGGCATTATTCTGGATTTTCTTAAAAGGTCTGGAGTACTACCAAGAAGTTATCCGAATCGAAAGCCCGTTTGAAATCCGCCAGTGTACTCCGAGCAGTACCCATCGATCGATCTACCTTCAGTGCAGGCAGACTTTCTCAGCATCATGATGGAATTCCTATTTGGCCGTAAAGCCACCAAGAAACCGGTACCAGGAGATCGGGTGGTGCCCCTGCATTTCTTCGAGAACAGCCTGTTGGTGCAGGGGAACAACATGGCCGTGTCCCTCGTATTCGACGCTGTGCTTGATCCACAGAAGCTGCGGGGCTCACTTGAAGGATTGGTGAAACAGGAAGGATGGCAAAGATTGGGCGGTCGTCTTAATAAAAATGCAAGATTTGTTCCGACCTTTACCCGTTCCAATTGCACAAAGGGGTACTACTCATGTATACTGACTTCTCGTGTTGTACGCTCTAGTCCTCCGGGCAGATCGAATGGCATATCCCAACCCAGTTCACCGCCGAGCGACCAGCAATTTCCTTCGTACACATTGACCATGGCATATCCGCCGCCGAGCATCCAGCAGCTTCCAAGATACCGAAACCTGATACCCGCCCAGCTGTCGTAGGCGATCCGGACGATTTGGAAAGTCTTGCATGGGAGTCCGGATACAAACCCGGAGGAATCAGCGACTATGTCGACTCCGATTTGCCTGTCCTAGGACTCCGCGTGAATTCTTTCACCGATAAGACCATTGTAGTGTTACAATGGCAACATGTTGCTTTCGACGCTCTTGGTCTGCAGTATGTCGTTGAAGGATGGAGCGCTATGCTTTGGAACAAGGAAGCTGAGATTCCGACACCGTGTGATTTTAATAAGGACCCGTTCCATTCATTTGCGGACGGTACAAAACCCGCGACTGAGAAACATATTCTCGCAGACAACAGGGTTGGACTCGGTGGAATGCTGAAGTGGGGATTGGGGTATGGGGTCGACATGTTGGTCCGAGCCAAAGATAATCGCATGGTCTGTGTTCCGGAATCATACTGGGGGCCACAGTTGGAGAAGGCTCTGGGAGAGCTCCGGGACGAGGCGATCGAGAAGGGCGAGGATCCTTCTAAGGTATTTTTAACGGAGAATGATGTTCTGACAGCCTGGATTTTGCGTTGCGTCGTTGCTGAGATGGAGATGAACTCCAGTCGGACGGTATGATCTCACCCTGGCCCTTCAAGCTGACACGATCTCCAAAGTGCAGTCGCTGAACACGTCTTTTCAACAGGTCGCAGCATCAATTGCCATGTCTCTTCGGAAAGCCTTCGAGGGCGACCTCATTCCACCATCTGCTGAACACCCCTATGTCGGTAACGCCTTTGGCTGGGCAAACGTACTCGTAAGCGCAGGCGATGTCACCACCAAGCCCCTCAGTTGGCTTGCCAGACAGGTCCGACGTGCGATAAATGAGCAAGGCACTCGTGCACAACATGAGGCATACTATGCCATGGTTCGCGAATCTGGTATGGGTCTGCCAATTGTCGTACTCGGAGATGGTGGTATGGCTCAGTTTGGATTCTCAAATTGGACTCGGGCAGGGCTATTCGATCTGGACTTTTCACCTGCCGTCAAGGATGCGGGGGATTTCAATCTACTACCTTGCACGCCTTCGTATGTACAAGAAAATCATGGCCCAGTGAAACCTGCGGACGGTTTCTTCGTTTTTGGAAAGGACCAGAAGGGAAATTACTGGACTTCGGCTTGTAAGGTGAAGGGCCATTGGGATAAGATCGAGAAGCAATTGAAAAAGGACTTTGAAGTAACATCATGAAGTCAGTACGAAGAGAATAGACGTAGTTAATCAATATTTAATCAATCCCCGAAAAACATGAATTCATAACCTATCTAATAATCGACAAACAATTTAAAAAGGAGACTCGTTAGGCCGGTCTAGTCATCAACTAAGCCTGGTTCTTGGGACCAACAGGAGCGGGGCCCTTGGGGGTAACATAAGCCTAGTAAGAAAGGGGTTAGCACAAGGCGAAGTAAACACCAATCTCACCCCCGCGCTAGGGACAAACATACCTTGCTCAAACCACCATCGACAAGGAAATCAGTACCGTTGACGAAGCTGCTCTCGTCACTGGCCAGGAACACGACAGCATGGGCCTGCTCAATAGCCTCGCCGAAGCGACCGCTGGGGAAGTGAACCTCGCGACGGAAACGCTTGGGCTGGTCGTCGCCGAGCCAGTCCTGGAGGAGCGGGGTGCTGTTGGGAATTCATCAGTATCGCCAGAAAAAGAATTGAAGATCATTTGAGTAGGGTTGGGGACTAACTTAAGCGGACCGGGGCACAAGGAATTGAATCGAATACCCTCTCTAGCGTGAACGATAGCCAACTCTCTGGTCAACGCCAGAACAGCACCCTTGCTAGCAGTGTATGCCAGCTGGGGGGGTCGCAGCACCGAGAATAGCAACAAAGCTAGCGGTATTGATGATGCTACCCTTGGTCTTCTTGTTGCGGCGCAGGGCAAGGACAGCATGCTTGCAGCCGAACCAAACACCCTTGACATTAATGTTCTGGGTCAAGTCCCAGATCTTCTCAGGGGTGTCGACGGCATCGGCGTCGTCGGCGTGCATGATGCCTGCATTGTTGAACAGGACATCCACACCACCCCAGCTGTCCTGCGACTCGATCATAGCTTGAACGTCGGCTTCCTTAGAGACATCACAGCGAATAGTCTCGAGGCGACCAGCGGTGGGAACGAGTTCCTTGACGCGGGCAACGGCCTTGGCCAGGGCTGGTTCAGAGATATCGGCTAGGAGAATGTTGGCGCCTTGTTGGGCAAAGAGGATGGTGGTTTCGAGGCCGATGCCGCTGGAATACTGTTAGTTCTTGACGCGGAAACCTGGACTTGGAGCCGGGACGAGAGCATGGAGGAGGGAGAGAAGAAGAATAGCGGAAGGAAGTCTTACCCAGCAGCACCGGTGATAATGGCATTCTTGCCTTGGAGACGTCCTTGGGCCATGGTAAAAGGTGTTTTGATTTGTGATGGTGATGAGGGGCACTGTGCGACGGGGTGTTAGCGGTGATGATAAGCTCTGCAGGGTCGATCGTGGACAATGCGGAGGGATGGCGGGGGGAGAAGCTTGCTTTAAGCTGTCCGCTCACTCACACTAAAGCACTGTCACACTTGAGTAGACTCACCGAGATAGTTGAACTAACAATCCTGGGAATTGTTCTTCTGAAGGAGCTCTATACGCGGAGCCCGGAGCGCGTGACTAAGCTATCCGATGCGACGGCGTCGGCGTCGATTGGCCGGCGCTAACCCTAAAGCGGTACCGAATGGAGCCAGCGCGGTCCCGGACCGCGCTGATAAGGGCGCATAGGGCTCGATAAGTGACGATAACAGCGGTTGCTAGCCGCATTGGGACTGGGCGCTTGCGATAAGCAACACCAGCTCCGCGCGCACCCCCCTCCGTCACTTGACTCGGGCTGACTTGACTGGAAACGGGGAAACTGGGAAGTTGGAACTTCTCCTTGACATCCCGAGCCTCTTTAAGTCAGTTCTTCTGTCGCTTGAGTTTAGCTTCAGCTTCAGTGAATTCTACATACCCCTCCCACCAATACATACACCAACAATGTCAACAGAAGTGGTAACCCCCGAAAACGTCGCCGACGTACTCCAACATGACCGCATGGTCAAGGTAGCAGGCATAGACGTCGACGGTCAACTACGAGGAAAACTGATGCAGAAGAAGAAGTTCCTCTCCATCGTGACTGAGGGATTCGGATTCTGCTCCGTGATCTTTGGCTGGGACCAGCATGACCAGACCTATTTCAAAGAGCTGACGGTCAGCAACAAGGAGAATGGATACCGAGACCTCGTCGCGGTACCTGACCTCGCTAGTTTCCGTCGCATTCCTTGGGAAGATAATGTCGCTTTCTTCCTGATCAGTTTCTTGGACCCGGATACCCGTCAACCGGTGTGCGCGTGCCCGCGGGGTCTTCTGAAGACTGTCGCTGCTAAGGCCGAGGCGGCGGGATACAAAGCCATGGCTGGCGGTATGACCTCATACTTCTTATCTCCACATGCCCTCAAGAGCTCCCCACTGACAATTTGCAGCCGAGTACGAATTCTTCCAGTTCCGCGCTCCAGGAGATCATGCCACTCCCGAGCGCGCAGCCTCGCATACTGCGACCTTCCTCCAGAATAATCCGGTCGACTCGCTGCCACCATTAACGGAGGGCATGTTTGGATACTCGATTACGCGGCCCCTCCATAACCAGGAATACTACTATGGCATCTTTAACGACTGTGAGAAGTTCCGCTGCGACATCGAGGGATGGCATACAGAGAGCGGACCTGGAGTGTTCGAAGCCGTAAGTTGAGACGGCGAAGCGCAATGCGCGGAATTAAATCCGGTTTTTGCGGCGAAATGACATCCAGCTGACCAGTTGCACAGGCACTACAATTCGGCGAAGCAAAGGAAATGGCCGACAAGGCCACCCTTTTCAAGTGAGATCCTCCTCATGGCCCTGAACACAGGCGCAAACGAGAAAACCCCCCCACTAACACCTCTCACAGATACGTCGTCAAAGCCAAAGGTATCAAGCACGGCATCACACCCTGCTTCATGGCGAAACCTCGTCAAGGACTGCCCGGAAATAGCGGACACATGCACATCTCCCTCGTCAACAGCGACGGTAGCAATGCCTTTATTCGTGACAGTCCCGATCCATCCCCACAGTACCCAGACATTGCACACCTCTCGGATCTTGGCCGTCACTTCCTAGCAGGACTGCTGGTCGGCCTGCCGGATATCATGCCCCTCTTCGCACCGACGATCAACTCATACAAGCGACTCGTCGAGAACTTCTGGGCACCCGTCACCGTATCCTGGGGTCTCGAGCACCGCGCTGCCTCAATCCGAATCATCGCGCCGCCAACTGCCAGCCCAAAGGCCACACGGTTCGAGGTCCGCGTCCCGGGCGCCGACGCGAATCCTCATTTCGTGCTGGCAGCTGTTATGGCGCTGGGCTGGCGGGGTGTGGAGAAGAAGCTGGAGATCCCCGTGCCACCGCTATCGAAGGGACAAGATATGGGTGGGAGCAGTGATCAGGGCGTGCGATTGGCGAAGAATCTCAAGGATGCGATAGCCACGTTCACGAGGCCCGATAGTGTGGCGCGGGAGGTATTCGGAGATTCGTTCGTGGAGCACTTTGGCGGAACGAGGGAGCATGAGGTTAGGCTTTGGGAGGAGGCTGTTACAGATTGGTAAGTTTTTCTTCCTTCCCCAAGCATAAGCTTCCGATGCGTGTATCTTTTCCTCCGTGATTTCATGCAGCTAACTGATTCGTTCTCCAGGGAGGTGCGACGATACATCGAGACTGTTTAAGTTTTGTTTCCATAGTGTATATAAATCAAAGCGCTGGGCGCAGCAGATAATCCATCATGATCTCATAGGACCGATGCAATTCAGATAGCCACACGTACGGCTAGAGCTGGCCATAGCTTGTCTCGTAGCTTGCCAATGGTCATAGCTGCGTAGATCATCGATAAGATCACATGCCATCACATGTACAATTGGCGGAAGAGTACTCATCACAAGCCGGGACAATTCGGCCAGAGCAGACGATAACCACCGAGTATGACAGACATGGCGTGCCGAATCCAACCCTGTCACAACCTCTCTTCAGGACAAGGGAATAACCCAGAGCCGCGGCTGATTGGATCTCGGGTATGCGGGGAGAAAAGTCGAGGCGTTGTGGCCAGCGCCTCCGCCAGTAGTACTAGGGGTACGTTCGGGTGGATTAGGAGAAGGACCAAGGAAAGGCAAAGCGAAACTCTGTTGGTGGTGATGATCGATGCGGCGTGTCTGTCATCCCCAAGCACCCGTTCGACCCCGTCAGATTCGTAAAAGAAAATCTATAAGGACCCCCGAATTCCCGGACGAGAGAGCTCCCCCTGGCGGCGGATCCGCCGAGGAGGACTGTTCGGGCTGCGGCGCATCCCGAGGATTTCGGGGCAGAGGGAGATCGGGGAGATGGGTAGGCGGGTAGGACAGGCTAAGCTGATTGCACGGGAAAGTGGCGATGTCGGCCGAGAGGATGCAGTGTGATTGGATCAGAGTTGTAAAAAGGGCTGAAGTTGTGGAGAAGTCAACGGTGGAAAGCAGCTGCAACTGGCTTGTCCGTGGGAAAGTCACGTGGATATCAGAAATGTGGGGAAGCAGTAGAGTACAATCAACTGCAGAATTGGGTGAATTGAGTAACAATTACTCGATTCTATTGGATGTTAGTACTCTTTGGTCCTCTCTAGTCCATTCTAGTCCCTTATTATCACTCAATATCAGTCAATTCAATATCCGAAGACCGGCAATTACTCGATCGGCCGGCTAAGCCCTTCTGAAGTGCAGCTCGCTGATTGGTCCGCCAGACAGCCGCGGCTCACGGATCCTGACGTAGACTCCCCTCGGATGAATGGTACTCTCTGACTGACTTGAGTATCCCGTACCGGTCTTAAATATGATTAGTATATATATACTACTACTTCGTTCTCAAATGAGATCTTCTCATTTCTCTTCCTCATCGACTAAGCTTGTGTTGCGTTGGATGGTCCTATAACACTCTTCATCCATTTTATATCCATCCCACCTCCCAACTAGTATATACTTCCACCTTCCAACCTCCCACACACACTACCACCACCATGGCTCAATCCGCCGACGCTCACCTCCAGGGTGTTACCATCCTCGGTAGCATCCCCAACGATGCCCGCAAGATCCTCACCAAGGACGCCTGTGCCTTCCTCGCCATCCTCCACCGCACCTTCAACCCTACCCGCAAGGCTCTCCTCCAGCGCCGTGTCGACCGCCAGGCTGCCCTCGATAACGGCCAGCTTCTCGACTTCCTTCCCGAGACCAAACACATTCGCGAGAATGACGCCTGGAAGGGTGCCCCCCCCGGCCCCCGGTCTGGTCGACCGCCGCGTCGAGATCACCGGTCCTACCGACCGCAAGATGGTTGTCAATGCCCTCAACTCCGATGTTTGGACCTACATGGCCGATTTCGAGGACTCCTCCGCCCCTACCTGGGAGAACATGATCAACGGCCAGGTCAACCTGTACGATGCCATTCGCCGCCAGGTCGACTTCAAGCAAGGTGGCAAGGACTATAAGCTCCGCACCGACCGCACTCTCCCTACCCTCATCGCCCGCGCTCGCGGTTGGCACCTGGAGGAGAAGCACTTCACCGTGGACGGCGAGGCCATGTCCGGCTCTCTCTTCGACTTCGGTCTCTACTTCTTCCACAACGCCAAGGAGCTCGTCGCCCGCGGCGCTGGCCCATACTTTTACCTCCCCAAGATGGAGTCCCACCTCGAGGCCCGTCTCTGGAACGACGCCTTCAACCTGGCTCAGGACTACGTTGGCCTGCCCCGCGGTACCATCCGTGGAACCGTCCTTATCGAGACCATCACCGCCGCTTTCGAGATGGATGAGATCATTTACGAACTTCGCGACCACTCCTCTGGCTTGAACTGCGGCCGCTGGGATTACATCTTCTCCTTCATCAAGAAGTTCCGCAACCACCCCAACTTCGTCCTCCCCGACCGCTCCGATGTCACAATGACCGTTCCCTTCATGGACGCCTATGTAAAACTGCTCGTCAAGACCTGCCACCATCGCGGTGTCCACGCTATGGGTGGTATGGCCGCTCAAATCCCTATCAAGAACGACCCGGCCGCCAACGACAAGGCCATGGAGTCCGTTCGCGCCGATAAGCTCCGTGAGGTTCGCGCCGGCCACGACGGAACCTGGGTTGCCCATCCGGCTCTCGCAGCCATTGCCTCGGATGTCTTCAACAAGCACATGCCCACTCCCAATCAACTCTTCGTCCGTCGCGAGGAGATCCACATCACCGCGAATGACCTTCTCAACACCAACGTCCCCGGTAAGATCACCGAGGACGGCATCCGCAAGAACCTGAACATCGGCCTGAGCTACATGGAGGGCTGGCTGCGTGGTGTCGGTTGTGTCCCCATCAACTTCCTGATGGAGGACGCTGCCACCGCTGAAGTCTCCCGCTCCCAGCTTTGGCAGTGGGTTCGTCACAACGTTTCTACTGCCGAGGGTAAGAAGGTTGACAAGGCTTACTCTCTCCGTCTGCTACAGGAGCAGGCTGATGCCCTGGCCGCGAAGGGACCTAAGGGTAACAAGTACCAGCTTGCGGCGCGCTACTTCGCCGGCCAGGTTACTGGTGAGGATTATGCGGATTTCCTGACCAGTCTCCTGTACAACGAGATTTCCTCTGCTGGACAGGCTGCTAAGCTCTAAGCTGGTTGTTAGTGGATGCTCCGTGTGATGATCATGAATACCCTTTCCTTTTGTTAATATTTCCTTTTGAAACGAAACATCTGCCTTGTGGACTGTTTATACTTTAGCATCGTTGTATAACAAAATATTTATTCTTCAGTCCTTTCTCACTCTCGCTACCATAACACACTCCTTAAACTCCCATAGAAAGCATTCTGCATCGACTGTCTGCTCCGATGATCCCCGCAAATTTCGGAATGACGTCATGCACTTGAATTGAGTTGGGCCGAGGTCAAAAAGCTTAACCGATTCAATTGACCGTGCATTCCAATGGGCTGGGCTAAATTTTGGGATCACATCGATTCAAGTTCGGCCATGAATTAGGTAGTATTCCTAAATAGTACCGTGACATACTACTGTCTCTGCGACTAGGGTAGATCTCGAAACCTTGATTTCGGCGGGTGCTTGTAGTTTATGTACGATAATCAACCATACTCAGAAAAGCTTGTATGTAAGAATGGACGATATTGCAAGCAATATATCACTACTAGTATAGTATTGATTAGGTAGAATGGATGGGTCGATTAAGCATTCTTAATACTGGTGGTTCGCATGACTTAGTACAAGCAAACAACTTGAAACAAAGACAAGAGAATTTAACGTGGGCCAATAGACATACGAGAGGAAATCAAACATATGATTGCATTCACTGATATAATACAGGCCATGACAGAAGCTCAGAACCATGAAAGTTATGTGATGATATGCGTGCAGATATCTACTGCACGAGGGAGCAAGGCAGCAAGGCAGTAACGGAGGAAGGCGAGCTTGAATGCCTGAGGCATCCAAGTCTCAACAGCAGGTATCGTAATTCCCGGCCGGTCTGCGCACCCGGTCGAGCTGCGCACCCTAAAACACATAGTAAATGCAATAAATTACTACTTCATATCTCAACAACCATATCTATCTATGATAAGATGTTAACATAATATGATCAAGATAGTGTTTCTAACCTATTGGCGAGGTATGAGGAAATTGTTGGAATTATGTAATAATAGAGATAAATATATTTTTATTACCCACGTCAAAATTACGCTGTATTTTATGGTAAAGCATCGAAATAGCCTTCTGAATTGCTTAAAACCAAGACATGTTATTTCATATGCTAGTGAAAGCCTATATTCTTATATTTAAGTAAAAATAAACTATGGTTGTTGAGATATGAAGTGGTGATTTATTGCATTTACTATGTGTTTTAGGGTGCGCAGCTCGACCGGGTGCGCAGACCGGCCGGGAATTACGTTAGTTAGTCGTGACAAATTTTAAGTCTACGTATAGCGACATAGCCCGGGAATGATTGCAATGGTAAAACGACTGCCAGTAGGCTGGGAATATAGCATTTGAACTCCAACTTATGAAACTATCTCAAATCATGCAAGCATCTTCAGTGCGAATGGTCTGAAAAGACACCCTGCTCTGCACAGGCCTTTCGACACGCCTCTAAGATCCTTGCCTGCTTGGCGACATGACCGAGTCTACTAATAACTTCCTTGTTGCCATCAAAGAAGGTAAAGACAGCATAAGGAATATTCACATCCTCGCAAAATTCCTTGACGAATTGTTGCGTCTTGCGCAAGTTGTGGCGAGGAATGCGGGGATATAAATGGTGAACGGCCTGGAATTGAAGGCCTCCATGAACAAAGTCCAGCCAAGGTGGGCAGTCCACGTCCATGGTGGTGCGAAGCATCTTCTGAGGAAATGACTCGCGAGGACCGAGATCGGCAGTTGACATCGCGTAGTGGGAGAGAGTAATCTGCACATGCAGCGGTGCAGTAACCATATGAGAAATCAGGACGAAGGCGATTCGACTCCACCAGGAAGGGATGCTGAGATAGACAACTCCGTAACCGAACCATGTCCAGAAAAAGGCCTGACCAGATAACTCAAACCAACGGTGCCACCAGCCTGCACCGTGTCGAGGGCCACGGCCGACAATGATATGCTCCCAGCTCAAGAAGTAGAGGTTGAAACGGCCAAATAGGAGAATCGGGTAATAGAGATAGTGCTGATATTTAACAACCGCCTTCGACACCGCATCATATTCCATGATTCGATCGTAGTATGTGCTGCGGAGATTGCCAAAGAAGCGATGCGATAGAGCGAAAAATGGCATCAGTTCAATATCGGGATCGTGTTCTGGCGCATTGGTCATAATGTGGTGGACATTATGACTTCGTTTCCACCAGCCGAGACTAAGTCCGCCCAGGTGGTTCGCAATAATCATGCCGATGGTAGTATCGATTTGAAAGTTGTGAGTGATACCCATGTGGCCGGCATCATGGGCGGAGAAGACTAGCTGATGCCAAAAGCATCCCAAGAACAAACCAGACAGGCAAAACCAAGACCGGTTCAAGAAGAAAAGGAAGAGACCGAAAAATAGACTATATCGGCATATCTCGATGGCGTAGGCGTAATAGTTGCAGTTGTACAGTCCAGCCGCACGAATGCGCTCGTTGAGTTGGCGGTATTTTTGCGTGATGTTTTCTTGGTGCTCGGCGGTGATAGGAGGATACTTGGATGTATCTAGCTGGATCTCTTCCTGTGTTCGGGCGTCCATCGTATATCCTCCAAGTTTGGTTTCTTGTGTCGGGGGAGAAGTGCTGGCTACTGATGAGACAGTAGATACCGAACGCCTGCGTCTTAAGCCGGCATCCTCTGCTTCAAAAAGTGGTGATGGCGGCCGCGAAGACTCCTCACTTGAGAGCTCAGTCTCTGAGTTCGGAGAGGAAACTCTTTCCTCATATTCACTATATAGACGGAAAGTGCCGCCTTGAATGGGGGGAAGAAAGTTGGTCCATCTTCCCTCGATGGTACCGATTTGGAATTTTTTCATCCGCGAAAGCGCTTCCTGTGAATGCAGTCTTTGAGACTTCTTGTCAGTAAGTTGGCAACTGATATGATAATTAGGTACTTACGCGTTCACTTCGTCTGTCGCATCTCTGCCTATCATGTGCTTGATGGCTAGGGGGCCGCCAGGGTGGAATTTCATCCAACAGTCCAATTGAAGGACATTACCGTCAAGGATGATGATATGCTTGTTTTCGGCAATCATGCCTTCAATCTCGCGCCTCGAAAGAACATTTTCCCTGGCCCCTGCCCGGGCAGTCGTCTTGCTCATCGGAGATGGTTGCTAAAGTCTGTAGAGTCACCAAGAATGATAATATCGAAGATGATTTCACGTCAAAATATTGGAGGATAAAAGCTTTGAGAAGTAGATGATAAAAAGAAGTTAAGAAGGGCCAATTATGCGAAAAGACACTTCTACTCTGCTACCTAGAATTTACTAGTCCCACAGAAAAGGCCACTCCGTATTTCTCACAGCCTAATGGCAATCAATGTACGAGTAAGGGGCGGTGCAGTGGATCGTTGCGACAGAAATTGTGGACATGGAGAGCCCTGTGGAGGGTGGTTTTTGGTACAGAAGGAATGGTGGAAACGCGTGTGCAACGTGCCACCAGTGGCGTATCTTGGCCATGGAGGTCACAGCGTGGGGAGGCCATACGTCCGTAGCGGGTTGACAAGATAAATATGGCACGCGAAGTGGGCCAACCCTATACGCGTCTACTATTCCGTGAATCCTCATTTGCTGAGGTTGATCAAGCTTAAACTCTGAGACTTTGCCCCTTTTTAAAATTAAAAGTACCCGATCGCCAAAACTAGCCCCAGTTTTGCCATGTGGCCCAGGTGTCCAGGTGGCTTCTAATGACAGGTGTCATTGGGGTTCCAGAAGACCAAAATTACTGGCGCGAAGTCTTCGTACCTCATGTTGATAGTTATTGGACGTTGACCACAGGCACGCAACAGTGGCAACCCAACCCCCCTTGACAAAACCTGGGACTCATTTTTAATATCTTTGGTACGAAGTGCGAGGGTCCACTTTAAACTAACTCACACTCATTGAACCGTTGGAGAGACCCTAAGAGGCGACTAGATCCGCGATCCTGTGTCTCTATCTGGGTTGTTGCCACTCCTGCCCCACATCTAGGCGGCGGAGTTCCCCTATATACGTGCAACTCCAGTAATACCCCAACTTGAACCCAGGATAAAGGCTCCCACTTTGGTGTGATTTTCTGGGGCGAGATTTTGGTTGTGTTCCTGACCAACCACATAAGGACCCCCTTGAAGCGTCGCCTGTCACATAACGATGCAGATAGCAGTTTCATGAATCCTTTTTGTCGAAGTTAAAAAAAAGTCAGAGGCAACCCACTAAATTGCGCCGCTAGAGAATAGGATCGAGAGCGCTAGTTCCAGTGGTCGTATTCGTATTCCTTGGCGAGTGGATGGAAGAAGAGAAGTCTCATTTCTATCGCATGGGGGTGAATGAGATAGGCTGCCAATACATTCCATTTTAGGGGGTCGCTTAACTATGTCAGTGGCCCGGGTTCTATCCATTTCGTTTAAACTTGCCATGGATTGTTCGTGTTATGCTTGAGCGCGAAAGCCCAGATTTTCACAGGTTATCGCTTTACTGTCATTTTATGACATTTTTAGTTTTGGTGAATTTTGGAGAGGCCTTGCAGGAACTTAAGATGAAACGGTCAACAATCATGTACGGAGTACGAGTACCTAGGTACGGTAAATAAACTGGAGAAGTGAGAGAAGTAAAAATGAGGTCGTCGACGGTGGCTCACATGAACGCACGGTGTCGCAACCAGTAACCAAAAGTGGTTAGTGGGGGGGCAAAGCCCCCTGAGAGCCTCGGAGAAAGATTAATCCATAGTTTTATGTGGTAATTGCTTATACAAATCGGGTCACAGCTACAGCCACTCCATTATTTTGCCAATGCCACCGGATTTTCATGATATCATAGTTTCGAACGTCAGCTCCGCCACATCACCTTATCCACCCAACTTAAATTTAGATAGAATCACAAAAAGAATTACGAAAACGAATAAGAATAAGAATACAGTAGAGGCAAACGTTGTATAGATTTCAGTATGGGTTCTAGAGGGCAATAGTTGGATTTGTAGTCAAGTATTTTGTGGCCCGTTTTGCACTAAGCAAGCATCGACGACCAGCAACTAGGATCAGAAGACCCTCCCGAGATCGACGACTAAATACTCGTACAAAGATCAACATACCTCAGAATATTCCATGACAATCCTTCTCTAAAAGCGGCACATAGGCCCCCTGAAACCCCTGCACCGGGCCACGTGCATGAGACTGATCAGGAGAAACATAAAGTGAGGGATTTCCTCCATCACCCTGACGCGCGTAATACTCAGTATCTCCTGATCTAGAGTTTGTACTAGTAGTAGTATTCGAGTGCAATTCCACCTGCAAATACTCACCCGCGCGTTGAATAGCGCCATCCTTCCTCAACTCAGCCGCCATCCCAAAAGTGCGCGATAGCGCGCAGTATCTCCATCGGATTGAATAGATCGATCCAGGCATTGACGCCTAAAAGCCCACCCTGATAGGGATGATAAGAGCCGGCGCTGAGATAGGGCGAGACGCTATACGCGTATGGGAAGAAGAGGGCCAAATGGGACCATTTGGAGACAAATTATTAGATTGGGTATTCCGATGTTCACGTCTGCGTAGCTTAGTTTGGCAGTTGGGTTGAGAGTGTTTGCTGTGCGGAGGATTGCGAAAAGTATCTAGATGGCGGGCGGGGTGGGAGCTAGTTTAGTCAAATTTGTTTATTTGTCGGGTTTTTTGCATAAATTTTGCTCGGTTGAAGAGAAAGACAGATGGGGCTTGTCCTGACTTACACTTTCTAGAAAGGATAGGTTCGACAACGAGCTTGAAGGCCAAGAGTTTACTGAGCGGCTTGTGTCCACTTAGACATTGGCGTAGTCCTCGGTAGAAGTTGAGCACTGACATCACAGCGAATGCGACGGAAATAATGGAGATGATGGTTAACTTTTATTAGATTGGAGATTAGCGACGAGGGAATCCCTGGAGGGAATGGGGAAGCTTCCAACTTGAAGTCATCTTACCCAAAGATGCGCATAATATGGTTTGTTGCTCTCTAAGCAGTAGATTCCCGCTGTTTGGGTGATATCTGTTGTAATCGCGACGCCGAGGGCGACGACTGGGTATTGGAAGATAGCGATCCATTGTTTCTGTCAGAGGGAAGTAGATGTGAGCGCCGTTTCTAGAAGATATGTGAAGTGAGTTTTGTTGATTAGCTGGTATGAACACATACACGAAACCATTCTAGTCCAATCATATAAGGCTTTCCCTTTTTCTGCGGCGCTTCAAAGGCCACGAAGAAGATATCTATCTCTGTAGCTGAATCTTTTGAGATAAATTCGCACAAGAGTAGAAAGAAGGAGCCTAGCGCGACTTCCTGGAAGGCGTCGAGCCAGGGTGCTAAGGATGTATAGGCTTGCGGGAAACATATGGAGAGGAATGATGTGATTGTGTATAGCGGAAGGAGAATGCAGATTTCATGATTCTGGATATGTCATCAGAGGGTGTTCATTTTGCTTGGAGGACAAGGAAAATGTTCAAGCTTTCTTACTTGATTTGTTCCCTGGGCTTGCTCAGGTGAATTGCATGCCAGAACATTAGGCTGAACATGATGAACACGACGAGGGCTGTGCATGCGCCCGAAATGATCATGTTGAGATGATAGAAGTAGATATTATTTCCGATAGATGGTTTAGATGCCACTATATAGGATATCGGGATATTTACAGCAGAGCTTTAGCTGCCCTTCTACGCCCCCGCGACCGGAAACAGTTCAGGACCAAGACAGATCGCCAACTTTTCCAACTCGCGTATAACTACATTGTACGAATGCCGGTGCAAAATAGGGACTGCGGCAGAAGATGGAGCTAACTTTGACCTTTTTGACAGCAAATCCAGTCTTTCCAAACCGGCATAGGACCACCACCGGAGGCGGAAGAGTGGCTACAAGTTGTTCAATCAGAGCTTGACGCGAAAGAATTCATATACTCAAAATCGTTCTCCTATGGCAACGAGGCCTCTCGCATTTGCAAGGACGCAAAGTCTCTCTTTGAACGGGCATGTTCTACAGAGGAGAAGCTTACTGTAATAGAAAAAGTATTTCAATCCTTCTATTACATCAAGATATCGCTACACAATGCCTCAGAAGCCCTTTCCGGTTCCCATTCCTCGGACACAACAACAATTCTCACAAAAAAAGAACGGAGGATCATCCCGCTTCTGGGCATTCGAAATCATCTCGACGCCTGTATGCTTCGCACGGAATCGATAATCCTGGACCTTGACAGCCAGTCAGCCTGACATTTCCAGCGAAGCAATTACACGACTAGCTGATATACAACGGATCGGTGAGGAAGGACCGCAATTTTCTATCAGCCAGATAGTTGCGAGACTGCCTTATCTCTTGCCGCCAGAGCACCGGGCGTTTCTTCCTTCCTGGGCAAATACACCTAGGCTACTGTGGCCCTTGAGGTGCATATTAAATGCACCTACCGCCCAAGTGGTGCACAAAGGAATCACGCAATCGGCTTTATGGAGAATTGCTTATGAGATTGTCATCATGCAAGCAGTAGGGTCCTTTTTCTAGAATGTCAATACGCATGAAACCCGTCAGTGTAAGGATTTAAATTGAGTTGAAAGGTTTGATTAATCCATAATATTGTTGGAGTCGATCGACTGTCAGGCAAAAATAATCAACTCAATCCAGCGGTCTCATCAAGATGTCAACAGAGGTCTTCGATTCCATAGAATACCCATCCACAAAACGCTCTCCAAAGTCCCTCACAAAGTTGTCATATGTTGTCTCAGGCTTGTGTTTGCACAATGCACAAAGAAGGTTCTTCACCGAGTCTTTGAAATCGAGCAGTGGCAGCTCTTTGACAACAGCACTATGCTCCTCTTTTGTGATTAGACCACCAGGTAGACCAGAGCCCAAAAAGTCTCCAGTAATCCCCATTTGACAGAGAGCAACTTCCATCTCCTTATGCTGGGCAATACTGGGGGTGGTGTGCAGCGCAATGCTGTCCCAAACAATCTGCAGCTGTCGCTGGTCGAATTCCGGTACTTCGCGCTTCAAGTATTCACGGGCGGCATTCGCACTATCAACTTCAAAACGTTTGTCATTTGTTGCATAGACACTGGTATAATCCCATGCCAGATCATGAAGGATGGCTGACATGGCGTGGACTTCGAAGTCTACACTCTCATATGCCGGGATTTTCGAAGCGATTAAGGCTCCAAAGATCCAGGAGCGATAGATGTGATGAAATGACATCGAATCATGATGGGCCCGGGCAAATTCCAATGCTGCCCGTACAATCGGAGTGTCAATAAGAGTGACGCCGGCGAAAACACGAGTTTCTGGTGTAATTGTCATTTTGGTTGTGTTCAAGTTCAAGTTGATTTGGTGCGCAGGTGGTATTTGGATTTGTGGTTCCAATGTTGGTTTCCAAGGTTGTTGGAATTTGAAGGGAAAAGGTTATCTTTCGGAGGGAACCTCCTAGTATTTATATCCTACGGCCCTCAGCAATTCTCTTATTTCTTCACCGTGCATCAAGTCATTCTATTCTTTTTTCCACTTGCACATACAGTATACATGCCAGCGGCTGCTTACTGAGGCTTATGAGCCAATTAAATGTGAGTTTTCATTGCCGGCGGTCCGGTATACCGCAAGTGGTTAGCGCAATGGACAATATCGCCCCGCCCCGTCAAAGACTCGCCTTGTCTGTCTTCCTTTCTACAACCACCTCTCGGAAATGAGGTTTTAAATTTAGGTCACACGTCATATTCACGGGAAAGGTCATATATTTATCATGATCGTGTCTCGGCCTTGCCGTACTTGTCGTTTACGGAAGAAAGCTGTGGGTCTCTCTTTTTTCCAGTGAGCAACAGCTGGGTACTTATGATATGAACAGTGCGATAAAACCCGGCCGAAATGTAAAGCTTGCTATAATTCTGGGCGCCAATGTGAAGGATATGAATCTCATGTCAAGGGCGTATTTGTCAATCTCGATACGGGAAGCATCAATACGCCCATGAAGCTCCTGATCACAAAAGCCACACTTTCAGCCCGGCAAGTGTCAACCAGCAATAGTGAATCAAAACGCAAATTCGATCAGAACAGTAGCGATGAAATCTCCATGCTCTCCCCTCACCTTCTTGATCTTTCACCCGGGGAATTTCAAAATCACTTTGTTACATTATGGTCGCATTTCCAAAAAGAATACGCACGAACACCTTCCGATTGGTCTATCCAAGTATCAGGACTAGCACTCCACCACAGAGCCCTGGATCTAGCCCTTATTTCATTAGCAACAATGCGATTATCGGTCTGCGGTCAAAGCGATACCTATCGAATCTTCAGTCTAACCGCATACAACGGCGGCCTTAGGATTTTTCAACGGCTTCTGCAAGACAATGGACAGGAATCGAAAGGGCTTTTGGTGGTTATTTCATTGATCTTCACCCTTTTTGAAGCTGCCCAGCTGGAGCCCACTCAGGTATATGACGGGTGGGAGGGCCATCTCAAAGGCGCCCTTTTTCTTATGCAACGGCAAGGCCCCTCCGCTTTTCAAACTGGTGGTCTTCATGCGGCATTCATAAAGCTTCGGGAGATGGCCGTAGGTGCAAACGTAATTTTTCAAAAAGCGCAAAGTGATATCTGACAGCTTCTCTAGATGCTGTTCGCATTTTCTACAAAAAGCCGATCGTTCCTTGCGCAACATGACTGGATAGAAATTCCCTGGGCGAGGAAGGAGAAGTCTTCGCGGGATCGCTTATATGATATCGCTACCGAGATGACAATTATCAACTCAAAAACGAACGGCAATGAAATGGATATTCTGCGAAGATGCCAAAATCTATTTGGTAGACTAATTGCTTGGCGCCGTAAATGGCTCGAAGACGACCATCCGGGTTTGCTGATTTCCTGTCAAGGAGACCACGAGGAACCCTGTGATTGCTTTCCGCCGCAAATTATTTCTTCACTTTGCGACGAATTTTCATATGTGACTGCCGAATACATGGCCTTTCTGTTAATGGTTACGCATATTGCCATCACCGCAGCTAAGAACTCGAAGATCGCTCCGAGAAACGAAAACCATACGGCAACGGCTTATCTATACGTCAATACCCATCGAAGGCGTGCATCTAGGTTACGAATGAGTTTGCAGAAAATTCTAACCCTCCCTTGCTTTGGTCAAGCTCTTTCAGGCACTCCAGGTATCACTGAAGGCCGCTGTCGCTCATTATTCCCGACATGGGTCCTCTCGCAAGATCCCGATAGGCAGGGCTCAGATAATGTTGATTGGTGGTCCGACTTGCAAGGCCGAGTTAATTATGGGATGAAATGTTGCTGAAAAAAGAAAATTAAGTATGCAGAAGGCTCAAGTATTCCAATTGATGCAAGGCGTATTTTTCTAGAATAAAAAAGCAATTATTGAATGGCTCATGCTGTACATGCTTCGAGCTTCGAGCCACGAACTTTGCAAAATTCAGTCAAGGGCCATGAAAATAACACCAATGACGATTGATCTTGAGCCTCTGGTATATTCGAAATATCCTTAGTCACCTCGGCATGATCCGAGTGTCTATTTTTTAATGTTCGGATCCATGTGGTTCGGTAAATCAGGGAAGTTCCCACGGTTCCCCGGCTATTCCCCACAAATTTCCTGATTGGCGGAACCTCTGCTCATCCCGTGAACATCAAAATTGTGTCACGATGACGACATAGTCATGATTTCATCTTCCAACTATATTCAAGATTCACAGAACAGTAGTCGTCACTATAGTAGTATAGCTCCTTGGTATTTCTGTGGCGTTCGCAATTCACTCGAGTATAGATACAAAGGTACTTAAAACCCGGATCAAAACTTGCGAAAAACTAAATTACATTTTAAGTTCTGCAATTCCTAGACTTTCACCAAGGCCATACAATTCTGGTTGGCAGGCCTCAAAATGCTTGAAAACTCTACAAGACGCGCTATGCGTGTAGTCGGGCGTCCCGTACGATTCCAGCCTCGGACTCGCGTTTCAAATCGTCGCTTCCAATCAACCAGCTCCGGTTCTGCCCCATCTGGTGGTAACTCGGCTCTAGTCGGTGGTATAGCAGGTGGTGCTTTCGCTTTTACGGCTGGGTACGCATGGTACTACTTCTCCGGCGCGAAGACACTCATCGATTCAAACACGCAAGCGAAGCAATACATCCACCAAGCCAAACAAAAATTTTCGGAGGCCGCGCCCGAGCCGAATGAAGCTTACTCATGGTTGAAAAAGACTGTCAATCGATACGCCGTCTTTATTCCCGGTGCCCGCGAATACGTCGATACTGCCTTCAAGGATCTCGAGACAATCAGAGATAAACACGGGAAGGAATTCGACGAGGTGGTCAAAGATGCATACAACGAGCTGAAGGACCTTTCCAAGGACAATGGGTTCAATACAGATACGGCATTTCAGGCATTTTATATCTTACAGAAGCATATGAATCGCCTGTTGGACCTTGCTGGTGATGCTGGCGAGGACATCCTAAACAATCACCCTCAGGTCAAGGAAAAGGTCGGCGGTAGCATTGACCAGCTCAAGGAAATGGGCGAATCATACGGGCCGCAGGCGAAGGAAGAGGTGAACAAGATCTGGAGCCAGATATCCGATATCGTGAAGGGCGGCCCAAGTCTAAATACTGCTGCTGAGATCAAGAAATTGATCGATGAGAAGAGAGAGAAGCTGCAGAAGCTTGGTGAGGAAGCTTGGCAGAAGGGGCTCGACGAGTCCCGAAAATACCTCGAGAAGAACGACAAATTGAAGAAGTTGGTCGATGAGAACGCCGAAACCCTCAAAAAGGGCAATTTCCAAGATCTCTGGGGACTCCTCAAGGAGAGTGCCTCTTCCGGCAAGACTGAGGATGTGGAAAATTTCATCAAGGAGAAGGTTGGTCAGGCGAAGCAAGGGGGTGGTGGCCTTGACAAGATGGAAAAATGGCTGAAGGCCGTACCGGGCGGGTCCAACATTCTTCAGCAATTACAAACCCTTCAAAACACTGCGGACAAGAAGGGCAATGAGGCAGAGGGCGTCCTCAAGGAGACATTTGAGGAGATCGAGGAGGTATTGAAGAAGAGAAAGGAGCAGGTTGAGAAGATTGCCAAGGAGGCAGAGTCGGAATCTTCATAGATTTTTGTCATAAAATTAAGCGATTGTATCAAATAACAGTATAATTTGGAGAAAGTACTATTTTTGCGACACTCTCGGCCTTCCAAGACCGAATGGAATTGCAAGCTAGAAATTCCAAACCTAGCCTACATGTAGTACTGCAAGAAAGTTGGTTGGCTGTCTGCTTTCAAGCCACGATCTACACTCGCCTGTCAGTGGAGGCCCGGAACCTCAATCCGTGAATGGGGAGCGACTTCAATTTACCACCTGATAATTATAATGTACATCACATTCAAGTCCAATGAAAGTACAAATTTGTCTTTTGTGGCTGGTACAGTCAAGGTTCACCTTAAGTCAGACGTCATAATGAATTCACCAAGCGAGTCAAAGATACAAACTGGTAGCAGGAGTTTCAGTTGAATGTTAAATTTGCAAACGAGATCACAAGGGGGTTGTGTTTGCTATTTATTGAAACTGCCATTTCCCCAGGCTCTCTGGGGTAATGGCCTTTTCAACTTTCTAATTACCCACTCCAACATGGATTCCCGACCTCAAAATCAAGAAGCAGCGTCAGCTGGCAGAGTTCCCACCCTGAGCACGACCAGCTCCGTAACGCGATCGTCCTCTTATTCTGGCCCTGTCCACGAGGATTCCACAAAAGCTAGTCAAGCCACAAAAGGGCAAGATCAAAGCTACCAGCAGCAAATCAAAGCGGCTTCGACTGCGCTACTGAACGACGAAAGAGTTGGAGCCGGATCCAAAGCTGGAAGATCACTCCAGAACGTGCTTATGGATACTGAGCACCGCCTCAGGGACCAGCGGAGGGAATCATTACACAAACGGGAAAATAAGTGAGAATCTCCACTTTTCAATCTTCGGCACCTGGGCATCTCGATTTTCCCCAGTTATCTAGCCACAAAGTCCCCTCAACAATATGTTCAAGTTAGCTGAGTGGATGTTAATCCAACCAGAATCGTCGACTGGCTACCGGATCCAACGCGATGAATAAATCTTTGCCGGTCGCAATTGAGATGACGTGGATAGTTGAGCTAGTGTACGAAAATTGGGTCTTTTTGAGCGTTCTTTTGATTTGATCGGATGTGTCATACAATTATCCAAGGGATATGGTACTTAATTTGTTTACAAATACACGATCGCATAGCCGAGAATATTATCCAGTTTAGCTACCATGACGACAAGCTGTACTAACTTGAACTCGTGTCGGAAATCGAGCGTGAGTCTATTGGTCCTGCTGCCTACTAGTTACCACTCAGGAATGGAATTTACTTTTAACTCGTCATTGATCCATTGGCTCCGTACGAGGCATGTCTATAAGATAATCACAAAAGAATGTATATGTGCAAAGAGGCCAAAACAAATTTCGATATACAGTTAATCAAGAGCAGCCCGGTCTTTCAGAAATTAGATCACCAGGATCAAAATTCACGTTTAACCGGGTCTCAAATCCTCGACTAATCATGCTGGGTACTTGAAGTCAGAACTTCAAACCTTCCCGAGCAACCCAACTCAAAAAATTGCTTAGATGTACTCCCAGGTGGGCTGGGTGGTGTTAGTGTTGATGGGAACAGCGAGAGCGTCGAACCCGAGGCAGTCGTTGATGTTGCCAGTGGGGACGGTGGCGTTCTTCTGAGCAGAGAAGACCTGCCACTTGGGGGGCAGCAGAAGCAATACGGCGGCGGCTGTAGGGGGTGGCAGTGGCATTGGAAGCAGTAGGGCAAGCAATGAAGCCGGAGCCGTAGCTCCAGGTGCCGAGACTGCCGCTCTTGCCGGGGGTGTACTTGAAGGGACCCTCGGAGGAGCCCGGGGGGATGTAGGCCGAGTGAGGGGTGGTGAATGACAGAGCACCGGAAGCATCGACGTAGATCTCCTGGCCGCCGGGAACAACGACGTCCTATAAATCGTTAGTGGAAGAGCTGCGTTGCGAGAAATGGAAGTGCACATACAAGGTAGTGGGAGCCAGTCAGGATGGTGTCGTTGGTCGACTTGCTGAGAGGGACACCCTCGGGAATATAGGTCTGGCTCTTGCCGCCGAGATAGAAGTGCGAGCCGGCAGCGGTCAGAGGCAGAAAGTGAATGGGCGAGCCGGAGCGAGCAGCAGTGACGCCGAAGGAGCCGGTGGGAGCGGATTCCTGGCGGCGGCCGGGCATGGCGGCGACCAGAGGGACGAGAGAGAAAGTAGGGCGGAGACCTTCATTGTGAGCGAAAGTAGTATGATAGTACTGTGTAAAGACTGTCGTATAGAAGAGAAGAATGGAGAGACGAAAGTTCAAGTTGAAGTGGACGGATGGGATGTTATAAATGTTATCGAAAGTCAACCTCCATAGTACGGATCAAGTTTATATTCCACTTCTCCACTGCATTTTCCCCATGTGCCGTCTAGGGTCTCCATCGGTGGTCCTGAGTCGAAGCGATCGTCGTGAGATTTACTTGACTGCGAAAGTGCCACCGCTGCACAATTGATAGCATGGCTCGGACTCTAAGATTTGCCCTGCAGGAAGGATGTACTGCGCCCATGGACGCTACAAAACGATCACATAGGGAACTTCAGTGTTAGGAATAGCTCTGAGTTTAGCAGAAGCATTGGCCAATTAACAGAAAGTCGGGTACAAGTTGTCGGTCCATTCCATTAAGGCAGAAGCTCCATGAGTTCCCCTTTTGGGAGGTCAGCTCAGGGACCGAAGTTTCCTATTGGATGATATCATATTCTGAGACATACGTTGAAGAAGTCCCCACCATACTTTCGCGGTGATCGACAGCCACAACCAGGGACGCTGAACGCTATTTTGCGCGAATGAGTTGGCGAGTACCTGATGTTTTGCTTGCGACGGTGAACATTTCCCGTGTTTTGCATGGGCCCCCAGTCATGGATAGATTGAAGACAAATTACATTGTCATGTTGTCTAGACCCTTGATCATCGTCGATGTATCCGATCTCAGAAACTCCTCTGGTCCCAAGCGAAGACCCTGACAGGTGGGTCGTTTCAGCCAAATCAACGTGCCAGCGGAGAAAAGTAGGGATCGACGGATGTCTTAGCAATACGGAGTACCCTGCGCCTTGATCACTCCTCAAGAACGACAAAAATCACGATGGCTCTTTCGTAGCTGAGTGCAACGATTGCGAGTGTGGCTTAACGGCGTGGCGACTGGATGGCTGGATCCACGGCGGTCCCACTCTGTCTCGGCGTGAGCGGACTTGACATCACAATCAGAATTGAAGCCCGATCGGACAGAGATCAACCAAAGGCTTGCCCCGGCTGGGACGGAGCTCCCCGTATCTCGACCGGTGTCCGTCGAGATCGCAATCGAGGACACTGCAGACCGATGCCGATCCCCCTCTTCATAACCATTTAATATCAGCACATGGGAGAAAGGCTGCTCAGGAACCTTCGTCCGTGGAGCCGAGGACATTGCGTTGGTCTAGAAGTTCCATCGCAATCTGTCTGTGACGGGAAACGAGAGATCGACATGAGAGAAGCATCGGGAAATCCGGCACCGCCACAACCCTCTTCGGCTCCCTGATTCAAAAGTTGATGTGTCGCCGCAAAAGTGGATGGACTAGGCAGAAGAAAAGCCAGGGATAACTATAGAAGCTTCTTATTTTTAGCCCTGAATTGACCCCACATGTATAGTATCATTCGAACTTACCTTGGTGTGTGCAATGATTTCAATTGCAACAAAATTGTTCATGGCAGTGTTGTAGTCGCGCTGGGGGGAGGGAGAGAAGGAGAATGAGAAAGAGATGCGTACTACTCCGTATTGTCTAAGCCACTGCAAGCGGAGGTCGATTGCTTGAGGCCGCTGTAACAATGATTTGTTCAGTGAGCCTGTCATGAGCACCTGGGCACCTTTGTCTAACCTCCTCTTGCTTTCCCAAGGGGCCGGAATTCCTTTGTCATTTTTCACGCCGCTGTATCAATGATTAGTTCCTGTCCAACCTTCACCTGGGCAATCCGGACCTAGAAATAATGATGGCAGTTGTGGTGGTGGTAGTACATTCATATTCTACAGACTGCATGTCCGTCAGACAGCCATCAACATCAACATCAACATCTTACCCAAGGAATCGGGATAAGTTAAACCATCGCCCGCTGAATATAGGCAGGAAATTATTCTATGTGCACATCCTAGTCTCGTTTCTAGGTAAAAGGCAGAGACCCCATATCGAAATATCAAAATCAACTAGAACTCAGCCACCAACGGCAAGTCCCGAGAACTGCGACCAGCCCAGATCTTGAACTCGCCCTCTGTCGGCAATACCCAGTTCTGCGCCCGAACACTCCAATAGCTGAGATCCTTGCGGGACAACGTCATCTCAACTGTCTTAGACTCCCCGGGCTCGAGAGAAATCTTCTCGAAATTCCGAAGCACGCGAACGGGAAAGTCGACCTCTTCCCTGCTCAAGGAAACCCCGCGGTGCTCGACAACGCCATCTGGAAAGGAGACATAAATCTGGATGACCTCTTTGCCTACTCTGGTTCCGGTGTTGGTGACCTTCACCGAAACCTCCAGCATGCCCTCCCACAATGATGGGTTTCCGCCCAGGCCACCCCCGGCTTCGGATGGCTCTTGCTTCTCGTCGTACCCCTCTGGATAGGGGTATTTTCCTGGCTCGGTGCCGTCCGTGTTCAGGAGATAGGGATAGATGTATTTGGCCAAACGAGTGAAGTTACTGGGGAGCAGATTGTCATTCGCTGAACCGGGGCTGCTATCGTAGGCAGGGGGGTCGATATCGCTCTTCTGACGCGGGCGTGGAAGCCGGGACTTTTCCTGCGAGGCCTTGATACGGAGCTCGGAGAAGTCGAAAGTAGTGTACGACAATCCGTAGCCGAACTCATAGCGTGGTGTGATGTTGTGTCGATCAAAATGGCGATAATCTATGTATAGACCATCGTCAAGATCGACCTGTGGAACCTGGTTGTCGGCCTTGTATACGACCTGCGCGGCAGGGCCATAGTCCTCAAGAGACCGACCGATGGTGTAGGGCAAGCGTCCACTAGCATCGACGTCACCAAATAACACATCGACCAAGGCGTTCCCGCTCTCCTGGCCAGGAAGGTTTGCGTAGAGCACCGCATGAACACCTGGGAGGTCGATCCAGGGGTCTAGCACAACAGGGCCGACGGAATGTACCACGACGATTGTTCGGCCTCGGCCATCTCCGCATTGTTGCGCGACACTCTCTACCAAGTTTACCCCGTTGCGTTGTAGGAATAGGTCATTGCGATCGCCATTGATGCCGTCGCTGCGTATGAAACCTTCGCCGCCGTCAGAGTTCGCAAAAACGAGACACAAATCTTGCTCCGCCAAGTCTTGGTAGGCAATATCGTTGGTGAGGTAGCTACGAACGTCAACTGTCTCATTTGACCACGCAGTCTCGAGAGCTTCCCACGGGCTAATCAAGTACGGAAATTCCACCGCGCCGCTGCCCCAGCCAGAGGCTAAAGTCCCTTGGTTGCAGCCGCGATCGGGGCAGGAGTTAGGACCCTTTCCAGGACCTGCGTCTTCGCCGAAGATACCGACCCGGTATTTCCCATCCGGGCTGGAGACGGTTCGCAAGAGAGGGAGGGTATTATTGAGGTTCTTCAGAAGTACAGTGCCTTCTGCCGCGATCTCACGAGCAATCGTAGCATGCTGGGACTGCTGCGCAATCACGAATTTGTTGACTTCCTCCGAGGAATGATCGTCCGGGCTCCCTGGGTGCAGTTTACCCATCTTCTTGTTCGTCCAAGAGGAAAAGTTAGGTCCGCGTTTTTCCCATTGATCTTGGCGGAAATGGAACCATGACGCAACAATTCGCGTCACCATATCATTCAATCGCTCCATTGGAACGGATGAGTTCAAAGCTGCGGCCGTCAATTGTCGTCCCCAGAGGGCTTCGCCATTTGCCCAGGCGAGACCATCACCCGGCATACTCATGTCGAGACCACTCAGTGCGCTTTGTACGCCAGACCGCTGTGCTAGCCAGTCCGATTGGACGAACCCTTGAAAGCCGAGCTCATCTTTGAGAATGCCATTGATAAGCTTGCTATTCTCGCAGGAATAGCTATTGTTGACCATTTGGTAGGCACACATAACACTCGCGACATCTGCGCGCACGCTCTCAGCAAATGGCCATACAAAGACTTCATGAAGGGCACGATCGCCGATGTTAGACGAAATCGCGTATTCTGTGCCCCATTCGTTGGGTTGGCGGAAATGTTCTTGCTCGTTCAGAACGAAATGTTTGGCTGTGGCCATCACGCCAATTTTCTGAATGCCTTGAATAGTCTCCGCAGCTGCCACAGCCTGTAAGACAGGGTCTGATCCGAAGGACTCCCAATTTCGACCTCCAGCTGGCATCATTCCCATGGCACCCATCGAGGGGCCAAGAAGAACATTGACTCCTTTCGCGCGAGCTTCGCGTCCGAGGGATTTTCCTCGAGCTCTCATGAGATCACGGTTCCAGGTCGCGCCTGTGGTGATTCCGGCAGGGAACGCCGTGATGTTATCAGCGAAGCGTAGACCAAGCGGACCATCTTGTAGGCATAAAGAGAGGGAAGCCGACGGAGTCCACACTTTCTGTAATTGAGATTAGCACGTTGCAACTCTACTTGGAGTTATAAAAAAAAAGTAGGGAGACGATGCAAAGTCCCAGTACATACCTGTGTTTCCAACACAAAGGCCCATCTGCCATCCGGTCCCAGTCGTAACGCCAACCTTCTCAACAAGACTCATCCTCTCAACCATATCGTGCGCTTTTCTATAACTCTCGCTCCAGTTCGAGCTAGTACCGCCCAAAGGAGCCGGATACCATGGAACAGAGCGCTAGAACAGTCAGCCCAGATCTAGGATCACAACACCCCCAAGGCCAATGCCATTGAGCAATCGGAGCAGTAGGAATTGAAAAACTCACATATCCCTGCTGTCTATCGCCCCGATACCAAACAAGCCCCTGGAGCGCAATCCAAATCAACAGAATCGCACCAACAAAGAACCCCCCCAATATGCCACCAAGTTCTCTTCCCAAAAATGGCACTCCAATATCGTTTCCAGCGGGGCTCCTCTCCCTCTCCGTCCCTTCTGCGCTGTTTAATCGGAGCCCCATACTCATCTTCGGCCTCATAATCAATTTCATCGTCATCACTAAACACAAAATCGGTATTCGCATCCTCAATGTCCGTCCGGAACGACTCGGCCAGTAAAGTCCTCCTTTCGCTCTCGAGGAAGCCTTCAATGCGCTTGCCGACGTCGCGCTGTTCTTTCGGTACGGGGATTTCTTCATTGCCGTTGCTGTGGCTGCCCTCAAGCTCGTATTCCTCCGGGAGGAGAGTGGATGAACTGCCTGAAGGTGTATCGTCGATAATTGCCCGATGATTGTAGCTTGAGCGCACAGGACCACGACGCGTATCCAGATTGTGATTCCCATCCGCATTCTGACTTTGACTTCTCAACGGTCGGAGTCTAACATCGTCTTCGTTCGCGTCGTCGTCGGCGCTGTCGTCGCTGGAAAGTAAATCCGCATCATTGGGTTGACCGCGCGAAGCGAGGCGGTCGGAGGTGGTCGAGGATTTGTGGATATCATTCTCGGAATCTTTTGTAAGGCTAGACGTAGATGTAGACGTAGGAGTGAGCTGCTGCTCGTCTTGTGGGATCTCGTTATCGAGGGATTGGTAGTCTCCGCGACGGGCGTCGGTCTTGGGACGAGACGATCGGGCCATCGCTTGGGCGTGGCATAAGGGAGGTTTATTGGGTGGGGGTTTTGGGCATGCTGTATTTCAATGTTGACTCGATCCGTGCCAGGGGTAGCTGAGCTTGTTTATGAATTGAAGTGAAGGGAGGTGAGTTGAATTGATGTGATGGGCCAGAATCACATTATCGTTGGGGGGTCAGGTGACTCTGATCTGGAAGTAATCATGACGATGTAAATAGTCAACAATTGAATAGTAAATAAGTAGTAGGTGGTAGAGGTGATTATCTCTGTCAATTCTCTAGAGCAGGAGGTGATTAAAAGGACAATCTTTGTTTCATGGCTGACAATTGTAAACTTCCAAAATAAACAACCTTAGAAGGCAACTCGTCTATACTATGGGCCATTACTAAAGGACCGGCAGGCAGAATACTATAAATCTACTAAATACCAATAGAAAACTTAATAAATACTATTATTAAGACACAAGAGTTAATAGAATACAGTAGTATTAGTTCTATACTAATTTATTCCAAGGGGTTGAACTTGAGGCTTGATGCCTCAGGCGCTCTAGATCGACATAACTATGCCTGGTATACTACCCTCCCACATCTCACACTTCTTCATCTCGCTCATTGGTGGTGGTGGCATTTGTTCTCTGTAATCACAGGTAGTATAATTTAGTACCTCTAGTGCAACTTGAAGTAGTACTGGTGCCAGTGCCATAGTGAGCATCCGCAGAGCATACTGTAGTAGAATTGAATAATAGTACTAGTACTATATATATCTTTCGACCTCTTCGCTTCGGTCTCCATCACCTGGGGCAGTTAGTAGTACCAAACTGACTCGGAGGTTAATCAACCCTTGGAAACCTCCAGTCAGAGCTTATAGTACTAATACCTACTAGTAGGCACCACCGGGAACATGAAATACTACTAGTAGTAGTATTGAAATTAGTAATACTCTGCTTTCGCGTACGAATATTCGGGAGCCAACGAGAAAAGACAACTTCAAGTTTAATTTGACGAATAACGACCACTCAAAGTGTTTTATGGTATAAACAACATTGTTTGATCGAGGATGAATTTAATCCCCTTCAAAATAGACCCTACACTGCCAACTTCTCAAGAATGCTCTGTTTGATGTGATTACGCGTGGCGTCCATTCTATTTCTGGTTGGACGTTGGGCCAGAGTGGAGTCACGTTGCGGGGGGCTGCCAAAGTCTCCCGCATTCGGTTCAGCCCTTCTTGACACCTGGGCATGCGAGGCAGACACATCTCGCATCTCGCATATCGCATCTCTTCCATCCCCGTCCCGACCGCGGTGAAGGCGCGATGTTATGTCCAACTGATTTCGGTCCCGAATGGCAGAGCAGGTCTCTCTACTATAGAGGTGGCGCTGTCATCACAGCTTTGTTGGCTGCCATCCTTCATATGACCTTGGAAGACTCCACTGGGTTCTATATCTTTTTGGTATCTCGGACACCTTAATGACTCTATGCATCGATGTGTGCAAAAATGGCATATGAGTACTAAGATTTATATTACAGCTCTTGCTTCCCTCGATTTGGTCCCTTACGGATGGGCTGTTGCGCCTCCGTCAAGTTGAGGTCCCGATCTTGATTAATGCCGCTCTCGACCTGTTTTCAGCTGGCTGGCTGCTGTACAATGGCGCCGTCACTGTATTCGGATGGATGTGGTATGGCTCGGCTGTTCTTGCAACCATCGCTATATGTTGCTTCATTGCCGTGTAAGTTGCTTCCACCTCTCATGCTTTTCGACGTTTTTCTCACGTATGCGCAGATATTTCTTTTTCGTAATGTTCCTCCGTGCAACTGTTCAATTTTTAGAGGAATCACGAGACCCTAGACGTGATGAATGGCAAAGTGTGCCGAACCCCGTCTGAGACCGATGTGCTCACTAGAAAGCAGCCCGGGGATGGTATAAGGAAAGAATGAAATTTATCACTTGTTACTTCCCATCCTTCCATGAGCTCCTATTCGTACCCAGAAAAGAAAAGCTCCTAGATCTTTTTCGTGATGAGGCATTTCCTCAGCTCGTACCCGCGCCATCCCCAAATCCCAACATGAATCGTTCTAGGCCGTAGGGTATTTGTTCGGCTGAAATTCGCGCATCAAGATACTCCGCTGATAATAAAAAATAACGTGGATCCTATTGGGTTGCCTGCCCGTATGAGTAATTTCTATGAGGTGACGATCCCCCAAACCGACTCGCCCATGAGATCTGGTGAAGAAGCAAAGAGCAATCGAATCTTACTGATATCAAATGGGGATTAGCCAACGTTTCAGACTGCCGAGTAAACCTTCAGCCGTCCCAGTGCTGTGTACCTGGGTCTCTCCACCGGCCCACCGGCCCCAAATGTCGAAGCCTCGCGTGTAGGAAAAGCAAATACAAAGAAAGAAAAAGCAATTTCCCTGTTGAACCGGCTTACCTTTGCTATTCAATTTCAGAAGTTGCGCCGCTTGGCTAGCATCTTTTAGCATCCCTTGATTCGTGTGACTGGGAGGAACTTTCAGCCACTCCCGGATTACGACGGGGCCATGGGAGCCCCGGGTCAGGCGGGCCGTAAGGATATTGCGATCCTCAGGTTTCTTATGAATATTTTGAATGGAGAAAACGTAAGAAGGACGTCGTCAACTACTTCATTCCAGGGTCATCGCAAGGAGTAGATGTCGCAGAATTGGTCTGGCCTAGGGGCATACCGAAAAAAAAATGTCTGTGTTCGGACTGTATTACTTTTTCAGGGAGTGATCAGACTATGAGGCTGCATCTACGGAGTATACAAGTCCCGAAGACATGAAAGGGACGATTGGAACTGCAATAATTTAGGTTGCGTGGCTATTGTGGCGCATGGAGTACAGATACCTAAACGAACTGGGTCGGGATTTGCGGCCTCTAAATTGCTGCGTCTGTTCTCGTGGCATGGATGCAGGGGTCGAATGTTGCGCGGGCAACGGATAAGGGGATGCAGCGGCTCTTCGGTATCACAGCCGACTTGGGGCCCGTTGTGATCAGTTTCGTGATGCCGCGTTTCAAACTGCTACCGGCTGCATGATTTAGGACTGGGGCAAACGTTGTTCCCCAAGGGATGATCATCCGGACGATCGCTACTATTTTTGGTCTTCACCCTGCGAACTACTGTCGATAACCCCCCCCTTGGCAGGAACATTTATTCCATTTTTGCCATGCTGGTGTGATAGGTAGGAAATCTCGTGGTCAGGGGCAGCGCCTAATGCTGCAAGGCTGGTTCGATGGCCCCAATAAACAGTTTTTTTTCCCTTGAACCCAGCACAATGGAGGCGAAAAGAGGCTTGGGTAAAGTCGGGCGCAGAACCAATCTGTCGGGTTGGTAGTACGAACATCCCCCAGGGTCGAGTCAGCTTGCCACATCACTTGGATAATGATCGATGCGATCGACTGGCAGCTCGGACCAAAAGCTCATCATGCGAACGCCAGCTCAGTGCCTTCGGCGATCACCGAGTGTCGTGGTACTAATCAGAATGGGGGGATAAGGTTGTTGGGATTCTCCAGCTCAGACCAGGTGTGCCTTGCATATTTGAGCGAGCAAGTGGACCCGCAACATCGTCAAACATTGCTTACTATGGAAGGCTGGAATGATCACTGGCCAGGGGGTGCGCGTGGGAAAAGCAACCTTATTATCTGAAACGCCCGGCCCATATGGCTTCTGTGGCTCTGCTCGACATCCCCTCGTAAGAAGGGCATTCGCTTCATACTACTTCGCATATTTCGGTAGAGCACGCGGACCGGGCCACGTTGGAATGAAAGTAATTTCCCGATATAAACCACTTGGAAGACAAGGCTATATTGAATGGCCTATGCGGCGGCATTGACTTCAAGTTAATTTCGGACATCCGCTTGCCGGCCCCCCGAGGTTTCCGGAAAGCCGTATGAGAACCCGCGCTAATTTAATACTCTCGAACTCGTTCATTAATTTGAGGCTTGAGCCATCTGCAGGAGCACGGCCCATGAGGTTGGTGGCGTCCTGGGCGAAACGCATGTTGATGCTTTCCCTATTCGGTCGACCCTACTAGTAGACTCGTCATAAACGGCGGATGGGATGGACAGGCAATCCACGTGTGCCCCTTATTTTATTTTATTTTTACTTTAGTAGTTTTGTTGGAAAACCCTTGATCCAGTCTGAAACAACGCGTTAGCGTGTCGAAGAGCTACGTTCTGCGGTTCAGGGTGTAGCATTCCACGAACTGGTATTATGGCTGTGTAGAATAGAATGCCTCGTAGGGCTTAGCCGGGGTAGACGTGGCTGGTATGGGCTGACGCCTACTTTAATCTCATTTTTAATTTATTCCCGTTTTGTACCTGGGTTCGACAACGCTTGTCGAAGGGATTGACAATTGACATCGCTACGAGCTAACTGTAGTGGGAAGTGAGGAAGCATACTCCGCGCGTGGCCCTGGGAATGCCGCATCTCGCACTACTAGCTAATCTAGTTCAATTTATCTATTCGGATTTGCAATCCTGCATTTTGATTGACTCCCCTGCACTAGTGTATGATCTCCATGTGATCGACCACGTTGGTCCCACGACGTTGTTTCACCCTTTCGTCGTCAGCCCACGCGACGAAATTCCGCGCATTGCAGAGCGCATTTGCCGCTAAGAGTGATTGGCACTCATAGCCTTCCGTGGGACAGTCTAGACCGACTAGCATGACGTTTTATTTCCTTACTTTCTGCCCTTGTTGGATCTCTCACTGGCGATCTAACGTTCGTTCCGCGTAAACGCGTATAATCACCTCCATCCCTTGGCTCATTTCACGGCACATATACTCTATCGGGATGTTCCTGGCTTAAGACATGTGGCTTGCCATGTGCTCAGTGTCCCTGAAGGCATGCCCTTGAATAATTATTCCTAGCACGAAGCTCGGGGATCGTGAGACCCGGGTCCACTCTTGGTCCTGGTGCATCTTGTTCCTGCCTTCATGCCCCCATTTCATGCACTGCTCGGGCCAATCATATCTGCCTCGTCGCCTGTTTTAAATTCGCGGGTATGTGCTTTGCACTAATTAGCTCGCCCCCACTGGTTAGTGTTGGGCGGAATTCCAGGCCCGCCGTTGCTCATGCGGACTACTTTCGATGCGGGCTCCTCGAAACCTGACGACGGAATGGTGTCACAGGCCTTGAGTGGGACCCCCCCTCGTCGTCGTTGATGCGAACCGAAAATCCTTCCCTCCATTCCTTTCTTCGCTTAGCTTGTTCATCCATGTGGGCCGCCATGCAAACTCCTGCGGAGCTCGCGTGTCAAGGCATGCTCTCTACTGCAGCATAGCCTCGCCTTACATTTGCATATATAGAGGTCCATCTCCAGTTTCATATTTGCCATCACATTCCAAGACAGACCAAGCTTCTACATCAAGTTTCAGCTCAATATCCTGAAGAGTGGCAATATCTACAACCACCGAGATCACATTCCACCACTGTCACCTTCTCCAACTCTACTCCACGTTACACTCGAGGTCCCAGTTCGCAAGGCTTCTAGACGAGCCGACATCAATCAGAAATCATGTCTATCCCTCAATCATCTTCCACAAAGTAAGTATTCTCTGCTTAGAGATCATGAGATGAATGAATGCTAATACCTACCCTACCAGCAACCGAAATGGTACCACAAGTGCAACTCTCAGCCAAAGCAATCTCAACCAAGTTCCACGGGCAAACCGCAGCACAGTTGATCGGTATACACGAGCTTCTGCAGCAGATGGTCCTTACTATGCCGGTGCACGAATGCAAGAGCGTTCAAGCCACCTCACAGGGCTTTCAAATCAAGTCAACGCGGTGGATGAAATCTTGAAAAAATAAAGGCCCCAAGGGACTTGAAAGAAGGATGGATGATATCTCTGTCTATGTATAGTATATTCTATCAATTGTATGTAACAAATCCTAGCGAGTATTTCTAGATGCATCAAACAACGCTCAGCGAAGAGCTATTTCAAAGCAATTTCGATATGTACGTCGCGACATCCTCGTACTTGGTGCTGGGGAATTCGTGACCAGCCTCGTAGAACTTGAAGGCAACGTTTCCGCCCAAGGCTGCTGTGGCATCTGCAATCAGTTCATCCTTGATAATTATAGCATCGCTGTTGCCACACAGAATGTGGACCTTATCACTGCCTAGTCCCTTTTCGCCTCGGTTTGTTGACGAATAACTATTCTGCGCACTCAGGTACTCCCCAAGACGGGCCCAGGTGTTATACTGCCGTTGGCTCAAGATTGGCCCATGGCGCATACTAGACATGAAGGCGTGGACGAAACCAGAATGGTTATTCACTTGCCAAGCAACAGCAGCTGGAATGTTGACATGCGGGTAGTCACGAGAAAGTAATTGAATCTCTCCCGCAGTTTGCGACGGGAGTTCTTCGGTGAGCGCATCCGCTACATTAAGCTTTCGGTTGCCGGGCTTAGGGGTGACCAAGGGTCCAGCTCGTAGTCGGCGACCCACAAGATATCCAAGAAGGTTCTCCGGCATCAGGCCACGGGAATAGAGGAGACGACTCTGGAAGCTGATTTGCGAGTCTCGGAGTAGACCGGCCGGTGCGAGGAGAACTAATGACGATAACATTTGCGGGAAATAAGACGCAAATGCCGCAGCGATTCCACCTCCAAGTGAATAACCCGCTAGGCAAAACTTTCCTGAATCCTTGCCGGTCCAGGCGATCGGTGATGAGGCCAGGGCAAGTAAGATCTGAGTCGCAAAAAGACGGTCATCCTGAGGCAGATCCGCAGGACAATCAGAGTATCCTCGCCCAAAACTGAATCATTCTTGTCAGCATTCACTTTATATACGAGGTCAGGTCTTGCGAAGAACATACAGGTCGAACAGCATTACTCGGCAGCCCCGGTCAACTAGCGCATGGGCCACCCCGCCGAGGGCGATGCATGGCGTGGTGATACCATGCACCAGCAACACTTTTGGACCATCCTCTCGACCCCATTCATAGACTCGGATTGAACCGTAAGGACTGGCAACGTCGCGGGCACCGGGAAGCACGTCATTCGGGAGAGGGAGGTTGTCATTTTCTTCTTCCGATATGCCGTTCAAGATTCTTGCGCGGGGTGAAGGGATAACTGTCTGTGTTGACTCGCGGGCGGATAAAATCGATCGAAGAAGTAGGCCGAGTGTGAAGGATGCCCCCGATACTGCTAATAGAGGCAGTTGCGTTCGTTGGTTGGCCCAGGAGTCAGACAGGAAATCCACGGTTTGGTGGTACAGGGCCATGTTTGGTCGTGAGGGTCGTTCAAGTGGGCCAGTGAGGGAATATGGATAGCTTGGGTCTTAGCAAGGAGTGTCAAGGTGTCTAAAAGAACGGTCGTGCTGGTCTCAGCAAGATGGTTGTTAGTGACAGGAGTTGATGAAGCGGCGAGACTAGGCCGAGGTCCACCATGAACAACGATCCTTGCCAAAATGGGAAATCGTACCTCCAGGGGTACTGATAAGAGATAAGATAAGATAAGGAATCCCACCCGGGGCTTAAGGTACCCTAGGGTAGGGTGACCGAGACATCTTAAGGTATAGGAGGGTATTGTAGGATCGTAAATAGACCAGAGTTTTTGGGTCAGTAGTAGTAGTAGTAGTAGTAGTAGTAGTAGTAGTAGTAGTAGTAGTAGTAGTAGTAGTAGTAGAAAAAAAAATTATGAATTTCATGTTGATATTGCCCAGTCGGGAGGTCATCCCAAATCAAGGACTTCTATGTACTTGGTATAGTATGGATGGGGTATAGTATGTACAACGAATTGTTGGATATTGTGGCAGTGAGTGATGATCATCATTCGAGTATTCAAACTGGAGTAATGTGTCGTCTGCAGGATAATGCTTGATACATGATCTGTCATCTCTCAGGCTCTTCAGATAGTCGTATGCGCTAGGGGAGTGACCATAGATGGCGTAGCGGAGAATTGAAAAATTTCAGAAGATCCTGGGTGTTTAATCGGATTTGGCGGCGTCCTCTTCGACAGCAGCCTCGTCTGTTGGAAGATGCTGGTAGGAACGTATTTTGCGACGGCGGATGTACCAAACACCGGCGAGAGCACCACCGATGCAAAAAATGGTCAAGACACCGATGGTTATGTTCTCCAGCATTTGGATCATTCCATAAGCTTTGTAAACGGAGTCTGCAACCTCTGTGGTGGCGTGGTGGACTGCAGCTTTGCGGTCTTCGTCGGTAGTAGTCTCATTATAGAGATCCCCGTAGTCGCCAGAGTCGAGCTTTTCCCGAATATTTTGTAGGATTTCTGGGTCGTCGGGTGTAGGATGAGAGGACTGCCCAGTAAATCCAACGGCTTCCCAGTCTGGAACATCAGAACGACAGACTTCTGATACCCCCAAGACGTTGCCATTTTCATCAATAGCTTTTGCGGTCACCCAATCCATAAATCCCTCGGTGATGTACATCGTTTCAAAGGATGTTTTGTCTGTCCTTGCGATCAAAACATCACTGCCGTGCTCATAAGACCGAGCATAGAATTCCCAGCAAGCCACGTCGGTTGCGCCGTTCCAGCTGACGTGCATGACGGTTATCATTTCCTGCTCGTCAGCACCATATACAGAAGCGACTAGATCTGGAGGTGTGGTTGGTCGACCAATCCAATTAAACTTGTAGGAACGGTAGCTTGCATAGCGAGTCGATGAGAAATGAGCTGACATGATAAGATCACCATCAGGTCCATACTCAGTCATGTGGCCTTGCTCATTCCATCCGACAAAGACATTTCCATTCGAAAGTTGTTGAATGTTCCCTCCGAAACGAGTGAAATTGCCATCTGGATGATTCATGCGGTTTATAACGGTCGCGGTCATAGGAGAGCTACTGATATCCAGTTCCACAAAAAGAGCGGACGTGATCTCTGCCTCAGTGTGAAGTTCATCTGCTGCATTATTCATGAAAGAAATAACATGATGAGTGCTGTTGGTTTTGATAAACTTGACGTCGTGTTGCCTGGTGAAGTTGAAGTCCTGCTCAAAGTCGCTCTCCTTACCACCAAGGCGCCACATGATTTCGCCGTCTTTGCCAGAAACCAAATAAATTGTATTTGTGAAGCGCATCGAGATAATGTAATCTCCATCCGAGTTTTTGTCGACTGAATTGATGTGCACGTAGTCCCACCCAGGTTCACCGAGCACCTCATCCTCCTGGATAAATTTAACGGACTCGGTGATCGACAGCTTGTCGTAGGAGTCCCATTCGAAGAGAATCTTGGACTTTTCGATATCCATCTCGACAAAGCCACCGACAACGACCCAACTTTCCTCTTCGGGCCGGTCGAAATCGCCGAGGCTGATTTGCTGCGGTTTAGTAGTACAGGCCAGAGCAGTCTTTCCACCGTCCAAGATTTTAAATTCGTGTATGTTGAACGCATCGAAATCGTTGGCCGCTCCGACCTCACGTTCAAGCTCATAGTTGTTCCCCATAATCACACCCTTTCCTTTACCATCCCCACGGTCGTATTCATGCTGAACGATGAAAGAAAGGTGTGGGTCTCCATCGATGTTCCAGTTCGCCTTGAAGTCAAATGTATTGCGGTTGTCGGTCACTGGAGAACCTGCCCAAATGAGCTCCTATGCGGTGGTCAGAATTGATGGATGATATTTTTTTGGTCATATAAGAACTTGAACGACGTACGCCATCGGTGTCATATATGTACGGTCCGACCTGGTATTGCATATACTTTGTGGTGGGTTCCTCCGGGTCAACTTGTCCGTAGGGCGCAACGAACCAGTATCCCGGTGATATTTGTTCTCGGTCGACATGTGTGATATTGAATCTCAAGGCGCGGACTTCTGGAAGCTGGATGTGGTATTAGAGGACCAGGGCCGAGGAATGGAAAGGAATCGAGGGTGGAGTCACTCACAGTGACGAACGAGCGCAAGTCCTCATCCAGACGCTGTGCAACAGCGCCCAGCAAGCAGAGACCAAGCAGGAGGCCTAGAAAGAACATGATGGCAGGAAGGCAAGGAAGATTAGGAGGACAAATCTCTCATCGTGCACTTCAACAAAAGCTTGGCGTTAGACAAGAAGCATCACTCAGCTCACGAAAACCGTGAAAATCGCCGGAGGGTTTGGACGCGAGAAAAGTCGTATCGGCAGCCCTTTGAAGTTTAGGGGCCGCGCGGGGATCAAGCGGGATTTAAGGAGTAAAATGGGGCGCATGGGAAAAAGGGCCCGTTCGATCGTCACTACGAGCAGAGCGACACCGTTTCCGGGATTTCAATGACCATGATACTACCTCTGGATGGAGACAAGCGCGATGCTCGTAATTTTATTCAACTCGAAAGACCAGTGTAAGAGCAGAAGTGGAATCCGAAGCCCCGCTCAGGTCAAGACATGCCCCATGGAGCGGAATATGGATTTACAGATGGGCGAAGAAAACTCCTCGCCACGCGTCGGTGGGGCGCCACCATTGGGGATTTTGGAGTTTAGGGGTTTGCGCACAAGCACTGCTTTACTCCGTACTGAAGGGGAAGATAGCGATCATTTCAAAGCCAGTGCCAATTAGCTTTCAACCGGATGTTCAAGATAAAAGAAGAATTAACCAAGGAATACCTTAGAAATGCATTGTTGGAGATGCGAAAGTCCCCAACTTCAAGTTCTATCCACAAGGCTAAGATTCCGCCAAGTCGATCTGACAGACAGGGCAGCAGGTCACACGAGCAGTTGAACGCAAGTCCGAGAACGAATCAACGTCATTTTACGACCCTTACGAACTAGCGGCGCCCATAAGCGCCACTTCTCCAATCGCACTGCAAGTAAGCAGAAAAACCGGCTTCCCCTGGAGACTCTCCACATGCCAAGCCACTATGCCAAGTGCTACCAAGCCTAGCACAGTTAGAATTTCGCACAAGACCCTGGTCTATTCATGGCCCCTGAATCTTGATTCGCGTGGCTGACCCGCTTGTTCCCCCGGTTCTGTGCGGTAAAGCCTATCGGCTTGGGGGCCCCTGTCCTGAAGAGACATTCCCCACACTTTTCAAGACTTACAGAGAACGGAGCAGGCCTGCCTCGATACCGTGCTCGACTCTGGACCTGCCTGTAAGCAGAATAAGAAAGAGAAAGAGAAATTCTCAGCTTGAACATAAACTTGTGGTTGCTAACGCCGCTTTGAAAGGGTTAAATGCTCACCTGGGCCCTTTCCGAGACAGAGCAAATACACTCGTTGCCAACGTGAAGGCCACCAATGCAAGTACGCACTACACCCATGATGAGTAGCTTGATGTTCTCAAAGCCAATCCAAACAGCCCCCATGTTGGGCCTCGGAAGCAAAAGGCTCTTCGCCAGTCTTTAGGAACACCGCTTTATGTGGCTTCATCCCCTCGTAGATCGGCTTTAACTACAACAGATCAAGCTACACCTTCTCCATATGTCTTACATGAACATCCACACAATTGCCATTCAATTCCTTGGAAGGTGAAAGAAAGGCCCAGGGAGAACCAGCCAAACTTCATACACGGCAGCGATTACATTCTCGAAGCTAGTCATGCAACCCATCTTCCGCCACTAGCAATGACGCAGGCATTGAAAGACTTCTACTTCAAGGAGCTATTTCCTATGGTCCCAGTATTAGACCGTCAACAGACAGAGACGGATGATTCTATCTTGCTACAGCAATGTGTGTGCTTTGCAGGGAGTACTGTGCGCCAATCAACTGAGCCAACCGAATGGTCTCCCTCTACTATTTACGGTCGCATCAAGACATTACTCTTCTTACACCATGACCCTGACTCCTTTAACATGCTCGCTGCTCTTTGCATCTTAGGCACCTGGCTTCCATACTCGGCAGAAGCTATAGTCCTGGATAGCCCTTGGTAATGGACAGGCATGGCAATTCGACTAGCGCTCCAGTTGCACCTACATGAAGAAGAAACGTATCAGCACCTCCAAAAGCCCAAGACAGCCATCAGAACCTGGTGGTACCTCTTCAACAACGATACATTGCAGATGGCTTGCACCGGATGTCCTGGCATGTTTCCGATAGACGGGAGTAGCATCCCGCTGCCCGAGCTGAGTGATTTTGACACGCCTGACGCCGAGGCCCACGTATTCTGCGCGCTTGTCTCCCTTTGCAAATTGCTTCGGAAGATTTTGGGACTCGGCCGATCTGATAAAACGTCGAGAGAAGAAGTGCAGTTGGCACTTGACAAGTTGATTCAATGGAGAGATCGATTACCCGACGATTTGCAATTATTCGACGAAAACCGAACATCTCGACGGCCTTATAACCGTTTGATCCTGGAGCTACATGTTTTATACTTGGTGACCGCCATTTTGACGTTCTTCCTTGGCCGACGTGACAATCCTTCATTATTCAAATATGCATCCATGGCGGCTTCCTCCTGTATCTATCGGCTCTATGAAGAGATTCTCTTCCGTGAAGACGCTACGTATTTGCTTCCAATTCACTCGTGGGCAAATTTCGTTGCTGCTATCCCTCGCACATTTAGTGATTGTGAATTGCTTAACCCAGCGCATGCCGAAGAGTTGAAAATCAGCCAACAGGTGCTTGGGAAGATAGGTGAGAAACATGCATCAGCTGCTTTGGTACAGAATCGAATAGCTGCTCTCAGTGGATCGGCGACGGCGTGGGCCTTTCCGCCCATATCTCTCCCAGGGCAGGACAGGCAGTATCTTACTACCTTGTTACAAGTTCCAACCGACTTTTGCCCCATGTTGAATCATCTCTACTCGGCCTCTGTCCCAAATCATGACCGACTTGACTCTTTTCCCGTGGAAAATGCAGTTGATGAATGGACAATCGATTGGGCCTCGTTCATCTTTGGTGGTAGCATGGGGGTCTAGTAAATAGCATAGAATAGTATAACAACTTGGGAATTGGATAACAGAGAACCCACAATGCCCAGGTAAACTAGTTTAATCTGACTATCATCAGCAAGACGGCACTCTGCTCCGCATCGGGTGCCATCATGATGTGATACGAGTAATATTCAGGCTAAATAAATCCACGCCAAGGAATTTTCAAATACGATTCCGTGATGCCTTTTCTCAGGGGGGCAAAGATCGACATCATATTTCGGAAGAGCCTGCTTAAACGCCAACAAGCCGGTCTATGCGTGGGTACACCCAAAGGCCAAGACCTGCATTCTCTTGGGCACCAATTAAAGTTTTCATCTTATGATTTCCGATGCTCAGTTCGCTTAAGTAGAGAATATCCCTAAGACTTGGAAGATCGGCCAGGAGCTTGATCAACTAGACCACAACTAATGCAATGGAACGACCGTGTCGCTTTTGGCAACATTCAATTCATTCTCATCGCCATAGAGATAGAGGTCATACTCCGTTCAACTCGACTTGTTCCAAAAGGCATTCCACCAACGACCGAGATCATAGGTTGGCATCAGGATACCCGCTGCCTTCCGCCGGGGACCCCTGCGTTGTCATGCAACGGTCAGCCAGTGTAATACCCTAGCAAAATGTGGGGAAGCCATGCAATATTCTTCAAGGAATAAGGAGACCGCCACTGTCGAAGGTGGCTTTTCATTGCCCGGGGCAGCTGGTAATTCTTAACATTTACTATCGACAGTCACTCCTGCCTTCCCTAAATTCCGGATACACTCGAGTATGGCACAATTTCGGAATTCGGTATACAAGTCTAGGTTATTTAGAGTCTACCACATGTCCAATCTCAATGGTCTTGTCAGAAAGCCCCGCAAACGATCGACACGACAAGCCAAGCCCCCCTGGGTCACCCTTCATACCATCTTCACCCCCGAATGCTTCAGGCTCGAGTTCGGGCCCAATCAGTAATATTTGTACCCGCCCATCAAGCGTTGGGCTTTAGTGAGTCCACTTGGAGTTAGGATCAGTCAATTTCGTTTCGTACTTGTCTTGGAGTTGATCAAGTTTACATGCGACGGTAGCCTCCTTAGGGCTATCGGTAGATGCGCCGATCATGAATTGTGTGCAATAGAGCTTAATAATTGCAAATATGTAGCCGCATTCTAGAAGGAAATAAGTTTAGTTGTGTTTTCTTCAGTAGAAATTGCTGCCAGCACTCTACAATCCACCAAAACCTATCCATGCCGATCAGCAAACCTCGCTCATCAACACCAGTGTACCTGTTTCGAATTAAGATATGGCTAGGTACAATCATTGGGAAAATGTGTTCTGGGCGCCTGTGAGCTGCGCTCTCATTGAAGGATATTTAGTCTGTTTTGCCCCGAGTCTCTGGCCGAATATTACCGGGGAGGGGCAACGTCGCCGATCTGAAACGCTCTATACCCGAACGGTCGTACAGATGCTTCAGAAAGACTCACCAGCCTGGATCTAGCTATGTTCGCAATGATCTGTCCCACTGGTCCAGCCACGTTCTGGGAAGGGCTTCTAGTTGCACTCTTGGTTGGTTTAGCCCCCCACTGGCGTCTCATGACCCTGGTACATACTCCGCAAAGATTGTTTGTGGCTCCAGATGAGACGCCAGGCCGGAGAACTCTATCATTTAGCAGCCATAGGCAATGGAATGCCCTGGCGCTTTGACATTCAGTAGTAAAAAAAAGGAAGACCAAGAACAATGTTACCCCAGACAAACGTGGTTCGGGGATTGCTCCGTGGGTTTAGATATTGAAACTGCTAGTGCATGACTAAACGCTTCACTTCATCTCCAGTCCAGATCTGGTCTTGACAACGCTTTGGTTGAAGATCTTTCCCATCCTGACCTGGGCGACTGATCCACTCTCAAATCAATGCATTACACCGGTCATCACCCAATCTGGAATCCCCCGTTGCTTAGATGAAGGGTCCTGTCCTGCCAGATTGGGGACGGTCTCGCGGTCCGTCGCACCGTCAGGATGCGGCGGAAGAACTTGTTTGAGCCGTGCATGGCAAGGGAGAGGTGGATATCGGTTCGGCGGAGAATGGTATAAAGATGGCATGGGAGTGCCCCGGTTGCTTCTTTTTGTTCATCAGCTGCAGGACAGACGACCGACAACTACATTCATTCCCTTCCTTTCACCAAAGATGCAGCAACGCGCACTCCTTCTCTCTGCCCTTGTGGCAGTGGCTCGCGCCCAGCAGGCTGGCACGCAGACCTCAGAGAACAAGCCCTCTCTGACTTGGCAAAAGTGCACGGCCAGTGGCTGCACTGATCAATCCGGATCCGTCGGTATTGATGCCAACTGGCGTTGGGTTCACTCGACCGACGGAACCACCAACTGCTACACCGGCAACGAGGTGAGTTGAATCTTGCCCGCGCAGGGAAATCAAAGGTCAGAAGCTGACATTCAATTTCTCCTATAGTGGGATGCGGATCTCTGCCCCGACGACGAGACCTGTGCCACGAACTGTGCCCTGGATGGCGCAGACTACTCTGGCACCTATGGTGTGGAGGCTGACGGCGACTCTCTGTCGCTGACTTTCAAGACCGGCTCCAACGTCGGTTCTCGTCTGTTCCTGATGGAGGACGACAGCACCTACCAGATGTTCAAGCTGCTCAACCAGGAGTTCACCTTTGATGTTGATGTTTCCGCTCTTCCCTGCGGCCTCAATGGCGCTCTGTACTTCGTTTCCATGGATGCCGACGGTGGCTTGTCCAAGTACGAGAACAACAAGGCCGGTGCCAAGTACGGAACTGGCTACTGTGACTCGCAGTGCCCCCGTGACCTGAAGTTCATCAACGGACAGGTTAGTTCCATATAGACCAAGGATCATAGCTCGGTCATCATACTGATTAACTGAATAGGGTAACGTCGACGGCTGGGAGCCCTCCGACAACGATGCCAACGCCGGTGTTGGTGGGCACGGCTCTTGCTGCGCGGAGATGGATATCTGGGAGGCCAACAAGATCTCCACCGCCGTGACCCCCCCACCCTTGCAAGGAGGCTGGACAAACCATGTGCGACGGCGACAGCTGCGGTGGCACCTACTCGTCCACCCGCTACGCCGGTACCTGTGACCCTGACGGATGTGACTTCAACCCTTACCGCATGGGTAACGAGAGCTTCTACGGCCCCGGCAAGATTGTCGACACCAGCTCCAAGATGACCGTTGTCACTCAGTTCATCACTAGCGACAACACCGCCACCGGCACCCTCAGCGAGATCAAGCGTATCTATGTTCAGGACGGCAAGGTCATTGCCAACTCGGCTTCCGATGTTAGTGGTGTCAGTGGTAACTCAATCACCTCGGACTTCTGCACTGCGCAGAAGAAGGCCTTTGGTGATGAGGATGTTTTCGCTAAGTACAACGGCATGTCTGGTATGGGTGAGGGACTGGAGCAGGGTATGGTTCTCGTCATGAGTTTGTGGGATGACCACAACTCCAACATGCTCTGGTTGGACAGCACCTACCCCACCGATGCCACTGCCTCTGACCCTGGTGTTGCTCGTGGTACTTGCGGTGCTGACTCTGGCAAGCCTACCGACGTCGAGTCTGCCTCGGCTGATGCCAAGGTGGTGTTCTCGAACATCAAGGTTGGCGCCATTGGTTCCACCTACTCTTCTTAAGAGAGAGGTACTGGGATAGAGGAATTGGAGAGCTGGGAAGCTGAGGGACTGTGATTGATCTTGATAGATCTAATCGGGTTGCTAAGTCTATGCGGGGGCTGCTGAGTGTGGTTGTATGTATTCCTTCACTTCTTTAGAAAGAATGACTCCTTTGGGGGGTCTTCATATATTGCCCATTTGTATTTTCACTCGAATGCCTTTATTGTTGTCGTTGAGAGAAGAGAAGAGCAGAGTAGAAGAGTAGAAGAGTAGAAAAGTAGAAGGATAGAAGAGTAGTTGTTCTGTTGTAGAAAGTGCAAGTAGAAGCGGAAGATCTCTTCGGCCCGAAGAAAAAAAAAGGGAAGCTCCGAAGCTTGCGACGATCTTCAAAAGTTCAACGTTCAAAGTTCAAACTCTCCCAGCACATATTTCAACCATGTTTGAATCAATCTGTTCGCTTCCACTCTCGTCAGACCTGTTCTCTCAGGCTATTCACCCCCGAGAACCCGTGGTCGCCGTTGGTTTGGCCGCCGGCCATGTTCAGACCTTCCGCTTGCCATCGGAGGAGGAGGACGAGGATCATGCAGGCTCGTGCTGCTCGTCGCACAATGGAAGAGGACACATTGACACAATGTGGAAAACGAGGCGACACAAGGGCAGCTGTCGGTGCTTGGGATATGGAGTTGACGGCGAGACTTTGTACTCCGCCGGTACCGATGGTCTAGTTAAAGCTGCCAATTCCGAGACTGGCAAAGTGACCAACAAGATCGCAATTCCTTTGGAAAAGAACGGGTATGAAGATACTGTGCCCCTTTGTACGCAATTGAATCATTTTCATCTAACAATTCTGGCATTTTCAGCTCCATCGATGCGCCGACCGTGATCCACGCTCTCTCCCCCCCAGACTCTTCTACTTGCTACCGACTCGAGCGCTCTACACCTCTACGACCTGCGCATCCCCTACTCCAAGGTCTCTGTTAAACCCGAACAGTCCCACCACCCTCACGACGATTATATCGCTTCTCTCACTCCTCTCCCGGCCTCCGATACCAGTACCTCGGGATTCAGCAAGCAATGGGTCACCACTGGCGGCACTACTCTCGCCGTGACGGATCTGCGGAGAGGTGTCCTGATGCGCAGTGAAGACCAAGAGGAGGAACTTATCAGTTCGACTTATATCGGTGGTCTTCCCACCAGCGGGACCAGCCGCGGCGAGAAGGTCGCAGTAGGAGGTGCCGGTGGTGTCTTGACTCTTTGGGAGAAGGGCGCTTGGGATGACCAGGATGAGCGAATCTACGTGTCTCGCGACGCGGAGGGTGGCGAGTCTATCGAGACCATGGCGGTCGTGCCGGATGAGCTGGGCCACGGCAAGATGATCGCTGCCGGTCTTGGGAACGGTCTGATCAAGTTTGTGCGCATTGGTGCCAACAAGGTTGTGTCAGAAGCCATTCACGATGAGACCGAGGGTGTTGTTGGTCTTGGATTCGATGTTGAGGGTCGCATGGTCTCTGGTGGTGGACAGATCGTCAAGGTCTGGCACGAGGCTATGGAGATTGAGGCTGGCGATGATGAAATGGCTGGCGGCAAACACTTCCTCGGTGATAGCGATGACAGCGATGACTCTGATGATGATAAGCAAGAACAACAGAATGCGGATCGCAAGAAGCGCAAGAAGACCAAGGGCAAGGACCGTAGTGGTGGACAGCACGTCATGGGATTCGCCGATATGGACTGATGCTGCATGACTTTCAAGTTCAAGTTATTTTGATACCCTGGAGAACCCGAAAAATGTACATTATTAGCCGAGAGTATTTTGATTAAGATCGGACTCGGAAATACTAGTAACCTTGGAAGTTAGGAGAATTCACATCCGACTGGCAAAATTATATCCGAAACTGCTGAGAGTGAGCTTATTCATGCTGACCTCAGCGGGGGATTTCCGCCCTTCTTCATTCTTCTTCACCTACAACAAACCACAGAACTGCATGGAAACAAGCGTATAATTGCCCAGGTGAAGAAGGAATGGAAATACAATTTCTTCTCGGGATATGCATTCAAATGAGACCACCATCTCCATACTGAAAGACCATCGGAAGGCTGCGCTGTGAGAACTGCCGACTCGACCCCACGGCCCCACGGCCAACTATGACGCTGGGCGAATCCGGTGGGGTGTGGGGGGGAAGGCTTGAATATAAGATCCGACGAATCGCCCTGGAATTTCCATTGGTCTGCAAGTGACTATTGGAAACATCAAAATGGACGCCTTCGAGTACAACCCCAATCCCGGCCGCGTCGTCTTCGGCAGTGGCACTCTACAGAAACTGCCTGATGAGATTGCCCGTTTACAAGTAAAGGCGCCATTGGTGCTGTCCACGCCGCAGCAGATCGGTCAGGCTGAGACCGTCAAGGAGGTCCTCAAGGGCCAGGTCGCTGGTATCTTCAGCGAGGCGACCATGCATACTCCGACTCATATTACCGACAAGGCTCTCGATTATGCCAAGGCCCAGGGTGCCGACTCGGTTATTTCCATTGGCGGTGGTAGCACCATCGGATTGGGTAAGGCAATTAGTATTCGCACTGGTCTGCCGCATATCTGTATTCCAACAACGTATGCCGGAAGCGAAATGACACCTATTCTGGGTGAAACGGCCGATGGCCTCAAGAAGACTCGATCTGATCCTAAGATCCTGCCCGGCACGGTCATTTACGATGTCGACTTGACTATGACTTTACCCGCGGCGATGAGTGCTACTAGTGGTGTCAATGCCATTGCTCATGCGGGTGAGTATTTGATTTCTTCCTCAGGATAGGACGGAGCCAGATCGCTAACATTTACTTAGTCGAGGCTCTTTACGCCCGCAACACAAACCCCATCATCAACATGATGGCCATCGAAGGCACACGTGCCCTCGCATCTGCCCTCCCTGAGATCGTCGAGGATCCCTCCTCGCAATCAGCCCGTTCTCGTGCTCTGTACGGTGCATGGCTCTGTGGAACATGCCTCGGTAGCGTCGGCATGTCTATCCACCACAAGCTGTGTCACACTTTGGGCGGTAGTTTCAATCTTCCTCACGCAGAGACTCACACCGCCGTCCTGCCACATGCTATTTCTTACAATGCTCCCAATATCCCCGAGGCTGTGGAGCTGCTTGCCGATGCGCTGCCGGACAGCAACGGTGATGCTATCCATGGCTTGAATGTTCTGTTGACCAAGCTTAAGGTTAAGCGTGGCCTAAAGGACTTTGGTATGAAAGAGGAGGATGTGGATAAGGCAGCTGATATTGCGGTCTCGAATCCGTATTGGAATCCTCGGGCTATTGAGCGGGAGCCGATTCGTGAGCTTATTCGCCGTGTTTGGGCGGGTGAGCCGGCGCGCGCCGATTTATAAGGAGTGTGGTGAACTTCGTATTAGCACTTTGAAACTATCAAACTACTTTGATTTACTACTTAGCGTCAGATCAAAGAAATATCTTCTTTGCTAAACAATTTGACAAGCCTAGAGGTGCATGTTGTAGTAATAAAGTGGTCAGGGCCAAGTAACTGACCACACAGTCTCATACATTCCCCTACCAACTGTTTGCTAGATTCTACCTGGCCCATTGAAATTAGGTTATATGAATCACGATCAAACAGGACTTTCAGCCCCCAGCCTCAACCCCGCATCAGGTGACCCCTGGGCGCTAAATCATACATGGCAAACATTATTAGGTATTACTGGCGCTGAATTTTAGGCATAACTATGATAATACAAATGGTGTTGCAAAAGTTTGAAACCCAATATTGCCCACCATGATTGGCCGCCTTCTAATGGGAAACTAGAGTAGTAGCTACCTGAGATGGAATAGATCGGCCAATCTATTCCATCTCAGGTAGCTACTAGTCCGCGATAGAGGGCGGAGACAAGAACGGTCAACATGGGGTTTCAAACTTTTGCAACGCCACTGTAGAAAGCTACCAAATACTATTAAAATAAAAGGGTTAATAGGTGTAGTTGTCACTTTGTCATAGCTCTCAGAGTATATCTGAGGATACATGTATATATCCAGTCTTTATACCAAGAAAACCTACAAAAGATCAGTAGAATAGAGCCATTTATAGAATAAATACTGGATCCACCACCATATACTGTAATACTCAGTAAAATAGAACAGAAGACTGACAAAATATTGGATTTGTATTTATATTATCAGAGACTGCAATACAAGATGGATTGAACAGATATAGAGAAAGATAGATCGTTTGCCGCAGCTCACGTTACAGAATCCATATTACCACGCTCTTCCCAATCAAATGCGGTGCGACCAACAAGACCAACAAAATTCTTTCTAGAGAAGTTGAGGCTTATTCCACCTCTTCCTCCTTGCTAGCGCCGAGCCAAATTCGCGCATGATTATCCGTGTCCTTTTCGTATTCGAGGCTCAATGTAGACAGGTGACTGAGGATAGTTCCAATGGCGATGTCGCCTTTGCTCTTCTTGGTGCGACCCAAGTCATCGAGCCATTTCCATTTGTTCAAGATGAAATAGACGAGGGCAATCACCACAGTCACGCCAATGCTGTACCCCCAACAACGGACGACATCGACAACGTTGGTCCAACCATTGGTGGTCTCCTTCAGTATATATTGATCAAAGGGATCGGTTATCATATCCCCATTCGAGAAAAAACCAAACAAACAGAAGCAGGTTGCGAGCGCATCCACGCCGAGGATGGCAGTGATCAGTGGCAGGGAGGGCCAAGTGCTGCCTCCACGTGTCACAAAGATGAGCCAGTTCTCCGTCAATGCGACCTCCAAGAACAAAATCTCTTGGATTGAGCCCCAATTCTGGAAGAACCCACCGTTTGGCAGGAACATCGTGCCGCGGATCACCCACGTCCCGAGTGCTAAGAGGACCCCGAGAATGACAGAGATAACCCAGATCTTCGGCAATTGCCACTGGACAGGTCGGCGTTCGAAGGATGCATTATCGTAGGCCACCGCGACTGTCGCAAGGTCTGCAAACAGTGCGATGAACACGACCAAATCAGTACGGATGCTTTCCTTGATAATGATCATGCTAGTAACTAGATAGACTTCGAGGTGAAAGCAGAGCGCAATACGATATTGAATATATGCTTTCATGCGTTGGAAAATTTGACGTGCCATCTAGCAGCAAGAGTCAGTGATCAATATGCAGAAATCGATTAGGTGAGCAGATCGAACCTTGATAGAATCGATAATAGTTGAAAGGCCTGGCTCGAGGAAAACGATATCCGCAGCAGACTGAGCTGCCTCCGACGCGCCTTCCACCGCAATACCACAGTCAGCTTTCTTCAGCGATGGGGCGTCGTTGACACCGTCACCCGTCATGGCTGTAAGATGACCAATCTCTTGTAGCATCTCAACCACTTGGTATTTGTGCTCTGGGAAAACTTCGGCGAATCCGTCTGCCTTCTCACATAATTCACTAGCCATTGCACCGCTAATACCACCACCAATAAGTCTTTCAGAGTTATAGACTTTCGTTCCCAATGCAAGCATTTTGCAAGTCTCCTTAGCGATGGCAATTGCATCTCCAGTCAGCATCTTAACTGCGATACCAAGGTTCTGCGATTCCAAAATCGTTTGAGCGGTGTCATCCCGGGGCGGATCGAACATCGGCAGCATTCCCAACAAGGTCCACGGTTCGTCACCCTTCTGGACGGCGACACCAAGCGATCGGAAGCCACGGCGAGCAAACTCCGTCGCCTGCTGTCGATATAGCGTGGCTATCGATTCCTCACAGTTCACCAACTGAAGCACTGCCTTTGGTGCTCCCTTCGTGCAGGTATACTTCTCGCCATTTAGCGTCACAACCGACACAATTCGCTTCGACACTGGATCAAATGGGATAAAGCTTTCCGTTTTCCACGGTTGCCGCAAGATATCCTTCGCTTTCGGATATTGGTTTGCTGCCAAGATGGTAACCTTATCGATCGGATCCAAAGAACGAACATTGTGAGAAGAGGCTAGAATTGCAACCGCAAACAACCAGTTGATATCAACGCCCTCGGCGACGTATGGCTCCTGGATACTGAGCTTGTTGGCAGTCAATGTTCCTGTTTTGTCGGAACAGAGGATGTCCACACCCTAGTCTGGGTCAGTGATGGGGCTGAAAATGGGTCGTGACTTGTTAGAGAAAGTCAAGCTAGGATACTTACAGCTAAAGACTCGATTGCGGTAAGCTTCTGGACGATCGCCTTCTTCTTAGCCAAAATAGCCGCACCGACGGCAAGGGTGGTGGTCGTGACAACAGGCAGCCCGACGGGCACGCCAATGATCAACAAAGAAAGGGTAAAATGCAGGAGGGTTTGTTGGGCGGGAGCAGCAATGGGAAGGTTACGGAAGAAGCCTCCAATCCACATGATCAAGATCCATGCCATGACAAGCACCAGCAGGGACGTACCAATCCCGTCCATGACTATCTGGAAGTGTCCTTTCCCGACAGCGCCTAGTTGAACCATCGCCGCCGTGCGACCCACAAAGGTCTTGGTTCCAGTCGCTTGAACAATGGCATAGGCCTGGCCTCGTTTGCATCCGGTCGTATAAAACACGTCATCACCAGCATAGCGGTCCACGGCGAGAGACTCTCCAGTAATCGCGGAGTGATCGCACGCCAGAACGGGGAAGTCCCTGTGTTCGTCATCTACGTCCGATTCCGATTCCTCGCCCTCTTTCTTCTTCTTCTTCTTCTCCAGCTTGCCTTCTTGCCGCATTTGCTGATAATTCTGCCAGCCTGTCTCTTTTTCTTGGTAGTCACAGACCACTTTGGCATCGGCAGGGACCGATGTCGCCTCTTCGATGATTATCTGAACATGACAAGATATGTTACTAGAGGTAAATGGTGAAGAAGACAGGTATCTCATCTTACCACGTCGCCGGGGACCAGTTCGCGGGCCAAGATATCGATTTCTGTCCCATTGCGAACAACTGTGCTACGCATTGCAATATCGGCCTTCAGGCTGGCTACCACGTCCTCGGCCTGCTTTTCTTGGTACCAGCCGACTGCAGCGTTCAGACAGAGAATGCCGATGATAACACCAAAGTCAATCCATTCGGCCAAACCGGCGGCGAGCAAAGCCGCGATCTCCATGACTGTTGAGTTCCAGTTAGTGTGTCACTGTCCGCATTCGATCGGCACGGATGCGATAGTCTCTCACCATATAGAATTGGGCCTTGAAAGTACCCTAAGATTTTGCGGAATTGATTGACTTTTTCTGCCGTCAATTCATTGTATCCAGTCACCTTCCGTCTCTCTGCGACATCCGAGTCCGATAGACCGTGATTGATGTCGGTGAACTTCCAGTCATCGGGGAACTCCTGTCCGACGCCAATGTACTTCCAAAGGAATCTTCTTTTCCGCCATGGCGCAAACCACACGCGACTCTCGCGAATTTCGCCTTCATCTCCGTGGTCTCTTTTCGTATCTCGGTAGGTTGACATCCATCGCACCAGGCGCGTGTATTCATCGATCTTTGCATCCTCCTTGTAGGAAATAGAAGATAATCGGCGCGCCCCAGCGCCATTTTTGACGTCGCGGTTGGGGTTGTATATGGACGACATTCTCCAAAACAGGCCTCGTGAGCGCACGAGAACAACGGGGATAGGGGAAGAGGGGAGGGGGTTGGATTTGGCATTCGCTACGATGATCGTCTCAGGAAGAGATCATCACTTACGAATCAAAACGACAGAGGTTGGACTATATGAGGAAGATGCTTGACGTAGAAATGACCCGACTGACCTGGAAGCACGAGCTTTTTCGAATTAAAAAAAGGTTTCGTCTTGATATCATCGATCTTTTGCTCGTGCCGGTTCAGAGAGATGAGGATGACGCCGAGAATGGAGGTTTGAAGCTCGCTTGATGTCCGGCTTACCCTAATCCGTCTTGTAGTCGATCGAAGCTAAAGCTACAGCTCGGTTCCGCAGCATCCAGGCGTGGGTGGCGATCCGGCGACATCCGTTAGATCTAAGCTCAGTACCAGGATTGTCATTAATGGAGTCGCAAGCCGGAAATTCTAGCCCTTCTTTGTCACGGAAGTCAGAGGACCGGAAAAGCTAGAGACAACTTCTCCCCCGCACCGAATTCTAGCCATCCAGAGTCTATGTTAACTATTGCTGGCTTCTTTGCCGTCTCTTCAACCCTAGATCTTCCCCCTCAAAACACTTCATTCGAGCACTCTCCCAGACTGCTCAACACCTCTGATCATCGCAACCACCCCTTCTCCATGTAAGTCATACTAGATCACGATCACGTCTTACAACCATGGCATACCTTTGGATTTCTGACTTGCCGAAGCTAGATTTAGCTCACGTCTGTTCATTACTCCCGAGAACTGCAGCATCCGATGGCTGTGATTCAACCTTTTCCCGCAAGGGGTGTCCAAGTCCGCGATGAGTTCGTCAAGCGCAATTGGGCCTCGCGAGAACCGGGGCCTATTCTCGTGTTTTGCATTGTCTTTATCGTGGGTGTTTTAATTCTTGCCCTTATTATACAAAAATCCGTGAAGGATCGGCGGGAAGAGCGCGCGAAATGGGAGATTACAGAGATTAAGGATTGAGAGAGGCGTTTGGCCGAGTAAATTTACGTACCTAGTTGTATCTCATTCTCCATGCTTTAGCTTGCGCTGTGCCTAATATCAAACAAATCTTCTGATTTTGAAATTCAAATGATTCTGTCAATCTAGTAAGTCGGTCCACCATGAATTTAGTGAGTCTAGCGGAGCATGCCATGTCGATTCTTCCATGCGGTGAATATTGCCCCACACATCCAAAGATCCGAAGTAGCCGAGCTGGTGGAGAACCCCCATTGTTCCCCAGCCAGTGCGGAGACAGAACCTAAAAATAAGCTATATGTATATTGTCACTCGTCCAGATGATCTCAAGAGGAAAATTTCCCGTTTTTTCCCGCCCTTTCTTAGGGCCAGGTCTGGGCTTGATCTGACTGACGACACACCACGGAACATGCTCGGCTCCTTTGTCCCAGATGATTGACTTTGCACCATTTTCCGTTTTGAACATGATAGATCATATCTTGGATAGGGTGCTGAGGCTGCTGGTACAGTGGTACCAAGCATGATGACACTATGATCTTGCCGAGATGACCCTCTCACGACTCAAATGAAGTGTGGCGCTTCCTCCATTGAGGACAACTGCACTTTTGCACTGATCTAGACCCGTTCGACCGGGACACTTCAAATTAAGCTTCTCCATTCCATGGCAACCTTCTACATTCCCCGCATGTTCACTCTCAGATGATACAGCGGTCAAAAGTGTCCAGTTCGATGATGTGCTTGTTCAGAAACACGCAGGAGGGCTATTTGTCTCCTAATCTATCCGTGGCAGAATATTATTTCAGAAGGCTCGACGGCGATGGATTCGATCTGAACCGCCTCGATTCCGTTGAACAACAAGCAGCCCTCGACCATGTTGAAGCACACGCAAATCGCAAGCGCAACGTCGGAAGTATCTGTTGCCTTATTCCCGACAAGAAATCGTAACAAAAACGTTCGCAAGCCTCTCAAAGACCCCCTGCGCCCAATCGGCTTACGCTATGAATACATGGCAGAGCAGAAGACGCACCTCACCCTGTATCCAGTCGGCAGTGCCGTCTCCGAATGCGCCTATTCCATCCAAGATGAGGATGGCGCCGTTCTCTTCACCGTCAGCGGGCGAAGATGTAGCCCGCATTGCTGCCGGGAGGTGCGAGATCAATCAGGGCTACCCTTGTTCGAAATCCATCAACGATCGCGCTGGGTGCGCAATGCATGGTCCGTATCCCTTCCCGGTTGCCGGACGAACCCCATCGCCGTCGGTCGGCGCAGTCTCGGCGGAGATATGCATCTGGAGCTAGAGAACTTGTTAGAGGTAGATTGCAACGTGAAGGACCGCAATTTACCCATCGACCTCGAGAGTCATGGCCGGGTTCTAAAGATGTATGACGTGGTGGATGGAAACCGTAGAATACTGGAAATCAAAGAGAGTATTCGGTATAATAAGAAATTAGCGTTGCTGTCCATCTGCAAGGCGGGATATCGGCCTGCCATGGATATGGTGATTATGCCAGGCGTGGATATGGCCATGGTAAGTCTTTCTACTTAGCTGAATTGCATCAATATGGTCTGATCAAAAACATAGGCGGTAGCGATTGCGGTGGTTGTATCTGCATCGAGTTTTCCGGCCAACCGGAGTTGCTAGTGAGTTGACGATGTCTGATGGTGATGGATAGAGCAGGAGATCAGGTTATGACATGAACTGATGATTTTCCACAAATTTTATGGGTTTGCGGCGAAAGCAAGGCGTTCGGTGTTTGTGAAACCATTAAGTATGAAGAGCCATATTTACCACGTTTTGAGATTGCTCTATCGTCGATCCTCTACCCTCTAACTCTAACTCCTGGGGGAAATTGCAGTCTGGCGCACTGTAATTAGGGTTTAATTATTTATAACTAGGGGCTTAGGGAAACATAAGAGGGTGCCCTGGAATATTCTTTGCCGTGGACTGCAATTACGATCCCGAGTATTCTACTCGTTTAATTTTCAAGTTGAGCTCCAAGGTTCATCGAACGATTTCTGAGGTAGGTACAAGGGTTCAAAGGTAGAGAATTATTTTTGAGAGGCACGGTCGGCCGCGCCACCACCACCACCACCACCACCACTCGATCCATCACCTAGGTACCGCTTTGCGTGATTATACTTTTTAACTAGAGATATCATTCAGTAGTACTCACGATGACCAACTTGACAATTTAAGAATTTCCTATTCTATACGCAGAAATATTGACCAATTAATCACACGCACTTTTCACAAGACATTCACAAAATTTGAGTCTGGAAACACAATAGAATTAGGGGAAAATTGGGATATCGACAAGGAGTCAAATCTAAAACGTCATAAAATCCCTTTATTTTCCAGAAAACCAAGAACTGGTTGAGCTGACCAGGAGTGAAGGGAACATATCTGATATTTGGAGCGTCTGCAAGAGCAGCTACAGCCTTAGGAGCATCATAATGAGGCGTATCCCGACTCGTCTCAAATCTCGTCAGCTTACCCCAGACTTTCTCTTGCAAAAGAGGCATCAAAGGAATCAGAGGGGTATCTTTATTCTTAGGGTCATGGAGCCTCTTCACCCAGTCCCAGTATGGGATTCTCTGCACAGGATGCCCAGCATTATTGATGACCTCAACTGTCTTTTCCAATTTCACCGAATCAGAAGAATGCGGAGCCAAAAGGCTAAACGAGTTATCCAGGTTTTGGTTGTTGTTGGAAGCAATATGTAGCATGGCATCGCAGACATAGTCTGTCGTCACATATTCCATCCGTTGCCGAGGCAAGTGAGGAGAAACTCCCCGAGTTGAATCGACCCAACTATCAGACGAGCAAAGAAATCGTCTGTATTTCCAGCGCCCGTTTTGGAGTCACCAATGACAAAGCCGGGTCGATAGATCGCTGTCGGAACATCTCGATCACGAGCACGACGCACCATCGTTTCCGATGCCCACTTACTGGCTGCGTATCCGATGTCGTATGGAAGTCCTTTCAGGTTCGGCTCCAGGCTATCATCTTCGAAGCATCTGCCGGTGCCCAGAATCAAACCATTCGGACCCCATGCGTCAATACTGGAAGTGAAATGGAACGACTGTCGTCGGCCGGCAGTGGCGACTTGAAGTGCGTGCCTCGTGCTCAAGACGTTCGTTTCGAAATGAGCTTCGTAAGGCTCGCACAAATTTACTTTTCAAAATGAAGTCTTACTGTAGTATCAATTGAGGGCAAACAAAAAACGCCCTACCCTGAATACTAGTACTACGTGAGAAAAAAGATGAATAGACCGTCGAAGTGATGATAGTAGACCTAAGCAGCATAACTACCTCCCGGCTACTGAATATAATACCTTGGGTATACAGCTAAGATCCAACGCCCATCAGAAAAGATGTAAACGATATTTATTATTAGGAAGATATGAAATAAGTATCTTCTGCAATGCGAGATCGGCATTGTTCGTAGCTTATAATCTAGTTATAGATCATTGTCTATAGATCCAGGAATGTCTTGCCCCAAGCAACTTGCCATCTTCTCGCATATTAAACTTTAAAAAAGGATAATCCTGACCAAGTCTGAGCGGTGCTGTCGTATTTCTGATCAATTTAATTTACAATAAGTATACAATAAGTATAAAATAAGTATACAATAAGTAGGTTGCCGGTTGCTGGACAAGCTCTGCCAATCGGGGGCGGGTGAATTGTTATCGGCGGGGGAAGTGGGGGAATTCCATCGGATACTTTTTTTGGAGAAAAATTTCCCATCCCACTTTGAATCTCTACACCCCACCACTTCACCTCCCTCTCCCCGCAACCACAAACAATATGGGCTCTGAAATGGAGGCAGCCCCTGTGCTGTCAACCCCGGATGATCGAATCCTGGAGGAAGCCCAGCCTATCGCCCCCGTCGATCCCACAAAGCGCATCTCCGACAACGAACTCTCCATCACCTATGACGTCGAGCGCACTCTCAAGGAGATCCGCCAGGCGCGTTATAAGCGCATCGCCCTTCAATTCCCCGATGATATGCTCCCAGATGCCCCGCGGGTCTTCCAACTGCTTAGCCGGGGTCTGAATTCGGAGGAAGCCGTCGCGAATGGCACCACTTCTGCTGGTCAGACAAACGGTGGCGCCACAGTGGTGGAGGACACTGGTAGCATCACTCAGGGAGTGTCTCAGCTTGCGGTAGAGGGGCAGGGGCAGGTTGAAAAAGGGTCACCCCGGTTGTATATTCTGGCCGATACCTCATACGGAACCTGCTGTGTGGACGAAGTGGCTGCCGAACATGTGGATGCAGATGTCGTGGTACACTATGGGAGATCTTGCCTGTCACCCACGGCCAGACTGCCGGTAATCTACGTCTTCACCTGCAAGCCGCTTTCCATCGATCCCGTGGTTCAAGCCTTCAAAGAAACCTATCCCGATACAACGACTAGACTGATTCTAGCTGCCGATGTTACCTACACCCACCATATTCCGGCGCTGTATGAGCATCTGCTGAAGGAGGGTTATAGCAATTTGTTTGCTACGGATATTGTTCACGAGCCTTCATCAGCTATTCCGAATCGTACCGTCCCAGATTCTGTACGAGAGGCACCAGAGACACTGTCGGAGTGGCAGCTGTTCCACGTCTCCGACCCACCAACTGCCCTCCTCATGACTCTTGCGTCGCGTGTCGCTGCCATCCATATCTATCCCACAGAGACCCAGGACAATGAAAACGTCAAGCCATTGCCAGCATCCACATCGGCTGCTTTGCGTCGCCGCTATGCGATCACGACGCGTCTAACCACCGTCCCGATTTGGGGCATCCTGATCAACACGCTGAGCGTCAAGAATTACCTACACATTGTGAATCACGTCAAAGAACAGATTGCGGCCGCCGGCAAGAAGAGCTACATGTTTGTCGTGGGCAAGCTGAATGCGGCCAAGGTAGCCAACTTCAGTGAAATCGGTGGGTGGGTGGTTATTGGCTGCTGGGAGAGCTCGCTGGTGGACAGCAAGGATTTCTGGAAGCCGGTGATCACGCCGTTCGAATTGGAACTGGCTCTGATGGACGACTCCGAACGGGTGTGGACTGGGGCCTGGCAGAGTGATTTCCAGGCCATCCTCGACAAGCCACAGGAGGAGTCGACGGAACGGGAAGAAGCAGCGGATGGTGCAACCTTGGACGATGATGATATGTCGGAACCCGAGAGTGCACCGCCGGAGTTTGACCTGCGCACTGGACGATACGTCTCGCATTCCCGGCCGATGCGAGATCCCGCACCCCACGCTTCTGCTGCTCAGATCAATGGATCGACCGGTCCATCCGCTGCTAGGGCATTAGCCCGACGGGCTAAGGGGGACCTAGCGATGATCGGCGGGGCGGTTTCGCCCGGTGCGGAATTCCTACGATCGCAGCGAACGTGGCAGGGACTGGGCAGTGATTTCGATATTCGATATGATGAGGAAGGGGAAGAGGATGACAGCACCTTGGTTAAGGAAGGACGCTCGGGTATTGCTCGGGGGTATACGGTGGGAGAAGGCGAGAAACACTAGACTGCCAGTGTGTATGGCAGTGATGCATCCAAGAGTGACCGTGACTTTGCCAAAGTTATCCATGGATGAGATGATGACCACGGAGCCACTGGCTAGCAAGTATAAAACATAAGTATGTATATAAAATAGATGAAATGGCCATGACCCCCGTTCTTTACGAAGTACCCTATTCCCATTGTGGATGCTATTGTTTCAAAGTTCCTATTGTAATAACATCAACCCCTGTCATCTCCCTGTCCGCATTTCTGTGAAATTCCTCAAGTTCAACTTGAAGTTCAAGGTTGAAGCTGGACTGCTCACTTTTGTATAGCATCACATGACAGTCACATCCGTCCAATCAGTCCGGTCCAGAAGAACTTCGCATGAACTCTTGAGCTTTCCTCTTCCTCTTCCTCTTCCTCCTTCAATCCTCAGTCTTCGCTCTTATCTTCGCTTTTATCCTCATCACATCCTCATCATTCCCCCCCCTTTTCATCCCCTCCCATCTCATCCTCCCTTCCACTCCCTCTTCGTCCCCCCTCTCCCCCCCACTCTCTCCCTGGCTGCCCCTTAGCGCCCCAAAGCGACCCGATCCACCGCTTATCGATTGCCCCAGTCCGGGCGCCTTGCAATCTCCAACGTGAACGTTGAACTTGAAGCATTCAACTCGCAATTTCATGGCCTGCGATGCATGTTTGCCTTGAGATGTGACTGTCACACTATCCAGTTCGTCTTATCATGACCTGCGCTTGCTCTGGAACCGTCCGCGACTTCGCGTTCCTCGACTCTTCCGCATTATGGACGTTTGCGCCAGTCACGCTGCCGGCGCCAACGCCGAGCAGGCTCAGGCTGGACAGGCAACTCCTACTGAAGTGAACATCGCGGTGGAGAATGCTCGAGATCTATCCGAGATACGATTTGATCGAGTTCTGTCACAATTTGAACGATGTATTACTTTTAATGCTCCCGTCCTCGAATCACTCCTCCTCCAGCTTCCTACCGACACTATCTTCAAGCTCTACCAAACCTCCCACTACCTCCGCACGTTTTTTCGATCCTATCCGACCGCATGGAAGTCCCTCTCCTTCCGTTTACTGTATCCTTCAACGCCGTCAAGCCTACCCCAGCTCATCCCGCCAGCCACGTTAGATCGCGAGGCGCAAGTCGCACCTGAGCGACAGTCGCGACCGTATGCCTTGGATCAGCTGTTGATGAACGTGCTGGCTCCCTTCACGACGTGCCTCAGGAGCCTGGAATTGGACAACACGGCTGTATCGGGGCAGATTCTCGTCTCGACGGTGATGCACGCACGCTGTGAGACCCTGGAGCATCTCTCGATTCGCGGGTGCAAACATGTCTCTCTCAAATATCACATCGTTCCGTATTTGAACCTGCTTGGACTACAGCAGGATGTCGACAAAGCGACGAGTTTCGGCTCTTCCCAACCCAAGAAGCGCCTGGCGCTTAAAAGTCTGTACGCATACCGGTCACGTCACCATCGCCGACGCCCTTATCTCGCTTCGTCAATATTCCGCAAAGACTCCGATGCTGAACCGACCCACGAGCTCGTTAACCTCTGCCACAAGCTGGGGATTTGGACCGATACAGCCTGGTGTACAACACCTGCCGGCAGGTGTTTCCGCAGGCGCGGGTATGTCGCGATGCGAGACCCGCAGGGCATGACAGAAGCCTGGGTTGCGTTCGATCGACTCTGGCGGTGCAAGAATTGGATTGGACCATATAATGGCGACGGCGAAGCATTGGAAACCTGCAGCGGTAGGCTCTGGGAAAGCGAAGACACTGGCTGTTTCGGCGAAGCGCTAGGTAGCGGCGAAGGTCCCGAGGCCGGCGAGGGCAAAATGGTGCCCGCCCATCTTCGCCGCAGCCATAGGCAATTTGTCCACGATGTCAAGTGCGATAACTGTGGTGACGAGATTCAAGAAAGATGTGAGCAGTGCAGTATTTTGATGCATTGCGTGGGATGTCGCAAGACGCTCTGCGCCAGCTGTGCCTACGAGCGACCATATCTTCGACAAGAAGCTTCATTTATGTCTTCGAGCAATCCTCATAATACCAGCGCTCATTCACACTCTACTGCCCAAGCCCATCACAGCACAAATACATCAGACCCTTTATGGTGGGCACCGGGGGCTGTACACTCTCCCAGCTCGATGGAAGATCCCATATCAAATTCACTCGATGGCAACCTTTTACACGGACTACCGCGCACGCCGGACCCCGTGCTCAGATTTCACTGGTGCTGTGCTGAGCCCTACTTTTCTGGAGGAGGTGGCATAAGTATTGGCACACCCAGTCGTGATGTAGACCAAGTGCGGGCAGTACCTTTACCTCGGAATCAGGGTTGGGAAGATCTAGAGTATACCGTCAGCGAGTGGAGCAAGACATTCCCAAAGTATGCCTATGGCGATCCCAGCAAGCCGGACTACACACTGGAAACAGGTCATCTTGCGATGATGAAATGGCTGCTGGGGCCTCCCGGCCGAAAAACTTCGCCTTGCCCTCGCAATCTTTGCCAAGAATGCTACGACTCTCCTCAGTGGAAGGTGCATTGCAAGAGTTGCTCCAAGCCTCTCTGCATCGAACACGACCTGCGTGGGCTTCGATTGCGCATCTGTGGTTACAAGGAACTTGGATATGAGAAGCTGACCATCCAAAATCGATCGACAGTCGCTACTGCTGCTGCTGCTCCGTCATCTGATGCCCAGCCGAGCCAGCCCATGCCAACTAGTCATGATCTGCCTTTCCGGACGCAACGTCTAATGGATTCAACCAACAGCAGCTACATTGACGGACCACCGGGCGATGCGCTCGGTGACGAAGACCTCTTCGAAACGCCGAACGATCACGGATCGACTCGCCCTCTCTTTCCACGAACTCCCACTCTCTCATTCTCTGCCCCACCATCCAGTAATTCCGGATGCTCTTCCCCGTCAACCAGCTCTTTTGAGTCCACGATCGAGGGGTCACGCTGGCAAGGTTGTCAGTCCTTCTTTTGCCCCAAGATCCGTGCGGCTGGAGACCGTCGCCAGAGTTGCCCTAGCTATCTCCGCCAATGCAAAGAATGTGCCGTCTTCGTTTGCCAGGACTGCGTCCTGGCCAACCCGCCCTGCAAGTGTGCCTACTGCCAGGATAACTACAAGTGTCCAAACTGCGTTTTAAAAAACACCAACCCTGGCGGGCCCTGTCGCCGTCAGGAGGATGAAAAGGCACGGAAGGAGCGGAAATGGAAAAAGGATATGCAGGAGCTGGAGAAGATCCTCCAACTCAAGCTGGCCAATGAAGTTGCCGAGTTTGCGGGCCAATTCTTTGACTCTCTCGAACTTGACCATGACCACGTCCATACCCCCGCGGTCCCCGTGGAAGTTCCGATCAACTACCCCCTGGCTGACGGTGCTTCTGTCCCGACCGCGTCTCAGAGAGTTCCGTCTGGATTGACCGATATGACGATGACGATGGAGCCTGGTCTGTTCATCGATCCGGATGACATGCCTCCGCTTTGTGAGTCGGAGTAGACCCTCACAAAGACAAACGAGTGATTGCGCCACTTTCACACCGTTCTTCACATCTACTCTGTTGATTTTCCCACCTTTTTTGCAATCTCTTGGTTTCATTAGCGATTTCATACGATGGCGTCAGCGGGCGTGCTATTTATCTTCAACTTCTTCGTCTTTGTCCATTTATCCCTATCCCTCCCATTTCTCTTTCCCTTTCCATCTTTCTTTCTTTATTATTTTTATGGCCCCGCGCAACTCTTCCGAGGTTCGGATCCATGGAGCCAGTTCCTCGAAGCAAAGCACATCGCGATCAATGCATCGGCAGGCATGAACCCTGGTGGTTTCCGAAGTATTGTGGACAGGGGACAGGGATCATCAGCTTCTTTATTTCTACGCCCCGATCAACCCCTCCTTTGAACTGGACCAGGTCTGCATCGACGGGCACACATCACCGCATCATACCGCGCCCCTCGTCCTACTTCTAGTTCATCTCGTCTTCAAGAGGCAGGGGCGCAATCTGCGGGAGGGGGCGATGAGAATTGTGGACCAATAGACGCAGGCACAGGCACTGCACCGACCGCATGCGAACGAAAGGGCCAAAAAAGCAACCGTTCCTCTTTCTACGCCCCATGCTCATCACCCTGGCCATCATCTTGGGCTGCGGTATGGTCAGGGCAAGGCTGGTCTTCCCACTGACATCATCTCGGGCTGTGACCGTTACTATGTACTCCGTACTCCGCATATGGAAACGAATGTGCTCAAGGGCTATATTTTTATTTCTTTTTATCTCTCGATGTTTTGTGATATTGTGGTGCTTCTCTTTCTACCAGACTGGAAACAGGGTTGATTCCAGGTGTAAGCACCACACTACTCCTTCTCTCTAGATTTGCCGGGTCTCTTATGTATATTGTTAGTATTTACAGCTACTACTAGTAGTACTAGTCAATCTACTCCCCCGCCCGGGGCTGCATCTTTACCGAATCGAATCGAATCGAGGGCCAGTGGAGCTCAGTGGACTACACCTGGCAAATACTACTAGTACTACTGCCCAGGCAGCTATTACTGCAGCTATTGCTGCTTCTACTACCACCGCCACTCCTGCCACTAGTATCTTGGTCAACACGCCAAGTTACTAGTAGGGTACCTTAGAGCTACAGTATCCATCAGCTCACGTTCCTGGAATAGACTCGGATATTGGCATTTCAGGTTTGCCGGTAATTCTAATTCTCCGGAGTATGTCCGGATTCCTCTGCATAAAACCTTTGGAAATCGACCTCGAAACTTCAAACAGAATAGATACATCAAAATCCCAAGCCACCGAAATCCAGAACCTGGAACCTGGAACCTGGAACCTACTGTGGAACCCCCCCCAATTTCCCGACAACGTCTCCGTAGTACACACTAGGCTTACTGGTACATGCTGTAGATCGGATCGTGCCACCCGTCCCGGTATCCACAGTTCAAGAGCCCCGGCTGAGATGAACTGATCTAGAACTAGAACTGGTTAGATCGGACTGGACTGGGAAAAAGGGAAGAGAGACAGGTCAATAGTACGAAAAATAACAGGATACGAATCCGATTGGTCGGGAGAATCCCGCGCGAAGGATAACTGGTTCATCGACGCATTCCTTCGACTATCAATTCTCCACATCCTTACTTAGTTCAACTAGCTAGGGGGGGGGTTTGGGCCCTAAAGTCACGGCGTACGCCGGCAAACACTGTTTGCGCCGATGTACCGATTACAGTGCACTGCCACGCTTGATGCGCTGCGCTACCCTACCCTACGCTTCACCCCTAGATTGTGTGGGGCTGGCAATGCATAGATCGTACTTTGATCTGGACAGGTAACGCAATATGGGGTCCGGATATGGTAGCCCATGGTACATATGTTGGATGATCGGCGGCTGGTGGTCGTACTTTTGCTGAAGCAAAAGTCCCATGTTTGGTGGTCTGGTGATTGGATTTTGGTTTGCTTTGACTCTGCTGTACGAATTACAAAGCGCTCCGCCCGCTACGAAGGTATTTCAAATGGCTGATCTTTCTTGAATCAGGTTGCTTGCAATTGTTTGCTTCCGTGGCAGATTGGGATGATGTTGACGTGGCATTGCCTTGCTTCGTTGTTTTTCTTTTTCTTCCTTTCGATGCCTAGATTAATGTCTTTGATGTCGGTGTAAAGAATGGAGTATCATGAGAAGTATGTAGTCACTGATTTCTAAGCGAGGTAGCCCGATTCCTGGAATCGAAGATCCCGTTCGATGGCTTCGCTGGTTGTGATCGTAATGGATTGCATCGCGGGCTGCCTGAATGGCATAGTTCTTGTCTCCACAGAGCTTGTTTCCATAGGCGGATCGTAGATGGACAAAGTACCTTACCTTGTTGGCGGGTCAACTTCGGCCTTTCTGTATGGGTGCGCTGTTGAGGCGGTGACGTGCTGATCAAACATCGTCCTTGCCCTTGTTTGGGCACGAGACTGTTGCTCTCTGCGGGTTTTATCGGTGAGATCCAAGATGACTCAAATATCTCTATGGGCAACAGGGGCCACACTTGCAAAAAGAAAAGAAAGAAAGGGGGATCTGTTTTGGTGTTGCACTGTTTCAAGTTCAAGCTCAGGCTTAATCCGCGGTGAAGATGACTTGGCGATCCACTCTTCTTCGATCCTTCTACCTGGCTTCCATCTAATCAGTTAGGCTGGGCACTGTTGCTTCTGCTGCTTCTGCTGCTGCCGCCAAAATCCAGCGGGGTCAGTGCCCGTCGCTTGGCCTAAAGGAGAAATCTTGCCCCGACATGGTCACCCTGAAGACCAGCATTGTAAACCTTGGAAGTAGGCGCACAGACAGAGGCAGTGACATAGGCACTGGCACTGGCATGGTGACTGACGTCCATAGCGAATGTCGCGCCGAAACTTTGAAACTCCGACGCACGCGAGCCCGCGGTCAGTGAGCGAGTATCACACCGACAGGGCTGCACCGCTAAACTGCCGACATCGTCATTTTTTTTTTGCCCGTTCTGGTAGTAGAGGGCTGAGGCCCTGTCAGATGACGGGCAAAGAGTCGGTCGGGTACGTGTCTCCACGTATCTGTATACCCAAAGCACATCCGCCAGTTAAGTTGAGCCCGAGACTGGGGGTTTGAGCCCGAACCCGGGCACCACCAGGGTTCAACGGAGATGCATTTCCGATGCGACGCGGTCAAGATAGAATGTATAACGGACATCGGACAACGGCGCAGGGACAACAGGACATCAGTGTACGAGTATAGATCAATACTTCCACGTGGATTAGAAGATGCAATGTCCCGGGGCGTCGTTGATGGGAAGTGGAGAATTCCTCTATGCAGGATGATTGGCAACAACCAAAGACAAGACGGAAGGAGATAAACTGGAATATTGTTCGGGCGGTCTATCCGAGATGAGGGGTGACGAATGAGATGCTGCATCTACACTGCGACCTTGTCACCATTTTTCCATCACCTCCTACTCGTACTCGAAGACAGGGGTGCGCAGCACCAAGATGCAGAAATCGGGCGTGGATCACCTGGAATCAACCTAACCCAACTGCCCGGGCCCAGCGACGCCACTTGATGGGAGGCGTCATCTTTCCCCCTTTTTTTCCATTCTTTTCTTTTTTGGTTTAGGTCCAACTCGGAGGAGTTCGTTTTCTGCTTCTTTCTATCCCAGTGCCAACCCTTTAGGCGTCAACCTAAGGGAAAGGGACCGGATACCAGATCGGTTGGCGCGGAAGGCAAAGTAAAAGCCCCCGATTGGCGCGGGATGCGCTGGAGTGTCGCAGGGAGAGATCCTATTAGTCTCTGAAAAGGCGGGTGGATGGAGGGGGGGAACACAGATCACGCACAGGCACTGAGACTGACATCACAGCAAGACTGGTCTGTGGGCAATTGATGGATGGCCAATAGGAGATAGTGGGTATGCCAACAGCAGGTTAGGCGGACCGCTCAGCCGAATCCAAGGGGAAAAGGTGGAGGAGGATGTGAGTGGTTGGAGGTTCGAAGGAAGTGGAGGAGAAGTTCAGCTTGGGAGAAGTCGGTGAGGAGGAACTCGTGACGAAGACGGAGCAAACAAACATCGTTGGATTGCGAGTGATGATTAAGAACCTTGAAATTAAATAAAGAATAAAAGAAAATAAAAGAAAATAAGAATTACATAAAATGATTTTTATTTTTTATTTTATTTTAATTAAGAATTCTGGATTTCCTTCGATCATTCCAGTATATAAAGGGGCCTCCTTCCGAGCCGCAGACATTTTTGACTCGAGCAGATCATACTTTGACAAGAGTACTTCTATTCTTCTATTCTACTCTTGACTTTTGACTTCTTCAAGTTCTCCGAGTATTCACTCTACTCTCTCAAGTGTACAACCCTGGCACATACTCTCTCCATACTCCATCACTCCCACTTCCACACACACACACACCATGGACTCTCTCAAGACAAAAGGCGTCGCCCCAGAAAAGAAGGACGACAAGCCAATGAGTGTCGAGCAATATCAGCGTCAATGGGAACAGCTGATGGACGACACAGCAAAGCAAATCCAAAAGATTCGAGGTAGGTGACATCTGATCTATCACCGTTACTCAAACCCTAAGTCCAACCCCAACCTGAACCTTCGCGCTGACCATCCCCCTTTAGACGATGAGCAAGCAAGGAAGGCCGCCCAGACCTCGCGATAATTTCATTTCATAACGTCACTGCGTCACTTCGTATATGTTGATCGGTTGATCTGGAGTTGGAGTTGGTTGTGTGGTTCTGTTCTGGATTCCACTGGGGCATGGGCATGGGCATGGGCATGGCATTTCATTATATTTCGAATTCACCTGGTTACTTGGTCGTCTCATATTCCCACTTGTTTGCTTTTCTTCTTCTCCTGTCAATATTCCCCTATTTTATCATCAGTCGGAGCGGACACTCGTTCGGGTTAGAGGAGTTTCTGTTCGGTTCTCAATACATTGGCTGCATCGCCACCATTTCCATTTCCACTTCCACTTCCACTTTCACTTCCAATTCAATCCTCCTTGCCGATCACCCTGAGGTATGCGTCGACATTCCCGAGATCCGCTGTCACCCAAAATCCAACGGCGCATGAAATGCAGCGGGTGATCAGCCCTGTCTCAGCGGTGTGTATCGCGATTGACAGCATTCCTAGCTCCATGCTGTTGGTCGATCCAGCTAGAGAGGAGCCGATTAGCGATGGGCCGTGCCATTTCCTGCTTTGGGCGTGACGATCTGTCAGGGATCGGCGGACGTTGACCGGTATGGTATGCAAGGAGGGACACGCGTATAGCGCGGCTAGGAGAAATTCGACAAAGTTGGCAGTGGGGTCAGCAGAAGGGAGTTTACGAAATTCGACAGAGCGGCCTCGCTAGAGTCGATAGAGTCGACAGAGGAGTTGACACTTGACACTGTGAAGTTGACAGAGTTGACAGTTGACAGTTGACAGAGTGAGGTAGACCGTAGTTGGTAGTCACGGAAGTGTGAACGAGTGGACCCCGCGCATTCCGCACTTCCCATCAACATCCACCACCAACACCACCACACCACACCACACCACACCACAACCATGGCCGACCAGGACCCTTCACCCGCAGACATCGCCCAGCGCGACATCGAGGAGAAAGAGCGCAAGGCTCGTGAAATCGCCGAACAGTCCCAGCTCCCTTACAAGTGGACGCAAACTATCCGCGATGTCGACGTGTCCGCTCCAATCCCCGCCAACATCAAGGGTCGTGATATGGAGGTCGTTCTGACCAAGACCAAGCTCAAGGTCGCCATCAAGGGCCAAGCGCCTATCATTGAGGTACCATTTTAGCCGTACCAGCTGTCATTGCCCATGATTCGCAGCTGGGCTACACAACGGCAATGCCAACTCAATGCTAATGCTATGCCACTACAGGGCGACTTCCCCCACTCCATCCTCGTCGACGAATCTTCCTGGACCCTCGAGACAACCCCTACCCCGCCTGGCAAAGAAGTCAACATCCATCTTGACAAAGTCAACAAGGTCGAGTGGTGGCCGCACGTTGTGACAGGTGCGCCCAAGATCGATGTCACCAAGATTCAGCCGGAGAACTCCAGTCTCGGTGACTTGGACGGTGAGACGCGTGCCATGGTTGAGAAGATGATGTACGACCAACGACAAAAGGAATCGGGTGGCATGACTAGCGACGAACAGCGCAAGGCGGACCTGTTGAAGAAGTTCCAGGCTGACCATCCGGGTGAGTTATGAGTTACGAGTTATCGACAGGAGATCGCATTGAAGAACTCATTGCTAACTCACGAGACTACAGAAATGGATTTCTCGAATGCGAAAATGGGCTAGGAACTGTATTGACGTATAAATATCAATGACTGCATCATATGAAATAACGAGAATGACATAGAATCTTGATCACTACTACAGTGGCGTTGCAAAAGTTTGAACCCCCCTTGTTGACTGTTCTCTTCTCCGCCTTCTAATGGGAAACTAGTAGCTACCAGAGATGGAATAAATAGGCCACCAGGTAGGTAGCTACTAGTTTCACATTAGAAGGCGGCTAGTAATGATGGGCAATATGGGGTTTCAATTTTTTTGCGAAACCACTGTATCCCTCTAGCCATTACTACACATTACATACTATGGATATTATGTACAATTACATTGATTATAACTATATCATACTAGTATATCATATTATTTCTCACTATTTCTATTTTTATTACCATTTCCACCCTTCTGCTGAATACGAGGTCGGTCCGTTTTTGGTCTAGCGTGCTCGTGACTCGACGCAGCGAACAGCGACGGCGAAAGGCGCTGCATCTTCTCCGCTGCTTCTCTCCTCTTTCGATCTTCCTTAGACCAATGGATTGCATCACCTTAATCCCGGAATCTATTTCTCGGATGAACGCCTGGTCCCCACTCGATCGCCCCGACTCACCGGGCGCACCCGTACTGGGCACCACTGCCGGCGTCTGATATAGATCAACATATCGCTTATGATAGATTGTATAAGGTTAACGCCTTCAGCTCCAATTCAACCCAACCATCCCATCCGGCTCTACCAGCCTGTTCCCACGATCCCGCACCGGTCTAGATCGTTGTGACTCATTTATCGAATCCTCCAAAATGCGCCACACGCAGTTCGACTCGTCGGGCCCCATGCAAGGGCATCGGAGCGTGTTCCGGGTGCCCAACTACAAACCTCAACCGACCGTCTCGGATGAACCATCTGAAGACCCAGCTGAACCGGTCTATCACACCCGTCGGACGCACCGCAAGTCCCGCGCCGGCTGTGCATCCTGCAAGCAGCGCCGAGTCAAGGTACACTGGAAATATACTCTTGCCCTATCCCTACCCTATCCCCGCGTCGATCTACCTGACTCGTGGGGCGTTCGTTGATTCTCGACTCTCCTAGTGTGATGAAACAAAGCCCCACTGTCTCCGCTGCCAAAAGCATGGCGTCGAGTGTAACTACTCGGCACCCGCTCGGAGCCGACCAGCCAAACACATCCTCCATCGGTTCCTCGAGTCTCGGCCTGACCTGCTTTCCGTAGAGTCTCTGGCGTCCTCCATGTCCCTACTAGTGGTGGCGGAAAAGTTAGATGAGCTACTACGGCCGGATTCTTTATCCTCCAGCTCAGATTCGTCTGCTTCGCCGCCTCCGGATCGAGCGCTGGAAGCCTTACATCACTTTCACCATGTCACCGTCGCGAGCGGCCAAGCGAACTCAGAGCTTGGCGTGATGATGGGGAAAGTCGCCCAGCTTGCATTCGAGGTAAGATCGGAATTCGGCTACGGCCAAGAGCCGGAAAACTCCTTCCTAAATCGATAGCGAAACCTAATCGCACTCTACGTAGTCCCCGTTATTGATGCACAGTTTGATTGGCGTGGCTACGAGTCACCTCTGCGGCGTTCTGCCGAACAATAGCTCCTACCGCGTCGCGGAATCGTACCATTGGCAACAAGCGATTCAAAAGTACACAAAGGAAGTATCATCCGGACTAACGGCGAAGAACATGGACCCGTTATACTCCGCCTGCATCATGATCACAATTCACAGCTTCGCCATCGAAGAATTCAACCCTCGCTCTTCATTCGTCTTCTCGGATGATCCCGCGGATCTGAACTGGTTGCGTCTGCAAGGGGGACTGCGCTACCTGCTCGAACGCACGAGGCTGTGGATGCCGGATAGTATGTGGTGGGCATACTTCATGCACTCCCAGGACGACCAGAATCTCAATTACGAAGATGACCGACCCGGCCGCATCGGTCTAGACCCGGATTTTGCAGATCTTTGTCATATCGATGAGGGTTCTACCGTGGAGAATAATGCGTATCTCTGGCCGCTACGGATGCTGACCAATTTACTTGCTCTCGAGCGTACGAAGCATAATTATCAGAAGTATTATAACTGGATGGGGAGGTTGGAGCCTGAGTATTATGATTGTTTGTTGAGAAAGGAGCCACCTGCGCTCATGCTTTTGGCTTGGTGGCTTGCGCTCATGACTGTTGCTGAGGAGTGGTGGATTGAGACTCGCATCCGTTCGGAGGGTACTGCTATCTGCATGAAACTGGAAGATAGTCGGGATCCCGTTTTGTTACGATTGTTGGAGTTTCCAGCCGAGTCTTGTGGGTATCTTCTGAGACATGTGCAAGAGCGGAATGTTGAAGAAATATTGGAGAATCCGCTGTTGGCGTAAATCAATGTTTCAAGCTGCCATGATTTATTGATATGGTGGTGGATGATGAAATTGTTAGATACCCAAGATTACTAATTTATTGTATCACTGCATCGGAAAAGGCTTTGGATGATTCTAGCTTCAAGTTCATATATTGTATTTCTTACCAAATGGCCATAGGATTGACTCTTTAAGAGTATAGTTCACTCTCGATCACTTGATTCTAGAAACCTCAAGTTCATCCTATGATCAAGTATCAGTAAAATGCACAATAAAATACCATCAGAAGTCAGTGACTGAAACTCACTTCCAATTCCCCGGGAATAATCAACCCCTTAACAGCCCAACTCTCCACCTTGGAATATCCGCGCATGAACTCCCGATACTGCGGCGCACCAGGTAGGAGGATATTATCCGCCACGACCAAAGCGCCAGACCGAAGAAGCCCCAAGCTCTCACAGACCTGGAAATCAGAAATATAGAGATCTTCAACATGATCCAAAAACAACAAGTCGACATAACTGAGAACACCCTCAGAATGAAGCTTTCGCAGAGAATCCGCCGCCGATCCCACAACGACCGTGACAATATCACTCAATCCAGCTAGATCAATGAGATTTCTCGCAATGTCCGCGATGGCAGGATCGAATTCCAGACTGAGAAGTTTTACATCTTGGCCCGGCTTGCTAGTCTGACGCATAGCGTGGCCGAAGCAGATGGCAGAGTATCCGATATACCCACCCAGTTCCACGAATACAGATGGTTGCTCTTTAGCAATGATATCACAGAGTTTGACTGCTTTATCGCTACCAATGTTTATGAGGAAATCCTCTTGGGCGGCGAACTCGTCTATGACGGCTAAAATGGCGGGTGGTGAGTTGCGGAGTTGAGGGAGAGAGGGATGGTTGTAGATGTATTTTAGGAGGGCGGCTTCGCGGCCATCGTGGGATTCGGTATACTTCTTGTTGGCGTATTTTGCGAGAGAGGGATATTTGGCAATGAGGTCTGGAGAGAGCATGTTCAAGTTGATTTTCAGTTTCAAGAATCGAGTGCAAGGTTCGCAAGGGTGTTGTGTGAAGGGGAGAGAGAGTATAGTTCGGCTTAAATAGTGTGGGGCGAGCCACGCGGGCTAACTTTGCGCCGGTTCGAGTTGTCTTACTACGGTACTTCAAGCATAATAGGGTGCAGACAGACCAAGTTAATGCAAACTTCTGGTAGTTTGCGCGTAGTGGTTAGTCCCAGGACTCTCATACTCGTGGATATCAGTGATCGGATTCTGTCGGACTTCCGTCTCAATGTTATACAGTACGCTCTCCAGATGGATATTCCCTAGAGACCAACTATTTCCAGCACTCCATACAGTGTACTCCTCAAATGATCCTTAGTCATTATAATAAGATGTATAAGATACAATATACAATTTGAGAAAGCAAATGGAAGATTGCTTGTTATTCCTCTGCTTGGTACTGTCATTCCCGCTGACTAACCCATACTGTACAGCCAATGAGAACACGCGGGGAATTTGGATGCCTGCGGCTGATTCCCTCCCCTCTTCCACTTCCTCCACTTCCTGTGCCTCTCTCTTTCTTTCCTCTTCTCTTCATACTCTCCGAATATCCAAATATCCAGAGCCTGTGACCTAAGGCTCTCTTTGAGTCACTGTTCCTCTATTATCCGGGGGAAGACGTGGTTTTATCCTTCCAATATCGATCGGGTCGTCTCGCATTATCCCGCTCTTATCGGAGATGCTCTAGCCTGAGGCTCGTTGCAACGCATTTCTTGGGACATTTCTTTCTTCCTTCTTTCTTCTGAATTGACCTTGTTTCCGACCTATTTCTTATTCTATCTCCCCAATAAAAGCAGGAGAAAAAGCAGGAAAAGGAAAATTCCCCGCCATGTCATTCTTAGCCACCTTGTGCGGCTGCTTCACTCGCAGCGACGCAACTCCACGACCCTCCAACCCGGAAATGCAAAGTCGGGCTCCCACCCACGTCCGCAATGGTGTTCAAACTGGCCAGTTTATCCTCTCTGACGAGGGCCACTTCATCCGAACAGATCATGGTCATGGTCATGGTCATGGGCACGGCCCTCCGGCTGACTCGGAGGTTGGGGGCTATGCCACCGTGGTCCCACTGCCACAATACACTCCCCGCCCCATGAGTGTAAACGAGAAGACCTTGGAGTCTCATCTCCGGGATCCTTCCATGTCCTCTGGTTCCAATTCCTTCGACCCGGACGAGAAGAATCGTCATCTATACAATGAGGATCTCTCATCCGATGCCTCTTCAATCATCTCGTATCCAAGCAGCTATGGAAATACCTCCACTGCGACACGAGAGACTCCTCCACCTCCATATTCTCCCCGTCAATCGGCACAGCTGACCCGAACTCGATCCGTTTCCCTATACTCTATGTCATCGACGAGAGGGATTACAATCAATCCACCGCCCATGGCGAGACTGAATGGAGCGCGTACTGGACCACCACCCCCATCAGACGGCGATGACCTATCCATTCGTCGGCACCGCCGGTTATCCTGGGAAAGCCGGTGATAGTATACGACTCGCTGTCTCTTTTTTTCCCCCTCTCTACCCTTTCTCGACGCTGGTCGTCGATTAATGGTAAACAACCGAACCGTTTCGAGTTGTTTGGGGCTACAACTACCCCGTCATTAATTTTGCTCTGCTTTTTTCCTGCTTCTTTTTTGTTCTTCCTATAAGGACTCAATGGCATATGATTCGACGATAAAGAGATTCTCCTAAATCTCGTTACGACCTGGAAGGATGGGATGTATCATGTTTGGGATACTTAATATTGGGCGCTCTTTGGATACAAGGTCAACCGGACATATTGGGCTACTACGCCAAACTATACGTGCACATACGTTGCATCATAATAAACCTTTGAAATTTCTGAAACTTCTGAAACTTTGCTTCATATTTTGGTTACGGATTTATCCCCGTCCGCATGGGCAGCTTTGAGAAGTCGTGGATTCTACTACCGTGAGCTGGGTGGCCTCAACTGGTGGTTTGAGGGGGGTTAGTCTCGCATCGTGTGACTGCGATATTTTAAGAAGAGAATAGTTGTCTCTGCGTATTTCGGGCACCTGTAGGATTGAAAACACGTTGCATGCCATGGATATGCCTTCGAAAGAACTCATCTGCTTCTGTTTCTGGCTGTATAGATTCCATTGATGCCTCAGGCAGAAACATGCTGATAAGATAAGGCTGACTCATCAGGTACCCCGCCGAATTCTTTTTTTTTTACTTTTTACTTTTCTACAATTTTAGATCTGATCAGATCAAATTGGAATCTTCTCCTCTCTTTCTCACCCCACCCACTCGTTTCCAACTTCACCCTCCACCATGACAATCGAAACCCCCCAACCCGTCGAACAAACCGTCGAAGAAGTGACCCAAAATGTCCAACCCCCCCCACCATCGAACCCTCACGCTCCCACGACGCCTCAAACAACATGAAGCGCAGCGATCCCTTCCAATTTGGCTCGCGCTTCCTCGAAAAAGGCGACGATGTCTACGAATTCAACGCATGGGACCACGTCGAGCCTGACGACGAATTCAAAGCCTTCGCCGAAGGCCAATACGAGAAGCAGCGCGCGGCCCCGGTCTCGGATTTCGATCAGCGCCGTTTCAACAATGATCCGGCTAAATGGTGGGATCTGTTTTATAAGAATAATACGGACAATTTCTTCAATGATCGGAAGTGGTTGCAGCAGGAGTTTCCGATTCTAGAAGAAGTTACGCGCAAAGATGCGGGCAAGAAGGTCGTGCTGGAAGTTGGGGCGGGGGCGGGAAATACTGCTTTTCCTTTGCTGAGGAATAATGAGAATGAGGAACTTGAATTGCATGCTTGTGATTTCTCAAAGTATGCTGTTAAGGTTATGCGGGAGAGTGATCAGTATAATACTAAGCATATGGTTGCGGATGTTTGGGATGTTTCGGCTAAGCCGAGTGAGGAGGAGGGTGATTCTTTGCCCCCCGGTTTGAGTGAAGGGTCGTGTGATGTGATTGTTCTCATTTTCATTTTCTCGGCTCTCTCGCCGGAGGAGTGGGATCATGCTATTCGCAATCTTTACCGTTTGCTCAAGCCTGGTGGTTGTATCTTGTTCCGTGATTATGGTCGTGGTGACCTTGCCCAGGTTCGCATGAAGAAGAATCGTTATCTGGAGGAGAACTTTTATGTTCGTGGTGATGGTACCCGTGTCTACTTCTTTGATCCGGAACAGTTGACCCAGATGTGGAGTCAGTGGACGCCAGAGGGTGGAATCCAGGTGGATCTTGAGAAACCCAAGCCTGAGTCCAATGGCTGCTTTGAAGTCGTGCATATGGGCGCGGACCGCCGACTCATCGTCAATCGTGCTTCTAAGGTGAAGATGTACCGCTGCTGGCTGCAGGGTAACTTCCGGAAGCTCGAAGGCCCCGTCGCAGAAAAGAAGAAGACTGAGGCTTGAACTTGAAGACGATTGGTGAAATCTCATCACTAAAGACCCTATCTATCGAGCGGGGACTCAACAGATGGCCCGCTACGTCTCGCAACATCCATGCGATCGCCACATTTGCGATAACGGTCCTGCTTCGCGTGCATTGTCTTACGCCGTCCACGACATTGTTACTGCTTCTGGGGACCAGTTGCGAGCTCTAGACATCCCGTCCGGGCACCCCCAACCCATCCTCGCTACATCCAACACTTTTACAGCGCACCCAAAATTTCATGAGAAACGAAAGAGGCGTTTTCGAATACCATAGACTTTGCATCAATTCATTACGATTGCCGATATCTGGCTGCTACTACTACTTAGCTGGAATACGGAAGAAAGTTTGTAGCACTCAAAACAAGTAAAATTGGACAGCAAGCAAGTCCAAGTCAAGCTAAAAGTCCGGAAGCGCAAGTAATGCGACGCAAGTAGATACACGAAAGGCAAAATGTGCAAGATCCCACCTCTAATATGACCAAGGGCGAGAGTGACCTCGGCGGGTAGGGATCAGTTTTTGAGGGATACCAATTCCCCCAAGACAAATCAATAGACAATGAAACAAGTAAATAACTCCACCCATGCGGCAAAAGAAAAAAAAGGCCGATCAACTTTTTGGCAGTGCAAAAAGTTCTATGAAAAAAACTGTATACCATCCGCAGAGATGGTCCAATGTAGTCCGGGTCTTCATATGTATTGGAGTACTGGGCTGGTGATTTCCATCTTCGTTTATCGTGAAAGCATGTACAGCTGAAGAATAACGCCGATAAAGTGATGTTGAGCCACTGGATTATGACGTCAGGTTGGGGCATTGAGCCTGGGCACGCAGGAAGGCGTTCGAGAAGAGGTCCTGCATGGCGCAATAATGAAAGAGGATTCCGCCCAGCACTGCCAAATGCCAAATGTTGTGGCTGCCACCAACGTAGTCAAAGAAGCCGGGCTTCCAGCGCTCGGGGATCTTTGAGGCATAGACCAAGGCGCCGACAAAGTAGACGAGCAGGCTCTTCAGAAGCGGGGCATAGAAATACGCGCACCACTCGAAACCACGGGTATATGAAAGTTGGGCGAGCGGGGTGAATCCGGTGAGAGCTAGGGTGACATAGAAGGCGACACGAGCCCAGGCCATATCGTGGCGGTTGAAGGTCGGGTGCCAGGGAAGAATGATGCCACCAACGCCCATGGACATGGTGAGGAGGATATATGTCCAGCGCGAGTAGGGCTCGCAGTAGAAAGCAGTATACTCGGTGGTGACGATCGAGGCGGCCACCAGCAGGGAGATGCCAGTATAATCGACGCAAGCAAATCGTTCCATCAAGGACTGAGAGGCGATGCTGTTCATGGTGTGCCAGACGGTACTGCAGACCAGGCACTTGCATGCAGCAAAGAAGAAGACGGCGGCGATCATGATATCGGCCTTGGTGCTCAGGTGGAAGTTGGTGTGGAGCGGGTAGAAGTAGAAGGCAATCGCCAAAACAATGACGAGACCAATGCCGTGGGACCAGATGTTGAACATTTCATTGGAGAATGTGAAGACGGATGAGACGCATTCCACCTTGGAGGTCGTGAAGCGGTATCCTTTCAAGATGTGCGGGTTCACTCGCCAGGGGGCGGGAAGATCCGCATAAGTGATCAGCCGTTGCTCTTGGGCCAACCGGATAGCCTCATCGACGCTCTCCGTCAGGGCCTGTCGAGCACGGCGCGCACGCTCCATGCCCTCGTCGACGACCTCTCGGGCGTGACCCAACTTTGTGTCCATGGCTTTCCATCCGTCGTCCAAGGCGCCGTAGATGCCGCGATCCCGCACGGCATGTGCCTTCAACTCCAGTTCGGATAAAAACGACTCCATCAGACGGACACTTGCTTGGGCCTTTTGCTCGAGAGTCTCCTTGGTCGCCAAGGCATCATTATAACGGTCCTCCAGGGTCTCCACCAGGATCTTGGCACGCTTCTTGCCGCATCCCATCAACTCACCCGAGGCGATGGAACACTGATCTCGCACGGCCTCAAGGGTGGCATACCCGCTGCGTAATCGGGAGTCGATATGAACCATGTGAGACTTGCGATATTGTTCGATCCAATGCATTCGGCGTTCCAGCTCAGCAAGGAAAAGTTCGACCTGGAGTATCACTGGTTAGACGTCGCCCCCTTACTGGTGGAGGTCACGCTTGTTGGCACTGGCTGCAGTGATCACACTGCCCCAATTGAAGCATGACCTTGGGAATCAAGAACTCACCCTGATGAATACGGTGTCGGCATCTTGGTAGTCACAAGATAGTCGTCTCGGAGCATGATAGGAATGTCGGCGGCGTCGGTCCCGAATGAGGGAGGTCTCCTCTGTTGGTGTGGCGGTTGAGAAGGCAACCGCCTCGGAATATGATTCCACAGTCATTGAGGAAGATGAGCAGGCCATCCCGGAGGGAGAGGAGAGAAGGCGAGGTCAAGAATTCGAGGAGCGATGTCGGCAAATCGGCAATGCGGGATTTTGTGTTGAGAAAAGGTGGGCCCGTGGGGAGAGAGGGTGAGGGAGAGGGTGAGGAATAATTAGATATTCAATATTCCTGGAGTAATCAAGACAAAGGAGTGACAAGAGGGAGAAATATATTAAGGGAGTGGGAGTAGAAGTAACCCAGGGTGTGAGTGTGTAAGTGTAAGTGTAAAGAGGGGGTGTAAGGAGTGAAGTTGAGTTCTTCCCCCAACGAGAACTTCCCTCCTTCACATGCGAAGGAGCGGCCCGCCTGATTTGCCTTTCAGTAACCACAACCACCACAACCGAAGAGTCCCTCAGGTTCTTTCTTCTCCACTTCTCCAATTACATTGGATTAAACTATCACCTCCCACCAAATCTGATCTCCCTCACGTTCGCCACTCACCCACTACCTCCACCACCACCCACCACCCACCACCCCCCGCCATGGCTATCAGCGAGATCATCTCGGAGCCTTCATTGCTACCAGTGCTCACCACATGCGCCGAGACTCTCGCCCAGTGCCAACAACTCATTACCCAACTCAACCCCGACACCACTCCTACCGATCCTACCCAACTACACGACCTCTCATTGGCCGTTTCCAAACAGCAAAAAGTCCTCTTTGCCCTCCTTGCTCAACTTCGCGGCCAGAACCGGGACGCCGTCTTTCGTGTGCGCGACACTAAGCAAGCCACCGCCGAGGCCCGACAGGAGATCGACCGTCTCCATCTCCAACTGCAGAACTTGTACTATGAGCAGAAGCATCTCACCGGCGAGATTGCTGCATGCGAAGCTTATGAGTAAGTGGATTCTATATTGATTGCTCAACCCACCAGCACATGACTAATGCGATACTCTCCGTGCAGTCACAAATATCTGTCACTGCCACTCATCCCTGTCGAGGAATTCCTACAACTGCACCCGGAACATCAAGAGACCAACGAACATGAATTAATGATTGCCCGGATCAACCATGAGCACTCGGAGCGAGAGAAACTCGAACAGGCGCGCCAGGAACTGCTCAAGCGCAAGCAGGCCTTGATCGCCGAAAACAAGAAGCGGAAGGATGACCTGGCCAATTTGGATAAGGATCTCGAAAGATTTATCGATGTGCGTATTCTTATTGTTCTTATTGTCCCAAAGGGTCAACTGACTTAACTAACTCTTCCTCACTTGCAGGCTGCTAAACCGATTCAAAAGATCTTTGAGAAGGAATACTAAAGTCTAAAGTCCCGTTGAAATCGGACTGGTCGATCGACCGCTACATTTAAAAGGCGTTATTGGATAGGAGAAAAAGATACCCGGTATGAAATAAAATCTACTTGCATATACACATTTTCCATTATTGCAGTGCGCATATCTCGCATGGTATACTCCAGATTCCCGTAGATACTTGTATACACTGGGCTAGCTACCGTAGATATAGTGGGAGGAGCTGAAGAGAAGAGAAGAGACTAAATAAAGAAAAAAGTCCTACCAAAGATAAAAGTGTTGCTAGAATTGATACAATAGTAGTACTACAGTAGTAGTACTAATAGTACCAAGGTCGATATCCGAAGTCATAATTGGTCGTAGTTGGTCGTGGTCGTAGTTGTTGCTCGCCGACACCTCCTTGTCCGCCTTCTCCAACTTCAACACCACCTCTCCTCCACCACTCCACCCCCCCTACGCTCCTCTTTCCCTCCCTCTCGCTCTGGCTGTGGTCGTCCAGAGCACAAAGCATGCCCTCGTCATGACCGCCAAATCTGGAGACCCCGTGTCTCCTCCGGCTGAGGCCTCCACTCCCTCCAAGTCCACCCAGCGCGTCCCCGCCCCCGAATCCCCCCCAGGCTATCCAAACACGATTCCGAGTCATTGCAGCCTTCTGGGCAGTCATCATCTTTCTGGGCTTTCCGATATGGTGGCAGACTACTTCGATCTACCGGGCGCATCTCCCCATTCAAGAGATGGTCGATTGGGCCGATGGCAAGGTAAGGACACTCTGTGCATCGCATCACAACAACTATCCCCGGAATTTTAACACCCTCTCTCCTCTAGACATGTCGCCCCGTCTATCCCCTTGAGATTCAAGTCGTCGCACCTTCATTACAGCTGCCCGAGTCTCAACATCTACTCCGAACCACCCAGCATACTCTTGACGATCTGAACGAGTTCGCCGCTCACCATCTCCGGCTCAAGTTGGCCAACGATACCAACGGTTCGCCTCCACGCACAGGCAACGATGGGGTCCACACTTCGGATAGTACCCCAGAACATGCGGCAGATATCGCATTGACAGTCCACGTGCGTCCCGAGGAAGGCCTCGTCGCTCCGAGATCAGAGCTCCAGCCGCACACCTCCCAGCTGGACGTCTTCTACCCAGCAAGCCAAATCCCAAGTCCCTCGACCTCCAACCCACCTCTGTCAATATTTATCGCACAGGAGTTACAGCGCCTCTACGGCGAAGAGAAAGCAACCATCGCGCACATCTTGTCGGGAGAAACAGCCGGTCTGGATTCAGCGTCCCCCGAGCTCACAGAGAGTATCAGTAGACGTCTGCGACGATCCATGAAATACGCAGAAACGTACCACCTCTCCTTCTCCCTCTTTACGCCCGGATCTGCGCCATCCTCGTGGGATATCGAGGCCGCTATCCAGGAATACCTCGCCCCGCTCCTCGACGCCTTTGCACCCATCAGCAACTTCACAATCGATACCCAGGTGCAACTCTACGCCACCTTCTCCCCGATGACCCCGGACCCAATCTACGACGAGGCCGAAGCAGCATGGACTCTGAAGAAAGAGGATCTGAGCGCATTCATCAATGCCGCAGAGTGGCCATTGAACCCGAGCATCGGCAGCGGACCAACCCTCAACTTCATTCTCTACGTCCCCGACCCATCGCAGTCACCCATGATCGTCAAAGAGAATCGCGCCTCGAGCTGGATTGTCCCACAATGGGGTGGCGTGTTTCTGCTCAACCCGCCACTCGCAAAAGGCCAAACTAGTAATCCTGCCTACCTTGAACAAGATTCGCTGCAGTCGGCCTTCAAGACCTTCTCCCATCAACTTCTCACCCTCCTCGGAACACCGAGCACCCCTTCCTCCCTTCCCCTCCGTCTGCAGACCCTCATCCGCGTCCGCGCTGCGTCTCTCCTTCTTTCAGCCTCGTCGACCATGGGCTCGCTCGCCCGTTTGACAGAATCTCTCCCCTCCATCCCCATCCCTGCAAACGTGGCATCCTCCGTTTCCACGACCCTATCGCATCTATCCGCTACATGCTCTCATCTCCGCGAGGGTCGCTTCAATGCCGCTCTCGCTAGTGCCCGGGTCGCGGAGAACGAGGCCGAACGCAGTTTCTTTGAGAAGACTATGGTTGGTCAGGTTTATTTCCCGGATGAGCATAAGGTCGCTGTTTACCTGCCTTTGTTGGGACCTGTTGGTGTTCCGCTAGTGGTTGGTTTGATTAAGGAGGTTAAGCGACTTGTTGCGGCGCGGAAGGCGAGGCGTGCGTAGGCGTTTGCCATTTCGTTGGTTCAAGTTAGAATTATAATGCATCTTACATTTACACACCGGCCATACTGGATTCTGGCTAGCCGAGTCTGCTTAACTCGTATAGGAGTACCCGAGTAGATGTAGAAATTCCTTAATTTAGAATGAGCGTGGAACCCAAGGTGGAATGTATCAATGCCCTTTCAAGGGTGAGTCCATGGTTGAATGGTATCCAGGATCGACTCGGACTACTCCGGAGTCCTGCTACTACTACTACTACTACTACTACTACTACTACTACTACTACTACTACAACGACTACTGGTTAGTATCAGCAAAGCAACTTGAAAGCAAATTAGACAAGACATCCATGCATGTATACGGTGAAGTACTAGTAGACCAGGGAGTTGAACTGAGTTGTGAACTTAATATAACTCGATTTTAAGAGAATCATTCGATCTAAGGAATGTAAAAATGGATATCATACTAATAGTAGTACACCGGCAATGCAAAGCTAAACATCACACTCCGTCTTCGCCGTAGACCTAGACCTACTTCTCCTCCGAAACCTTATACGACGGATTCCCCTTCCCATCACTAAACCCAACATTCTTCATCAGATCCGAAAAAGTCGTATCGGGCCTCGCAACCGTACTAGGATACGGCTCGGGACCTAGAAACTTCCTCGATTGCGCAAAAGCCCCCGGCGGCGAGTAGATTTTGATACTCTCAGTACTCGGCTGACGCTGTCGGGGCGGGGTGACGGGCGCCGGAACGGGATTAGGCAAGCTGGGCAGAGGTGGGACGTCCTTTTCTTTGTCTGGTCTTGAGGTGGTAGCGGGATTAAAGAGACTGCGGACTCGACTTCCTGTGCGGGTAAGGCGTGATCGTGTGGACCGTCCGCCTACTGAGTTCCGTGCTGAGGGGCGGAGGAGGAAGTCTGTTCGGTAGGAGGCGTCTTCTGAGGCCATGGGGCTGGATATTCCCATTACTGCGCCGCTGGATGTGCGTTGGGACCAGTGGGGGATGAATTTCTGGTCTTGGGTTTGGCTCTTTTTGTGCGCGCGTCGTCGGAGACAGGTCGTTATCAATAGGGCTAGGACGGCGCCGAATATGGCACCTGGGAAGAAGCCGGCTATTATTGCCTTTGGTGGGAAGGAGTCGCAGCTTGTTGAGGCTGACGGGGATGGGACGATGGTGAATGTTGCGCCTGTTGACCCAGTTGAGGTGGATGGGGAGGCGGTTGTGGTTGATTTGTCGGCGACGCAGACTTTGTCTGAGACGCAGGAGTAGCCAACTGGGCAGCAGGAATCGCCGCAGGACTTGAGTTTGCCGTCAAGTTTGGTTGTCTTGACGGTGCTCTTGGGGTAAGTGGTGGCATTTTGCTGTTGGATGTCGCAGTCGATGGGCGAGATGTATTCACAGCTTTGGCCGGATGGGCAGCAGATGGCTGTGGTGTTATCGCTTGTACCGATGCAGGTGGATGATGTCGGGCACCAGAAGTTGTTAGGGAATGAGGTGCCACATTGGTTGTATGAGTTGGAGCAAGTATCAGTGCTGCGTCCGAAAATTTCGGGGGTGTCAAGTGCGTGACCGCGAGTTGTTTGTATGATGATCAGAAATATAAGAAGTATAAGGAATAAATGTTTAGGGACGATGCCCTCAGTCGACCACGCCATGTCTGCAACTTGAAGCAGATATCTTCGAGGAAGGTTGAACTGAGTCGAGATGTTGCAGAAGAGTATTTCTGAGTGCTTTGACAAATATCAGATGTTGATGGAGGAGCAGCAGTAGCAGTAGCAAAGTGCTCTTTGAGGTGGAGATAGAAGAGAAGTAAGGTGAACGACGAAAGCGAAGAGAGTTGACGAAGCAGAAAATGAGCAGAACCATAGACAATGGGATTGATGGTAGGCTCAGGCTGAAACGTGAACTAAATTTGGGGTTCAACACAAAGGGAGTGAATGGCATGGCGTTGAATCATTCACCGATACAAAGGGAACTGATCTATTCCGGGCACTGGCACGCGCTGGACTGGGACAGACAGTTTCAGGGTGGGCGGCAGGACTCGAATGCAGCATGTCGGGCGCCAAAGTCCGAAATAGTGTTGCAGAATGACATGATCGTGGGTAGTGCAGAGTGAATGCAGGATTGTGAGAGGTTGAAATGGGCCGAGATGGGCGCTTAGAGGAGTGGAGGAGGTGGAGTGTATACTTGGGAGTGTATACTTCGCTGTGCTGAGTGCCAAGACATTAGTCAGCAGCGCGTCCATTTTGGAAATTTCGAGGTCGACGACGATTGTAAAGCACCTCCACTCCCAACCCCGAAATCATGTTTAGTCGTCTCGCCCGGCCAAGCGCTCTGCGCGCGGCTTCTTTCCAGGTATGCTCCGTTCGATTCCATCTGTCAATTCTTGAGACCCGCCTAATCCTGGAACCTTGAACCTCTAGACACCTACCTCTCTCCTCCGATCCCAGACCCGTGCCCTGCACCGCATCCCCCAATTGCAGCATGAGAACGTCTACAAGGAGAGTGGTGTACCTGAATTCATGTCGCCTGAGGCATACGATTTCGCCTGGACCCAATACCAGACCCTCCTCGTCGATAAGCTCAACCTGTTGACACAAGGTGAGCCCGAGCCGATCCCGCGGATATCTTCATGACATCTTCATGTCCGCGCAATACAAGCAGCATAGATCACTAACTCTCGACATTTTCCCCAGACACCGTTGATGCCGACGCTAAGCCTGGAGAGTTGCTGGTCAAGTACTCCAAGCGCCCGGAGATGGCCTCGGTCTTCAACTACGCCTCCATGGCCCATAACAACCACTTCTTCTTCAACTGCCTCGTCAGTCTCCCAATCAACACGAGCTAGAAATAAAGAATAAAAAGAGCTCAACTAACATTCATCCAACCTACAGTCCCCCGCCTCCACCCAGATCCCCGAAAAGTTCGCCAAGGACATCGTCGACACCTGCTCCTCCGTCGAATCCCTCAAGCTCGACTTCCTCGCAACCGCCAGCTCCATGTTCGGCCCGGGCTTCGTCTGGCTCGCCAAGAACCTCGAGCGCGAGGGCCTCATGCAGATCTTCTGCACCTACAACGCCGGTTCCCCCTACCCAGCCGCCTACTCCCGTCGTCAACCCGTCGACATGGCTACCCACTCCCCCGATGCGCCTCTCGGCAACCAGTTCGCCGGATCCATGGGCGCCCACGCGCAGAACCAGAAGAACTTGGCCCCCGGTGCCATTGACGTACAGCCCATTCTGTGTGTCAACACCTGGGAGCACGCGTGGATGATGGACTACGGTATCGCGGGTAAGGACGAGTACCTGGAGCGTTGGTGGGATCGGATTAACTGGGACGTTGTGTTTGATAACTACAATGCTGTTTCTTCGGTGAAGGGGCCGCGTGCCTCGACTACTCGGGGCCGGGGTTTGAGCATGCTTTGAGAGGAGCGCAAAAGCAGAAGCCGGTTTTTGTTTAGATAAATCTGTACTATACATATCATATTTTCTCTGTTTGATCATCAAAGACTTTGAATTGTACATCGTTAGCCCAGCTCCATGTAACTGGCAGTTCTATATGTCCGAGTCTCACCTCGGTTGATGCTAGTCTAGTAAGTATACACACGAGCTCCATCTCTAAAGTAGTAATATACAAATGCCCTCTCAGCCTCCTCCGTGCATCTCATGAATCCTCTTCTCAAACGCCTCAATCATAACCCCAGCCATCTGCCCCTCAACAGCCCCCATGACAGTAGCATGCATCTGGCTCCGAAATTCAAACCGCACTTCCAGATTCACCTTTGTCTGCGGTTGACCACCCTTCGCATCTAGGGGAACCAATTCCCACCGCGTAGAAAGATATTCAAAGATCCCCTCGCTAGCACCGGGGAAGAATCCACTCAGTCCACTCCCACCACTGCCACTGCCACTGCTACTCCCACTCCCCTTCTCATCACCCCCGTATTTCGCGCCGCTCCGCGCTTCAACGGTTAAATTTTTCGGATCGCAGTCGACGCGCGAAGTGAATGTCTCGCTGAGAGGTCCGTAGCCGACGGTCAAGAATGCCTGTGTGGGATTTCCTGTTTCTGGATCCCGGGCTGTGACGGTGGATGCTGTGAGGAAAGGGAGGAATTGCGAGTAGGATTCCACCGAGGAAATTACTTTGAAGAGGTTTGGTGGGGCGTAGGGGAGGGTTCGGGTTGCGGTTAATACGCGTTTTGGTGAGTCGTTATTTCCGTTTGGTAAGAGGGAGGAGAGTGAGGGGAGGCCGAAGGTTCGTCGTGGTGCTTGTTTGGTGCATTGTGTTGGGCGTGTTGGTGTCGGCGATGGGCGGAGTGGGTATGTGCCTTGTATTGTGCTGATGGTGCGCACTGCTTGGTTTCGGGAGAAGTTCAAGACTCTCGGCTTGAGGAGGTGGATCGTATGATCCAGGCTGCGGGTTGGGCGCATGTAGGAGAGGTGGGTGGGGTGAATTGAGGTGGTGTGGTGTGGTGAAGTGAAGGAAAAGTGGTGGTTCCGATGGAGCGAAGGTCTGCTGCCCGTTCTGGTTTGGTCGGCCTCGGTCTGCATCGCCCATTGGAACTTGAAGATACGAACTACAACTGCTGCTGCTTGCATACAGTAGAATAAAAGTATTTAATACTCTGTCATACTCTTGGTTATACTTCTATAGGAATATTCGGACTAACCCCCAGTCCTCAACTAGACAAAGTTAAGTCTCGGACGGATATGAAAGAAATTCATCTAAAGTCGGAGGCACTGTGATATCCGGAACCCAGAGCATATCCTGATCAGATGGCCCAAAGCCAGATATCCTACTGTCATACAAGCGCTAAAATGAAAAGGTCAGCTGTGTTACCAAGCGTAGGAAAATGCTTGAAAGTAAATGCAAGTAGTACTCACCCAGTCCATTTGCCCAGGCGTGTTAAGCATATCTTCAATCAGGCCAAGTGACGAGAGTGATGGTGCTTCACTGGAGCCATAGGCTGCAGTCTGCAGGTCTCCATTTAATTCATCGTTGCTGGTGGTATACGTCTCGTACTGCTGCTGATCGATTGAAGCAGGTACTGGTTGGAATGCCAATTTATCTAAGCGCCAGGTTATTTTGAGTTCGAATTGATGTGCAACCAGGACTGAAAAATCAACTCACCATCAATTTTCATGCTCTGTTCATTTGAGACCGAGCTGCCGCTCTGAATAGGGCTGCTACCTCGAACTCGACCAAGCATGATTCTCAACGCGGTGTACCCTCGCTGTGTATCAATAGACCGGTGGCGGCCTTTCTTGAAGATATGATATGTAGCCTCTAAGAGACGCAGGAGGTCATCGCGTTCTTGTGGTTCGATGCGGGTGGTGTCACGCTCATTCTCTTGCGAAAGCTCCAGGCAAAGAATCATGGCCGAAAGCATGAAGTCTGTATTTTGGAGGGAATTCATGAAGAATCGCTCCGCATAGAGCTGACCACCTGGTAATGACTCCTGGTATACATCGGAATGGTGTCGCAATGTCTCGCGGGCCGCGTTCAAACAAGTTTGGCGCGAGTACGTGTACTTGCTGTTAGTCTCGGCCATATACCGGCGATGCATCACTACCCGAGCCTTTTGATAGAGTAACGCTAGGGTATATCTTTTCATGATAAGCTCCGTCGTCTCTGCAAAACATTGGTCAATCGGCTGGTATTGAAGGTATGGTGGCAGTAAATCATAAGCCTCCTCGAGCCGACGATCAATGGCCAAGATTTCCTCGTATGATACTTGTTCCCGTGAATATGCCAAATCGGTGATTTGTCCAAAGCACTTCATGATGCGAGATTTGCCTCTTGTATACCCACATACCGTCCATTCAGTACTGGGCCTTGGAGGTGGCAACTGAACGCTGTTTTTATCAAAGTCGATGTCATGGATATTGGAAGGCAGTGCTGTATCATATTGCCAAGGCTGAATGGTCCGTGGCAGTCCGACCTGAAATGAGATGAGGATATCAAGTTGGCATATGAGTTCCCATAGGCGTCGTCGCATCTCGCCATCAAAAGCGGAGATGCTAGGGTAATGGCTAGGGTCCCTATGGTATCCCATGCGCATGGCCAGGCGAATTAGGATTCCGAAAAGATTGGAAACGCCAATCTGCGCGTCCTGACTGCGGTAGAATTCAGAAAGACTGTAGAAGAAGAGAGCCTCGACCTTGTCTCTCCCTGGGGCGAGGTAGTTTGCTTGCACAAGGCCCTGAGCGGCTCGTTTTCGAAAGACATTCCAAGCCGTTGACGGGTTTACCATGTTCACAGGCAGAGGCTCTTCGCTGCGATGATAATGAGACACCGAGAGGGTCAGGATGGCGTAAAGAAAGGATATCCACGTGAAGGACATGTCTTGCGGGGATTCCCAGAACTGTGCATATTCCTTTCGGAATGTCGGTATATGAACGGCGACTATTCTGCTAGTCAGATATGGATCATAGAGAGAGATTCTGAAGTAAAGAGAAGGGAACAGAACACTCACTGAGTGAAGGCTCTGATGTTTTCAAGAAACGAGATACTAGTCGGTCTGCAATCTCACGAGACGGTATATCGAGGAGCAGTTCCTCTTTGGTGATAGGTCTACTCATTCCAAGTAGCAAAGTTGGGGAGGAATCTTCCTCCGGGTCTTCCTCTGTCCCCTCATCGTCCGTTTCTTCATTGCCATAGCCATCAATATAGTCTTTGACGCCATTAATCTAAGTCAAGGATGTTATCACACGGCAATAATAAATTGGGAAGATAGGACGAGGAATCATGACTGACCTCTTTCAGGATGGCACGCCAATTTGCGCTCTCAAAATAACTGGTACCCTCATCGTTAACGACCAACGTGCCCGTATCGTGAGGCGATCGGGTATCATGGCCACTCATGGATGATGGAGTCTGATAGCTGGGCCCATTCGCATCAGCATCCGCGCTTTGCGGTTCCGCATTAAAATCAGGAACTTGATCGGGGAGCTGATCTGGGCCTTGATCGGGAGTCTGCTTCTGCTTCTGGGCTAGGGACATGACCAAGTTCTCCAAATGCTGAAGACGGTCCTGCACCAACGTCGGACTGGACTGGCCATGCTGAGGTTTGCCCCGCGGTCCGCGACCGACAAACGTACAGCCGACAGTGTCTCCGCGCTTCTTGCAGTTGTTGCAGGGGTAAATGCGATCGCATTTGAGTCTGCATGAGTTAGTTAGAGAGCAATTTTGAACGAAAGAGACTTGGCCGACTTACTTGCGATATCTGCACGCGGTGCACGAGAACTGGACCCGCGTTCTCTTCTTCGGAGCTTCCCCACTCAGCGGGTCCGGGGGGTTAGTCGCCTCGGACATACGGAGTAGAGCAGGCTCGTCTGTCAGGAATAGATGCAGGAACGGAGTCGGATTGGAGATCGGGCCCTCCGCAGAAATCAGGAGGGTAGTGGGGGGCGGTAGGGAAAGTTGAAGGGAAGAAAGAATTGGGGGCCTTCGGACTCGGTTGACTTTGTTAACTCCGAAGTACTTCAAGTTCTGAGTAAGGCTGGTTTGAGACTCAACAGCCTTGAAATAGAATAATAGTGCAATATCTTCAGGAGGCCAGCATCAGAGACTAAATTTAGTCTGTCATGATCCATGCAGGAACCCACATCGGGGTTCAATGCATAACGTCCGGTAGGCTATACGGAGGTGCCTCATACTACCACCAGTACTAGTATCAATTCAAGAAGAATTCCTAAATTTGTTAGTTAATATGTCTAGTCTTGATTACTACGCTTTCAAGCCAGTGTGAGATTATCTTGGCTTCAATTTGTCTGGGCATGCATTCCAAATAAGTGCCAGTGCTCACTGGCATGTTCAGTTGAAGATATATAATACCTAGTACTACTACATCGAGGGAGACATAAAAAGTGCAACTCCTTTCAATTCAATTCTCGCATTCGCTGCAGCAGCGCTATCATCCATTCAGATATCCTTGAATTATTTCATCCCGGTAAGATCATCTTCAAGAGCCTAACCCGGTCACGGCCACCTGGGCATTTTCCTTACCTAGTCGCTACCTGGGCAGATGCCTGTCAGAAACCCAGCATACTCAAGGGCCAGAACAAGTACTAGTAACACTTCATTCTCATCTCAAGCTTGGAATTCCACAACCACCCACCGGTATACGAACCACGTTTCTGTTCTTTGAAGGTTGGTTTTTGTGTAGACTATGAATTTCGTTCTCGGTGTAGACCACTAGGCCATCTAAGTAATATTTATAAAACCGATTTCAGTCCTCAAAGGCTGAACACACCACTCTGCAGTATCCCTCAGAAGTCCCACTGCTTCATCCACTTCTCGAATAGGGTAGTATCGATCTCCTTCAAATCCCTCAAAGTCTTACTTGCAACTTGTGTTCTGGTTGTCTCAGTCCACGGCCCGGCCTCATCACTGTAGGTAATTGCCTTGAAAAAGTCTAGAATCTTGAGAGCGGGCTTATCTTTGAGATCGTTCTCCGTGGGGTTCGTGAAGCCCTCGAGGGTCTTGACCCATGTGTGAACATCAACCGGCTCAACATCGAAGTACTTGGTGACTGCTGGGATCAGGGATTCCCACTCTGCAGTCTTGGGGTTGACAATATGGAAGGCAGAACATAATTCCTCCTCCTGGGTAATACGTCTTGTGCGAACAATATCTGCAATGACCTTGGCCGTGATATCCTAAAAATAAATATGTTAGCTAGTACTCTTAGAGAGGCAAAACTTAAATGGAAGCATAGTAACATACCACTGGAACCCATTGTACAGAAACTGATCCAAGCGAATTCGGAATTTGCTTAATCGTCTTCGAGGACGCGACCAAGGATGGCACCCATTCTTGCTTGTTCCACATCCCCTTCTCTGTTGTCGGTCCTCCAATCTGACCGACTCGGTGAATACTGGTCGGGACGCCGCATTTGGCCGAAGCTGCAGCGCAGATTCGCTCAGAAACGTGTTTTGACTCACCGTATCCCTGGCGAAGGACCGAGCTCGGGTCATTAAAAACGATTTCAGGAATTGATGGGCCTTGGCTATAGCCTTCAATGGTCGAGATAGATGAGATGAAATGAATGTGGGCATTTCTTTCGCTGGAAATGCTGAAGTCAACAAGCCGGCGAACGCCCTCGATGTGAGGTTGCTCGAAGGCCTCAACTCTGTGGTTGAAGTTAACCTTCCACGCGTTGTGGATAATTGTATCAACATTTTCCAGTAACTCCTCGTATTTTACTTCATCGAGTCCAAGTCTTTCATCGCCAAAACGTGCTTGGAGGAATTCCACTCGGCGTGGGAACTTGTTGAAACCCACTAGGCCCTTCTCACGGAGACTTTGCAGTTGTCTCGGGGCGGCGTCATCGGACCGATTGAGACAGTAGATCTTTGAGACGCTGAGGTCTCGAAGAAGCTCGTGCAGAAGATATGCGCCGAGGGAACCCGTGGAGCCAGTGAGAATGACAGCGTGACTTACGCCAACATCGTCCGAGTATTTCCCAACAAGTCCAGCAATTCTGGCCTCGCGGTCCTCGTCACTTTCCACAACTTCTTCTGCAGACACAGAATTATTCCCTTGGAGAAGGTCATATACATAGCTGGTAAGCTGTACGATGGTTGGGCGAGAGTAGAGCTGCGAGTTTCCAAAGGCTGCATTCAATTCCGGTCGCGCGGATTGAAGAGAGGCCTGGAGGATTTGTCCTAAACGGAGTGTTTGTAGGGAGTCAACCCCCAAAGCAAAGATGTCGGCATTTTCGTCAGTTGCCTGTCCTCCTAAGATGTCTGACAAAACCTGGGTTATGAATCCTGCGACATCAGTGCGAGAAGCGTCCTTTGCGAGTTGATCGACGTTGATTTGATCTCCCGCCTCATAAAGGGCGTTGATCTCTGCCTCATAGTCACTAACAGTAGCACGCCGCTTGATGGTATTTTTTGGGGTGAGCTGGAATGGCTTTGACTGAGACGAAATGGTGATTCGCTCTTTCATAAGCTGAGCATAACCGGGGGCTGCTTCATTCGCCTTTTGAGCCAAAGGCCAGATATCGTCGATCAAAGCATTTGGTTCTCCATTCCAAAGGGACCAGTTTGGCTCTATAATTGCAGCCGCTTGGAAACGTCCCTGTCCAACCACCAGAGCAAGGTTCACGAGTGGGTGGCTTGAAATAGTCTCCTCCGTTGTGGTGGGATTGAACTTTTCTCCGTTACTGAGAACGATGAGATCATCCTGGCGACCGGCATAAAGCCACAGTCCATTTCTAACTGGATGAGGGGAGAATAAATCGCCAGTGCGGTACTCGGTCTTGTCCGGGTATGTATGGAAGACTGCCTTGCTTTTGCGATCTTCCCCTCGCTGCACGACGAGTTCATATAGTCCGTCACCGACGTCCTGCATTTCCGAGCCAGAATTGGGGTTGAACTCCAGATACCCCCAGTCTGTCTTGTCTTCGGGGATAAGAGCTGGAAAGATAGAGCATTCGCTTGTCCCCAGTACCGACTGGAGCAGCACGACTTCTGTGATACGACTTCCCACTTCTAATGCCAATGGTGAGCCTCCATAAGTAACGTAATCGAACTTGGATAGGCAGTTTAATCCGAGATCTGACTTGCTCATATCATCCAAAATAGATGACCCCATAATAGTGATTTTGGGTTCAGTTTCCCTGAGGATTTGATCAAGCATTTCATCTGTCAACGGCCTCTCTGGGCTAAGAACAAAGGGGGTCAGATACGCAATAGGCATCATGATTCCAATGATACCCATCAGATGAAAGAAAGGACTCATCAAAAAGTGTAATTTTCCCTTGCCTTGAACAGGAGCAAAACTACACCGTCTACCATCTGGAACTGGTACCAACCCAATAGCTTCAATTGTCTGGAGATATCCATTTGTCATCGGGACTGGCTTGGGCATCCCTAGAGAGGATAATTAATTTTGTTCTACTCTTCCAATATTCAGTCCAGTGGGGATTTTACCTGTTGTGCCTGAGCTGTGGATGTAGATTGCCACGCGATCCTCCTCGTCCTCGAGGGGCTCCTTCACCTCAGGAGAAGTAGTTTTTCCATCGCGATCGAATAGCTCCCACAATTCTGGAATTTGGACGGCTACCAAGGATGAATCCGCCGTCTTTAATTCCTCGGCCTGGCGAGCTTTCTCCGAGCTGTAGACAACTTTGTATGATTTTGTGGCCTCCAGGACATGCCGCGACGCTTGCTCTGAGTTCCTCGTTGAGAGAAGAAGTGCCTAGAGTCTCATCAGTACACGAACCTCGTACGGGAGTACGTTTTTTTTTTCTTACAGTGTGCCTTAGTCTCATACAGGCAAAGATAAATGCTGTATAGCGGATGTCATTTGCTCCGACATAGGCAATGGTCTCTGGCTCGGTTGAAGATGCGACATTTTCTTGAATCCACAGCGCTGTGCGGTTGGTCGCATTGACAAGTTTCTCAAAGTCAATATTCACCCATCCTTCGGAGATATCAGACGAGACCGGTTGGATACAATAGAGTGTCCCCGGGTCGTTCGCTGCGACGGAATCGACAATTCGTAGCGGTGTTCGTTCAACCTCAAAAAGTCCCATTTTAGTGAATATAATTGAATTAAAATCAGGATGTTTTCGCTCCGAAATCAAGGATCAGGGGGAATTTATAGTTCCTTTCCAGCTCACCTATCCCCGCACTTGTGGTGGTCTCGCCGTGAATCCATTGCACGAGTCGTGGTGGCACGTGTAATGAGGTCGCTTGCATCGGATCTGTAAAGCTATGCGCATCTCGAGTTGTACAGCAGGGAGCTCAAGCGGAATACTGGAGCAATCAGATTGGAGAGTCTTTGATCGATCAATAGTTAATGGAGCTCGATTATCGCGAGATCGTCGATATGACACATCTATTTTCTCTCCTGTAAACGGACCCACTCCAGCTGCATAGTAAACTCTCTATCCGTCCAGGTGCAGAAAAGGGAGTCTAATGCAGGTTTACCTGGAACCCATTGCAGCCTTCAGCAAGAGCAACAATTTGGGTTACAAATTGATCATCAAA